TTTGAGGCATGGTTTACTGAGCAGACAAAGTAGATTTTTGAGGCAGTTTTCGCGAGACACAATCCAAAAATAATTGGGCGAAGCCCACCTAGTCGTGTTCGTCGGCTCGAATTTTTTCTATATTATATACGACGCACCGTCGTCGTCTTAGTGCGCATGCGTTAATACTAGTGGAAATGCTTTGGGCGAGCGGAGCGAGAACTCAGCGATAATATAGCTACGTACCTACAGGTAAAATGTTTCAGCAAGTAACAGAAGTTATTATGGTGTTGTCATATTAGGTTGAGTAAGGCAGCTTGCGCATACGTAGCTATATAGTGAAACTAGACCAGAAGAAAGTAGCAACGGAAAGGTAATGTGCCCGCACCCCCTCTCCATCTCTTAATCGTCGCTGAAAAGACAAGCCTCTCTGTCGTGAGGACTTTCGACGGCCGGGCGTTCTGTCTGTCTGCCTCTTGGAGCAGAAGCAGTATCGTTGCCTTGCCCGCTCAAGATCTCCCTGAAAAGACGAGCCTCTCTGTCGTGAGGACTTTCGACGGGCATACATAGATAGAAAATTCGAGCCGAAGACACGATTCGCTGTCTGTTTTTCTTCGACGAAGAACACTATCCTCCGCGGATAATCTATCTCCATGCGCACTAAGACGACGTCCGTGCGTCGTATATAGATAGAAAATTCGTCCGAAAACAAGACTACTATATAGGAGCGCTCGCCCAATTTACGCGCTTCTTATTATACGACATACTGTACGGAATTTTTTCTCCATCCTCTTATATACAGTCCGCTTCGAAGGCATCCGCGGAGGATAGTGTTCTTCGTCGAAGAAAAACAGACAGAGAATCGTGTCTTCGGCTCGAATTTTCTATCTATGTATGCCCGGCCGTCGAAAGTCCTCACGACAGAGAGGCTTGTCTTTTCAGCTACGATTAAGAGATGGAGAGGGGGAGCGGGCACATTACCTTTCCGTTGCTACTTTCTTCTGGTCTAGTTTCACTAGCTACGTATGCGCAAGCTGCCTTACTCAACCTGATATGACAGCACCATAATAACTTGTTACTTGCTGAAACATTTTACCTGTAGGTATATACTATTATTATCGCTAGTAATGTGATTGTTGTATATACGTTTGAGTTCTCGCTCCGCTCGCCCAAAGAATGCCAAGCATTTTCACTAGTTATAATACCTTTAGGTGAAATCTTTCAGCAGACTTTTCTCTGGCTAGTTCTAGCCTGAAGTACGTTCGCGCTGAGAATGCATGCGGAAGTAGATAATAAGGAGGGCGGTGCTATTCGCCCGTATGTATGTATGGAGTATGCCGTAGAGAGATTATGCGTAGCGACTACGCAGCGGATTTGAACGCTGAACGAACCGGAGTGTGAAGCGCTACATTTTGATACCAAGCGTAGCCACATACGGTGCTGGAATCGGAAGTTATTCTAGATTTTAGATCTCAGCGCGAAACTCACTCAGCTGCAGAGGGGGCCTAGAGTGCGCGGAGCCTGGCGCGCGCCGCGTGCATTTGCACGCCGCGCCGCGCATCTCTGCATTCGCATGCATACAAAAACCTCGAACGGTTGCTGGAGCGTGCAGAAAAACTCACGACGCTTCTTCTTGAGATGGCAATCTATCGTAACCCTCGCACAGGGGCTATTGTAAGTAAAGGAATGTAAAGCATTATAATACTGCTATAGCTCTGTCGCTTTTTAGGTCTCTGCAGTGTCTCTCCTCCTTCTGTCTTCTGCAGCAATCGCAACAATCAATAATGTTGATTTTCTTGTGTACATTCGAAACTATAAAGGTTATTGTAGGAATGCTAAAGAGAGTTATCCGATATAATTATTATACCTTACAGGTGCTAATTTGCCTGATTATTTGAGGTCTTTTCAGAACCTCATTGAATCCACACAAGATACTTCAGCCTGGCTTATTACGTGGAGTATTGTGATCATTGTTGGTGTGACAGTTTCAATTGTACTTGCTCTCAGCAGCATAGAGTCAATTATTGTTGGAATTATTGTGCGTCATATTAATGTCAGTTGGAAGCTGTTTGTAATGTTCATCTCCCTCTTGCAGGAAATTGTTTTTAGCACAGTTGCTATTCTTGGTTACATTGCAACTTGCATTGTGTGTGCTGTTAATGCTGCTGCGTGGGGAGAGCCTCCAGCACTGTGTGCTACAACAAGTGATTATACCACCGATGACGATGGTTCTTGTGGCACAATTTATATTGGACTAACTGTCATCACAGCATTACAAGCTGTGAGTCAACGTTACTCATTACAGTATTGTTGATGTATAAGTGTATAAGTATGATTGTTAGTGGCGCACTAAGTGTTGTGACTGGTAGGATTTAAATGATTACTGCAGTCAGTCACACAAATGGTTATTAATGATGAATGTTTGTGATTCTTTAGGTGTTATGCTTTGCTCAACTGGCAAAATTTGGTCTCATTATTTCGCTAACCATCAAGAAGATAAAGCTGCAATTGTCTGAGACACCGGAGCCATCTGAAGTGGAAGACACACAAAATAACATACAAGCTACTAGTACTAATGCCTATATTGTTGGAAAAGTTGTTGTGGTGTAATAAAAACAGCCAGCCATGAAAGGCAAAAGAATCCGGCACAATTTCAAAACTGTGCTGTGCAAGCACATTATTGTATGCCATTTACATTGAACTCTTTGCATGAAAACCACATTATAATACACATTATGGGGTTGTCAGTTACAGTGATGGGAAACGTTAGATTGGTTGGTGATAACTCTAACCAGCTTTTAGAGTGAAACTCCCTCCAACCCAGAGAACAAGGGACTTACAAGAGGGATTAGTATGAGTCCATCATGAAACTTCCCAGGTCTCAAAATCAAAACCGGGGTGGGTTAGTGAGCTCTTACACTCTCTATGCATGTGCTTAGTGTTTGACAGCTTAGTTGCAAGATTAGAAATTCTTTCTGTTTTGTGTAACATCAGAAAAAGAAAGTCTGAAAAACCGTGTTATGGAGTAATTAAGCTATAGAATGTTATCACCCTGGCCTTTTACACAAACATCTATATACAAATATCAAGGGCAGCCCTGGGAAAGCAAGGACTCTGCTGGAAATACCTTTTACCTTGTTTATAGCTCATCAGAAAGTATTAAAGCAAAAATATTCTTCAAGCTGTAGAAAGTTATCACCCAGAGAGTAATAAAAACACATTACTGTTTTCACATATACAAAACATTAGCTGAATTTTGGTTACAGAAAGGAAAGGTGTTAACTTTGGAAAAGAAAAAAGCAAAAAATTCCATCACCCACAGTTTAAATAAATATGCATATTGTTTTGACATTTACACAAACACTAGCTGCAACAGCAGTAACAGCAAGGCAAGGAGCCGGCTGGTTATCTTAATTGTCAGTTCAAAATTCGCTTTTATGCACACATGCCTTAAGAGCATCAAAATGAGACTATACTATTAGTGTGACTGAGGTGGTTGAGTGTGCTGTAGGGAAGACACAACACGCAGATCATTTTATTACACAGGTAGTACAATAGCTGATAAGAAGTGAAACCAAAAAAAGTAATAGTGAAGTTGTAGCTGAGACGCTGATGTACTGAGGCATCAGGCTTGGGTCCGCTCACTCTGTGTATCTTGAAGGCACTAAAAGTCACAATGAAGGGTGTGTATCGACTGACACATGCTATCTACTACTGTAGCTAGCCCGTGTCAGACTCTCTGCGAGCTACTAGCGGGAGACCACGAGTAAACGCATACTAATAATAGCCCAGCCAATCAATTAGCGGTACCGCGCATGCACAGTTCGCCGAGGGTTTGCACCGTTGTGACTTTTAGTCGTCTCTCTCAGCGTCTGATGAAAATTGCTCAGACGCTTGTGCCAACAGATGGTTGTGTTACAACTGAACCTGGCAGGACATCACATGTGTCAGTATAACTCACAAATGGTAAGAGCTATGTGAACGAAACTTTTTGTTGTCTCGTTGCGCATAATCGCAGAAAACGTGGTAACAGGCACAGAGACGGACAGACAACGGGTGTAGTGCTTGAGGTTTGACCACTGTTTCTGGGACGAACAGACGTTCGAGGAGTGAGATGTAGAGTAACAGACAAACAGACCCAACTACTGTACCCTCGCTGGGTTGTCAGTTACAGTGATGGGAAATGTTAGATTGGTTGATGATAACTCTAACCAGCTTTTAGAGTGAAACTCCCTCCAACCCAGAGAACAAGGGACTTACAAGAGGGATTAGTATGAGTCCATCATGAAACTTCCCAGGTCTCAAAATCAAAACCGGGGTGGGTTAGTGAGCTCTTACACTCTCTATGCATGTGCTTAGTGTTTGACAGCTTAGTTGCAAGATTAGAAATTCTTTCTGTTTTGTGTAACATCAGAAGTCTGAAAAACCGTGTTAAGGAGTAATTAAGCTATAGAATGTTATCACCCTTGCCTTTTACACAAACATCTATATACAAATATCAAGGGCAGCCCTGGGAAAGCAAGGACTCTGCTGGAAATACCTTTTACCTTGTTTAGTAGCTCATCAGAAAGTAAAGTCTGAATTAAAGCAAAAACATTCTTCAAGCTGTAGAAAGTTATCACCCAGAGAGTAATAAAAACACATTACTGTTTTCACATATACAAAACATTAGCTGAATTTTGGTTACAGAAAGGAAAGGTGTTAACTTTGGAAAAGAAAAAAGCCAAAAAATTCCATCACCCACAGTTTAAATAAATATGCATATTGTTTTGACATTAACAAACACTAGCTGCAACAGCAGTAACAGCAAGGCAAGGAGCCGGCTGGTTATCTTAATTGTCAGTTCAAAATTCGCTTTTATGCACACATGCCTTAAGAGCATCAAAATGAGACTATACTATTAGTGTGACTGAGGTGGTTGAGTGTGCTGTAGGGAAGACACAACACGCAGATCATTTTATTACACAGGTAGTATAATAACTCCAAAAAAATTAATAGTGAAGTTGTAGCTGAGACGCTGATGTACTGAGGCATCAGGCTTGGGTCCGCTCACTCTGTGTATCTTGAAGGCACTAAAAGTCACAACGAAGGGTGTGTATCGACTGACACATGCTATCTACTACTGTAGCTAGCCCGTGTCAGACTCTCTGCGAGCTACTAGCGGGAGACCACGAGTAAACGCATACTAATAATAGCCCAGCCAATCAATTAGCGGTACCGCGCATGCACAGGTCGCCGAGGGTTTGCACTTCAGTGCTTTTCATTTGGATTGAAGTTGGACACAAATGATCCCAGTAATAATTATGCTTCGTAACTTTGACATTTAATTTCAGAAGGAGGAAGGGTTACATCAAAAGAGGGTAAGGAGTTTCGTAGTCGGGGAATTCGGTTAAAGTAAAAGTTCCTTTCAAAGTTACTCCTGCAGAGAGAGTGTTTCAGTTTGAAACTATGCCCAGCTCTTGTAGAATAACTACAGAACTGAACGAACTCATGGATATTGAAATGGTCGGATGGAAACTTTACAGACTTTACCAAAAACACATTGTCAGCAATTTCTATTGCAATTGACCTCCTCTGGACATCGGAGAGCTACCGTAGACTATTGCTAGTGAGTTTTAAAACCATAGCGAGTCATTCTCGCTGAGTTTTGAGGCATTTTGTATGAGGAACATGTGAGATTTGACCCGTGCCATCCCTATAGTGCATCTACCGTAGCTCTAATTATCTGTACGTGAGGGCACTGCACATACTATAAAAACACTCAGTGTGAAAACAATATCAAGCAGAGGCTCTTCTTTGCAGTTACAACATGTTTTATGCTTACGACAACACACCATGGTATAACACAGATTAATGAATTTTATACACAGTAACCGATAGAGTTTTATACAAAAAAGATTTACATTTCTAAAAATAGTTTCAGTTTTTCAGCAAGTGTATCATGTTTAAACCTGTGTCTCAGAACACGTATGAGCCAATCACCCACGTCCACAACAGAGTTAATGCCGTATTCTTTTAGCTCTTCGGTGCTGAGATCAGATGGGTGATCAAATGAGTAGAAAGTTACATCTCGTGTACGGTGTGGATCGAGATTGAAATGGTTTTGAATACGCTGCATATATGAATTATTACATGCACATTATTTGATCAGGAGACATATACGTACGTACATACGTACCTTTAATTCCCCAGCAATGCTGCCTAGCTTTCCTTCTGCTTTGCACTCAGAATAGAGAAGGTCCGCATGAGTAAGGCAAATGTGCAATGCAACACCATTCTTTGTAAGTGCTTGTAGCCATGTCTTCACAGGATCAGTAAAACATCTCCTAAGGCATTAATCATAAACTCTGTAATGATGGTTACGCAGAGATTGAGATTATAAGAAACAAAATTAAGAGGTATATTTCTTTTAAAACCACTGGAAATCCAATGACTTCAACAAGCCTTTTTGTCTGTGAAACAGCCCTGCATTCCTTCACACACTCTTTATGCCTTGGTGTGCATGTGCAACCATGGCACATGGTATATAGTTGGTTGCTGTATTACATATGTCTGTCTGTTATCTGCTTCTCCGGGAAAATTCAAGTGCTAGTAAATGATTCATGAGTATAATATCGTTCTTGCTTGATATGGCTTAGAAGGCACTTTGCAAGCACTCTTCCGAAGGCAAACCTACTCGAAGTCAATCACTTCACAACTTTGAAATACTATAGCTATAATTAACTAATGACAGTATAACCCTTCAAAAGGAGACCAAAGCTAGGTACAAAAAGCTATTACAGTGAGGAGTGAAGAAGTAATTTTAAATGAAAGTGCCCGAGGCTTTTTCAAACAATATGTGGTCGTCATGGAAACAGGTAATCCTCATGGAAATGACATAATAGTCAAATATACCAAGTTTCATCTCTATGCGTGCTACCATTGGAAGTTGAGAAGTGAATAAGTAAATTTAAAGAAAAGTGCCTACGGCTCTTTGTTGTTATTTACAAACATGTATTGTTGTGATTTTGATGTTGGCTATTGAATACATTATGTATACAAACTTCCGCTCACATACGCAATTGTGAGTTACATTGACACATGTAGTATGCCCATTATAATGTATTGCCTTGGGCAATTTTGTTGTTGTTTACAGTAAACAACAATGTTTACAAACAAAAAGTATGACGTTGCACATGTGGTTATGGATATGTACATTCCTACAGACTTTCATTGCTTTATCTCTTTCAGTTATTGAGTTATGCTGGTTGAAGAAGAAGAAGATGAACAAAACTCCCTATCATAGCCCCATACATCTATGATGCTAGGTACGTACATACCATGCCCATCCCTATGAGGCAATAATAGTGAGTTTTGTTCATCTACTCCTTCTTCTGCAGATTCAACACACATAATGAACAAACATTATTACGGTAATGAAATTTTGTAACAATGATATGATAAATGATAAATGATAAATATCCATAGCCAGATGAGACTCCGTCACACTTAAATGTTGTTTACAATGAACAATGAAAAGCACTAAAGTGTAAACCCTCGGTGTACGCATCCATGTGTACACTTGCATGGGTCAGTTGACTGCTAACTGATGGGCTCGGCCATGCTGTCAATGTATCTCTCTAGCATGCTGAGAGTCTGGCAAGGTACGTAGTAACCCTTGCTGCAGTTAAAAACAAAGAGCCCCAGCCGGGTAAGCATCAGAACAGGAAGGAGGGGTTGGGTTTTTGTTCAGGAATCCTGGTTGATGAGGTAGAGAACGAATAGTCGCCAGACCCTTTTCCTCTCTCGCGGGCGGGGAGCTTGTTAGTAATGCTGTGTATGATGAGAGCGTGTGGATGAAAGTTCGTGGTGGGAGGAGAGGGAAGCAATGTGCGTGGAGTTACAGAGAGTCTGAAAAGGAGTTAACCATGTCAGACTCTCAGTCAGTGAGCTAGTGAGAAACCATGAGTATGTCGACGGCGTGGCCCAGTCCATTAATTAGCAACCTGCACATGTGCATATGGGTTTCACACGCATGTGTTTGCGCCGAGGGTTTGCACGTAAGTGTTTTTCATTAATAACAACAAATAGCCTCAGGCAATTTTCTATAAAATTACTTTTCACTTCAACTTGCGAACGTTAACATGCATGGAGATGAAACTAGACAAAACTTGGTACACATGTGACAACAATGAGGTAACAAGGCAAAGGCAAAGGCAAGTCAACTGTACCAAGGACAACTCTTTTTTTCCAAGGAAAAAAGAAGAGCTACCCAGTGGGGTTTGAACCCACGACACTGCTTTCTAGGTGATAATTACAAGTTTGTAAGCAACAACAAATAGCCTTTAAAATCACTTCTTTACTTGCTAGCAATAGTATATACACATGGAGATAAAATCAGGTATGCACGTGTGTCACATAATCTCCATGACTCTTTTACACAGGCATTTTCTTTAAAATTAGGTATAATATACTTCTTCACTCCTCAAATATGCTACTGGCTATATATCTGCATCGTTGGTACATAAAAAGTTTATTACATGTCTAATTGGCGAGCAGGAGCAACCTAGTCGTGTCAATGGGACTATTTATTTCTTTCTATCCGGCAATGACACACATACCGTACTGTATGTGATTGTAAATAACTGATAGCCAGTAAGCAAGTTCCAATTTAAGGGGTTTCGTAGTTAACACAGCTGGGAGAACAGCTGAGAGGATCTGGAAAGACACCTTTCTCGGGTAAAGGGAGTGGTGATTAGCACGAGACAGAGCTCGCAGGAGACAGCATCTAACTTCAGGAACAGCTGAAGAGTGGAAAACATGCCTTTCTGCCACTGTGTGCAGCCAAAACAACATCACACGCAACAGAGTCACCAAACTATGCTCTACAAAGCCTGTATATCCGCAGTTGGATCACTCGTGCTCGCTGAAAACGCTTTGCATTCACCTTACTATGGGGGGCTTGTCCCATTTGAAAAGAGATAATAAATAAAATGAGAGCAGACAAGTATATATCCTGTAAATTTTAAAAGGATAGCATAAAAAGTAAGGGAGACAAGATAGACAGCGAATACACAAAACCACGAACATGCGCAGTCAATTATGACGTGCAGTTGCGGGAACAGTTATGACTGGTGAACGCGAACGGACTTTAGTAAGCGAATACCAGGGCATTCTTGGTGAGTGTGAGTGAGCATACAATGACTGTATAAACGATTGGGAAGAGGTACAGACTTACGTAGTCAGGTGTCACAGAGCGGAGCGAATGCCACAGAATTGATGGGAGTTTTCTCGCTGGCTAGATCGAGGACGAGCTAGCGCTCACTATCGTGTTTCTTTACAATATTGATATCATTTTCCATAAAAAAAGCCTGTTATCCAAAAATGCATGCGCAGTTGAATGATGTAAGTGCATATAGAAAAACACACTGTTCGGACCCATAGGTTAGCTCGCTCCTGCTTGCCATGGAGCAAGGCTATGAGCAGATAGTGAGCATGCTCACACTTCAATCCCTAAATTGTTGCTTAGGTGTATTCGCTATTATGCCACTCAGCAGGACATATTATACGTAGCTTCAAAAAGGTGACAAAAATGTTGTACTAAGTGAAAGTAGTGCCATTCTATGGTGCAACCACCACCATTGTATGCGGTTTGAAAGTGGCACACCAAACAACAATAATAGGGATTGTGTGATGGGCTCAGGAGTGTCAGCGTCTTCTCACACACCGTGTTTCATACATCCCATCCCTATCTTTGCCTCTCCCACCCTTGTATTCCACCCGTTTTAAATTTCGCAGGAACCCTTCTAGAAGTCTGTAAGATTTGTGCGTGGTTTTGTAAATAAACATTAGCTCACCGGAAGTCTACAACAAAGACCACAATTTGAGCAATGGAAAGCAAGAGATCAGCCAGTTCAGGCACAGTGTGGTCTCCATCATCAACTCCTGGGAAGTCAATTACATCGAGGCCATCAATGGTATCTTCCAGATTGTAGATCAGAGGTACAGTTGTGCGTTTCACGGCTCGGGTTCCAACCTTGACAGACTGATATGACAAAAATGAATGTGTACAAATAAACATTAGTCGTCTGAATTTTCCATAGATAATACATGTATACTATAATTTCGAGGCACAGCCACCTACTGTTATATGTGATTCCTGATTGTGTAGTTTTCTCTGATTTTTCATGCCTTATTTTACAAGTTCATTATCATATTCATTTTCCATATAACTATTCTCTATAGGAAAGAAGACCAGTGCTCCACTTCACTGGAAGTGAACGGTTCTTCACCATTATGCATACTGGCTTTCTCTGCTTCCTACAGTACGCACACGTCTATCAGAGCCTATTTGAAAAAATGGGGCATTGCCCTGCGATGCAAAGGTCAACGAATACATAATGCTCAATATGTGACAACAACAACTTGTAAGGCCTGAAAATCTAGGAAGAAACCAAATTCACTATAAAGCACGAGCGTTATAGCTGTCCTACGTACTTAACAAAACATTGAAAATAGACATCGAAACAAACAAATTATGTGATCCATCGCTAAATCAGGTTAAGTCTGTTCAAGACCTGGGTCTCGATTTAATTTTATGAGGAATGCCTAAAAGCTTGTCAAAGCTGGAAATACGGGCTAAAATTAGCAGATATAGGATAATTTAGGAGGGTGGTCACATCAGGTTAGTTTTCTTGCCTAAGGATAAAATAGCAAGGGCCTAGCAAGGTGGTTGTGATGAAAATTTCAGCCTGTCTTTGGTGTGGATGCGAAAGTAGCCGCACTATATATGCTCTAAGCATTGGCGTTTCATGTGCTCTCAGTAGCCTGATTGTGATGATGACTGTGTAGCTCTGGTGTGTCTGAAGGCAATGACATGAATATGTCAATTCTCAGTCCTAGAAGGTGAGTGACCAAAACAGGAAGGAGGCTAATGGTTGCAACTTTGAAGCTCTCAGGGGTGTGTGGCGAGCATAAGCAGAGAAAGGTATGGGAGCTGTTGAGCAGACTCAATATTGTTGGAGGAATCTTGAGAGCAGGAGTAAGAGAGTTGCTCTTGGTGGTTTGGAAAGCCTTGTAAGCACCAGAATAGTTTTAGTTGGAAAGGAGGGGTTGGGTTTTGTTCAGGAATCCTGGTAGATGAGGTAGAGTTTGTTAGTAATGTTGTGTATGATGAGAGCGTGTGGATGAAGGTTCGTGGTGGGAGGAGAGGGAAGCAATGTGTGTGGCATTTAAGGTACTAGTGCTTCTGACAAGTTGAAAGAAAATGTGCTAAGATTCATGCAGAAGGGAGGGTAGTTCTTCTTGGTGATTTTAATGCTAGGATTTGTAGGTCTACTGATGTTGATGATACTTCAGTGGGAATAGGCTGGGTTAATTTATGAATGAGTTAGAGCTGGTGATATGTAATGGTAGGTACTGGTGTCTAAGGCTGAGTGGACTAAGGTAAGGCCAAGTCTGTAACAGAAAGCAGTGATACATACTTACAGATGTGCCGTTAATGAGGGAGTTTGGGGATGTGCATTGATACTACTGATATTGGTGCTCAGATAATTTCCTTGCGTGCCTGGAGTTTGGCCAGGTTACAAAGGGTTCTAAGAAGTGAACAAAAAGGAAGCCAAATTTGCAGATGAGAAGCCTAGAGAAAACCAATGAAGTCTTGAAAGCGGAGTTTAAGAGAGCATTAGGGAGAGACTCAGTGATGCTATGAGTGGAAGCAGGCTAATCAGCGCATTTGGAGAATAGAGGGAGGAATTTGTAAAAGAAGGTGGCAAGGGCAGAGATAAGGGAGACGGTAATAGTGTGTAATAGGGCAGTAGGGTGGTAGGATGATGAGCAGATGGTAGAGAAGGGAGGTTTACAAGAATATTGTTAGGGGTAAGGATGACTTAGAGGAGGAGATGGAAAATTGCGTAGGAATTTAGTTGTTGAGAAGAGTGAGATTTTGAAGGGGTAAGTGGAAAGAGCAAATTCTGATTTTGATGGTAACATGAAAAAAATTTCGCCATTTTTGGTAGAAGGACAAAGGAGACGTGCATTCTTTCTTGATGTGTAGACGGAATACGATAATGTGTGGGAACTGTGTTAAAGTCAGTAATTTTGGGAAGACCTATGTTTTTTCTTGGGTGTTCATCTACATTGGATACATAATGAAGCAGTCAGGGGAGATATGGGGCTTGATACATTACAGGGGTGTAGGAATATAAATAGGGTTGGGGTGGTGGTAAGTTAACTGCAGTCACAAGAAATACGTAGGTATTGTGACTGCAGGGCTTCCAGAAACTCGGATTTTGTCCGAGGATGCAGATTTTTAGGCCCGTAGCCAACTCGGACGGATAATCATAGCACTTCTATACTTGGATTTTTATACTCATGCATGCGCAGGTTTGTTACGAACTATGAACCATAGCATGTGTAGAAAACCAGGTTCTAGATAGAGCCTCACACGAGTGATTCAAAGTTCGAACCTGTGTGTGAAACTGAAGGCAAAGTCTGCTAGCCAATCCTAATTACGCAGGAGGAAGCGAAAGTATCAGTTTATCCGCTGAACCAGTGGGTAATTGTTGCAGCAGCAGGGCCAGTGTTGGGGATACCAGCGACTTGTCCGCCAAACAACCTAGATATGCATGTGTCAACGACTAGTTATCGAGGTAGATGTACATTTCGGCAGCAAACCAACACTTTCGGGTGGGCAAAGGTATAAAAGGGGCCCTCATATGCGTATTGTACCGTTAGCTCCCGAAATGTCAGCATTGCCATATGGTGGTAGAAAGGATCTGAAGAAGCATGAACTTTCCAGCATGCATCAGGCGGCGAGTGCAAGTGTTAAGTCTACTCATTATTTTACATCGTACTTTTAGCAATACTCCAGGACCAAAGAAGAAGTGAGGTGTTGTAGAGGCAGAAGTAAAGTTCAGTTATTTCATTGCAGAACATCACCTTGTTTTTGCCCTGGCAGTTGAAATCACTTTTTCTTTCCCTTTTTGTGGATTCAGATACTGGTTTTAAATGTGGTCACACAAAAGCTACTGCTGTCATGAGAGTATACGTATCTCAAGATGTGATGAAGAATATTTTTGGTGGTAGTGAAGAACCACTTTCTCAGCATACACCCTGACTACAGCACCGATATCACTGTTCAGCAGCAGCGTGCAATAATGCTTCGTTTTTCTGACAATACTATTGGTAGGTAGCTGGAATTGGTAGTAAAGGTCGATGCTGTAGAATTGTTTAACGTAAAATTTCACATACACAGGTCTTTGTACTACAAAACTCAAGTTGGAATGAGCTCAGATAGAGCAAGTGTAATGCTTGAGACAAGAAACGATGTGCTCACATGTCGAAACAGCCTTCCACTTTTTCCTTTCACTGTAACTGCCATGTTGCTGAATTGATTGCTTGCAATGTCTTACTTGACGATCCCACTATCAGCATTTGGTAAAAAAGCTCTAAGCGTCAATGTGCATAGACTAGGTGGCTGAGCTTAGAGGCCTGTGTTCAATGCTTGCTTGAACAATATGATGCTCTCCTATATTATATACTTCCGAAGAACAGAAGAAACACTGGCTAGTTTGAAAAAAAACATCTGCTCTTGAGAACCCACTTTCTACATTATGTTTGTCATTGCCTCTTATGAATGTTTTAACTATGCAACCTCAAAAGCTCACTATCCACTCTTTACATCAAGAGGTGTTAAGCTTTTGTTACGATTTATGCAGCCAAGTGTAGTTCACAATTCATGCATTTCAAACCTTGATTTGGATGACGCCAGTAACTAAGTATCTCTGGATGAAATGCTTGTCGGGGAGAAGGCTAAAGTGCACGTGGATGAAAATGAGTCAGCAACTAGTGCATAAAAAATTGCAGGAGACATGTAGAAGCTTTGGCTTGCTGCTGCTAAGTATGCAATCTAGAGTTCCAGTGAACTTCTCAAGAATGTGGCATGGCTTCATCCAGCAATCCGCGATTATGGGAATTTTAGTCAGGGCCTTCTTCTTGCCCCCAAGTCATTAGAGAGGAAGAAAAACGTACAACTTCGGCACAACTGAACTTCCAACAAATTGTACTACAACCGAAATTGGCACCAAATTAGTCAAGTTGAAGATACTATTGGTGGAAACAGTGCTATCCACTTCTTACCAGATATGCAAACAGTACTAATTATTCTCCATGGCAACGCAGATGTAGAGCAAATTGTTTAGCCACATGGGACTAAACAAAATAAAGGTAAGAATAGCCTGAGTGTTGAGACATTAACTTCACTACTTCAGTTCAACCAAGAACCATGTTTTGCCTTCAAGCCAATCGATTCAAAATGCACAAATGCAATAGCATAACTGTGCATATCACCGACTAAACAGTGTATTGTTTTATTGAGTTGTATGCGTCATTAGTCCTTTTCTATGTTCTAATTGATTACAATTTGACTCGGAAATTTCTCAGGATTTTCGAGTAGTTAATTAGGATCAGTAATAATTAATGTTGGCAGCCCTGACATATACAGTAGTGATGAGAGGGTGAGTAGAAAGTTCGAAGAAGGATTAAAGGAACAAGGTTAAAAAAGCATTTGCCAGGGGTGAGGCACGCATTGTCTAAATGAGGAGCTGGGGGGAGGGAGAGAGAAGATGAAGTAGTGCCTGTTGTGGGATAATGAGTGGGAAAGTGTGAGTCATGTGTTGTGGAAGTGTCAAGCCTACACACGTCTTAGGATCAATTCTTTACTGACTTGCAGGTGAAGCTTAGGTGATTGGTTTCAGCGTTTCCAGTTGCATTATTAGTGGTTGTCAGTTGTGCAATGATTTTGTTCACTGTTTGACCTATGAAATGTTAGGTCATTGGCGCCCCAGGACAGGGAGCCCCGCCCCCAATGTTAATGAGGGGGAGGAGCACTGGGCGGGTGTTTTATTATTACAAGAATCCATTTTCTACAGTAGAAAGGGCCACGAGGGATTGCATCTATGCAGTCACACTAACTCACGGCAATATTATACGTAGGGCTTGTGTCCATCCATATGTATTATTGACCATATTTAAAGGGAGACATGATAGGGATGGGATGAGAAGCAAAGTTTACAACACTTTGTGAGCACACTGACACTCTGCAAGCCCATCACACAATCCCTAAAATATTTTTGTCTAGGTGAAGTATAAGACATAACCACTATACAGGTCCTATTGTTCGAAATTAGCAATGATGTAAAAGTGAAATTCTTGTGTGTCACCACAGCTACATAGAGCTATGAGAATGCCACACCAGGTGACGATCGTGTGATGGGCTCGGGGAGCGTCAGCGTGCTCACAATGTGTTGTAGACACATTCCATACCTATCTTATGTCCCTTTATTTTTCCTCCATCAAAATTCGCAAGATCCTTAAATTAATTGCCGAGCGCGTTAGCGTGAGGCAACTACTCCGGGTTGTATTCTCGCAATATGCGTACGTACGTACGTGTCGTCACGCTTAAGAATGTCAATTAGTCACGCTTAGGAATGTCACTTCCGTCATTCGTAGGAAGTCTAGCTTCCGCTCCCCCGCAGCACTACCACTATTGGTAGTTATATTTGGTACATGATGGCGGGGCTGTGTCAGCACGCCGCAGAGCCGCTGATAACCCCTCCCGCCGCATAATTGAAGGGATCTTCTGATACCCTTGCCGCCAACCCTAACAGGAGGGGTATGACCAGCTCATTTCTTCCCCTGATGTGATGCTGGGGAACCTCCGACACAGCCCATAACCATCGTCCCATCCTTATAATTATTACGTCTATGGCTATTCCTTAGCTTACAGTCTGGGTTGGGTTGGGTGGGAGATTCGCTCTACCAGGTCCCTTGTGCGTGGCGGACCTGGACACGATGCTGACTGTACTGCCCACAGTCCTGCCGCCCCCGCCCCACCCCGCCATATACTGTTCGCGTGTTAACATCGTTTAACATCCTATTAAACTCCCATGCGCATTCCTAGTAAGCTATGAAGAAAGCTACCCGTCATTTTAGCCATGCGATTTTAAATACGAGTGCTACAGCCCAGCGCGTCTTGTTAAACCTTTGGTGTAAGCTACGTATGTCATTTGCTAAGAGACAGCTGGCTGAGTGCTCACCCTGGCTGGTGTCCTCGTTACTTACGTAGGTTACCAAACACACTACCAAAATGGTATTAGATGATCAACAACTTAGTAACTTTCCTGACAAGCTGTTGGCAAACCATCTTTGGTGACTTTTGCTTATGCCCTCTCATGTCTACGTGACATAGCCATACACTTTGATGGTTGTAGATAAAGTTGACGGAAGATGCTAAACACGAGGCTGGTTGTAGATAAAGTTGACAGAAGATGCCAAACACGAGGCTGAAGGAATACTAAACGAGTATAGGCACACCCATTCAGCATAGTGGTTTCACTGATTTCACCAAGAAAATGGTCTTCTAAGGTGCAAACACACACTAACGGCTCTAGCTAAGACGCCTATGGTTTTGGACATAATGCACTCTAGCAAAAGCATATTCTGTATTGAAAATCTTTTCTTCACTAAAACTATTTGCTTCTATCTTAGTTGTATATACCTCTTGTGCGTATTTGCACAAAAATTTTTGCCAAATGTTACTCGTTAAATCGAGACAGTCTAGTATGGAAGTCGTAACGTAACTTAACATTGGTGTAGGACCACACACTTGCACTTACCTCAATTTTGAAGAGTTTCCTTACGAGCAATGACTTTCCCGAGTTAACGAGCCCTGTTACTCCAATGGATGTGTATTGAGCAAGTGTTTCACGTAGGTCATGGACTAGAATGGTCCACTTTAGCCAGCGAGCTACTAGAGGCCGGTGAGACTCTCCAATGAGTGACAAAGCATCATTTTCAAAAATCGCATCCCACCGATCAATTAGACTCCCGAGAGAAATAGATTTTTCAAATTTTAGATTTCGGCAGAGCTGATGCTCCAATGAATAACTGATATATTGGTTACTGGCGGTAACTATTTGTTGTATCCCTTGCAACAGAAACTGAAGCTTGCCAGCATACATTCTGTCCTCATTATCAGGAAGTTGCTGGCTAATACCTTTTATATATTCTCTGATTTCAACAATAAGCTTGCTCTGGTTATTGCTCTCAAGTTTTGCTTTAAGGGTATCACAATTCTGGCTGAAAAGTGCCCACACTCCCACCGCAACTGGGGCAGTGTTTGAAGACAATGTTTCGGCTGTGGTCTTGGCTGTGTGTATCAGAGGAATGCGAATCTGTTGTTCCATGAATGCCCCCAAGAGAGAGGCACACACAGCAACATCTTCTTTGAATATCTCGTCAAGAAGCTTGAGCATCTGTTCATTAGGTAATGTGGCTCCCGGTGATGCGTGGTCACCTTCCATGATGTCTGTGTAGGTAGCTATCTTTTTCAAACCATCACTTAGCACTTGTAGCGGTGACCGAAAATGTGCGGTGGACTTTCCATATTTTCTTGGCGATACAGAATAAACCTCACATATATTTGCTCTGGTTACCACACGCAGGTCCTTTCCAAATTCAAAACATTGATGTGTCTCAGTTTGTTCCATCAGCCCATGTAAACACACAGCAAGAAATTTCACAATGTGTAAAGGAAATTGAACACGGGATGGATGTAATTGTGGATCAACAAAAACGGGAAATGGGAAGGGCACAGCCATTATCTGGGCAGCCTGCATTTGAGAACTTTTTTGCTGTTCACTGTGATCCTCCTTAGACTTTGTGGCTACAACAGCTTCAGAGTATTTGATAGATTGATTCCTTTTCTGAGGAGTAGATGAGCTTCCCGTTCTTGTATCCGAAGGCACAGATCTCTTTTGTGACGGATGCAGGTGTTGTGGTGGAATAGTACTTCGGAATACCCCAAATTGTAAAGGTATGGACTGCATAGGTAGCTGTTGTGAAGGGGTCTGACCCCCTTGCCCTTGAATTGACTGAAGCCACATTTTTGCCACTAGCAGCACGCGGTGAAAAGGTAGTACAGGCGGGACAAAAAGTTGATCTATTAACTCACCCTCATAACCAGAATAAGCACGGATGAAAGCCTTCAATGCTCCCATGATCATTAGTTGCGATGTGTGCAGGTTTAACTTCCTTTTCCTTAGAGCTTCAGCACACTCCAATGCAATCTCATGCTTTTGATATGCAATAGCTCTAAAAACACTTTCAAGTGGAACAACCTTTACTGCTTGATTAAGAAAAGATGCAATTGCTTTCAAACGCTTTGATTGTCCACTTTGTCCTTTCTGTTCTAGCAGAGCACAAATGTATGCCAGTTTAATTACCTGGCTTGGTGTATACTTTGCCATTTGCATCTGTCTTGGAGAGAATTCATGTGGTTCCTGCAAAGAATGGCAACAGTGAACTATGTAAACACCATCAAGCTCAAGAAAAATCCCCAAGCAGAAAATGAGATGCATAAGGGTTCACAGTGATACCAGGTTGTTAATTGAATACGACCAGTGTCGAGGGTTAGAGCTATGTAATTAACCAACCACTTGCTAATGGCCCATGGATGCATTTTAAGATCCTGTCCTTTGTAAAAGTGATAAATGATTAACCCCCTCAATCATGAGGACTTTAGCCTACGCATTATTGGTGATCTTACATTACACGTACCTGGAGAGCATTCACGGACTGACGAATAGGATTTGCAAAATGAGTGAAGAGTGCCAATTTCACTTGCTTACTTGCATCAATATCTGGACCTTTGTCGATGTCACTTCGAAATTCAATCATGTTTTGTGTCGTATCTTCTGCCATTGCACTAAATTCCCTTTGGTTTGGTCCCTTCTCATCCAGACAAACCTTGTATGAAAACCACAAGTTTTCTCCTTGCACTATTATAACTCTTTCACTTGGATATTCATGTATCTGAATGCCGTTCACTTTTGGTTTCAGAGCATCAACTTCAGTAACCATATTCGTAGCTTGACCTTGATTGGGCAGCTTATATTTTTCTTGCTTTTCCAGGTAGCTTCGAGTAATTTTCACCATGTAACAACCAGCTGTGTGCTACAGTTTGAATAAGAATACGAAAGGAGCACAGCAAGTAATCACCATGTACTGGACATAAGAATAGCACAGACTGAAAAACTACAACATCATTCACAGCCGCCCAATAAACTAAACATGAGCAATGACACACAGTAATATGTATTAAGTGCTGCCAATTCTGGAGCAGCTTTATTGTCTTCACATGTCACATCAAAAAACACGAGTACATTTTGACATTGCCTACGACTGAGGTTACATGTAAATAAACAGCTCACGCCACACAGAGAAAACAAGAAGAAAACAGATGAGACAGACAGAATATTAAGAAGAATTAGAGCGTCGGTAGACACCCTATATAGGGATGGCACGGGTCAAATCTCACGTGATGCAAATCTGAGTGACAATAATAACAAACAAGTGGGAAAATCATGTCTTAAAATGAAGGGGGGCATAGGCATGGCTCAAAATGAAAAGGAAGAACAAGGGGTCGTCGTCACACAGCTAAGACATACAAAAGCTACATGGCACCATCCTTATATACATATTTGTCTGATCGTATGTGCTTATTAATCAATACAACAAAGATATAGAGATGGTGCCATGTAGCTTTGTGTGTTTTAGCTGTGTGATGGCCCCTTGTTCTTTCCTTATTAATGTTTGAGCCATCCCTATATCCCCTTCATTTTGAAAAAAATGATTTTTCCACTTGTTACCATTAGATTTTTAATTATGAACAGCTATGACTACGCGGGATTTACTTATTATGGTAAGCTGGATGTGCATGGGGTTGCAATGAACTTGATTCAACTTGTTCTGACAGAGCAAGCACCATGCACTTAAGAAGCAAGCTTTTGGAGTTGGGTAGACAGGGACACTGAAACATCAGCATAGTACACAACTAATGGCGGCTGCTGAGCAAACCAACACATGTTAGCTACGCGACACCGTAACCAGCTCCCCGCATGTGTCATTGCACTGCGCGTGCATCAGAACAACGCCCCTGGCCCTCTGCATGCTCAGCACTTGCTGAGCTGCCACTTACATACGCTGCTGAGTTAGCAGGAAATGGCATCTGCCATGAAAAAGCTCAAAGATCAACCATAGGGACTTGCGACAAGAAGGAAAAGAGCTGATTTGTTTCGAACCCCGGGGAGGTGGATTGGAGATACGCGTATGTCTAACACCGCCGTGACAAAGGCTAAGTCCGGAGCAAGTGAGCCAGAGTAGGATTGCGCTTGCACACCTGCAGTGTAACCTGGAGACGTTTAGTTAAAAAAGCAGCGCTTCAAATGTTTCCAGTAATGGTTTGAAGAAGAAGAAAGAATAATATCATGATGATGATGACACCAAAATGGTGAATTCGCCTGTGAGCGCAAATTCTCGCGTGGAGAACTGATGGCAGGTATAATATACGTAGTCTTTGGGGATATGTATAGCTAGATATTGGCATGTAGAATATTGCTAGTGATTTTTGAAGGCATAATTATGGAGTCATTCTCGCTGAGTTTTGAGGCGTTATGTACACGGATCACGTGAGATTTGACCCGTGCCATCTCTATAATTATTCAAAAATGAAGGGGGATATAAGGATGGCTAGAAGCATCAAAAAGGAAGAAACAAGGGTTATTACACAGCAAAGATACACATAACTATATGAAACCATCCCTATATCTTTGTCTGATACATTGCCTATGAATCAATGGAACAAAGATATAGGGATGGTGTCATGTAGTTATGTGTATCTTTGACCCTTGTTTCATTCTTTTTTGGTGCTTCAAGCCATCCCTATATCCCCCTTCATTTTGATTGCTAACAGCTAAGAGAATAGCGATCCGATCCAGTTAAGATTCAGAACATGGTCCTTCAAGCCTGATGCTACTCTAGCCGACGAGATCTAGCTGGAATACTGATGCGCGAAGCAGTCAATCGTCGATTTCACGTTCAACCTTCGACCTACGGATAGCACTACCTACCATCGGCTACACCAGACCGACCCGATAGCAAGCGACACTCATGCCAGGTGAAGAAGAACAGACGAAGCAACTGCCCGCAAGAAGAGACTTAGAGCTGTTCACCGGGGCTCCGTCACGAGACTACTCAACCAAGTAGACGGAACGATTGCGTCATCAGAAGTACCCAGACTAAAGCAATCGCTAAGTAGTAAACAGGATACCCTATCAAAACGTGATGACGAGATGATAGAGTTAATAGTCATGGAAGAAGAACTAGAGCAGGAGGTTGAGCAAGCAGTTGTGATCAAGGAGAAGATTAGCCTCGCTTTGATGAGTCTGGTGACTGGGAAGTCATCAGAAGGAAGAGTGGGCCTATCGCCATGCATACCATGGTCGGTTGGGTTCTTTCAGGGCTGATCAACAACCAAGAAGTTACAACTCACGCTCTGAAGATTGACACCTGCACATTGGAACCAAACTTGGATAATCGGCTGAAGCAATTCTGGGAACTCGAGTCGCTTGGTATCACCAAGAACGAGGCTTCCGTCTATGGCAAGTTCGTACAGCAGATACGATTTGACAGTCAGAGATACGAAGTTAGTCTTCCGTGGAAGGAGCATCACCTACCACTCCCTGACTACCTTGACCTTTGCTGCAAACGTCTCATTGGACTGATCAAAAGACCGAAGCAAACTCCACAGCTGCTCAAGAAGTATGACGTGATCATCCGGGACCAACTAGACAAGGGGATAGTTGAGGTTTTGCTGCAACCAACATCAACAGTCAGCCATCAAGTCCACTATTTGCCACACCATGGAGTCGTCTGACAGGACAACACGACCTCAAAACTCCTGATCGTCTATGATGCCTTGGCTAAATCCACTGGCCCATTGTTGAATGAATGCCTCTACACTGGGCCTAATTTCGGGCAATCGAGCTGGAGAGTCCTCTTTCGATGCGAATTTTATCGCAGCAAAGACTAGAGTCACACCTGTTGGCAGCATGACCATTTATCGATGTGAAGTTTATTGCAGCAAACACTAGAGTCACACCTGTTGGCGGCATGACCATCCCGAGACTGGAACTACTCTCAGCCTTGTTACTGTCTAAGTTGATAACAAGCATTGCAGCCGCATTGGAGAGAGAGACGTCGCTCAACAACCCTGTGTGCTTCTCTGACTCCAAGGTCTCTCTTCTGGATAAAGGGGACAAATCACAAATGGAAGCAGTTTGTTGAGAATAGGGTTTTCAACATTCGGAACCTGGTCCAGCCTCAACATTGGAAACATTGTCCAGGAGCAGAGAACCCTGTCGACATACCCTCAAGGGGCATGCCTGCATCGACTCTCGCTGAAACACCGCTCTGAGGACCACATTGGCTCTACTCCGAGGAATGTCAGCCAGAGGAATACGATCCAGACACTTCTGCAGCCCAACTCCCCGATGATTGTCGGATCGAAATGAAACGTAAGGACGCTGTGGACAATACTGGACCAAATCTCAGCCAGCTCATCGCCCCAGAGGACTACAGCTCAGCCAACCGTCTTTTTCATGTCACAGCACTGGTACTTACGTTCGTGCATAATGTCCGGAACCGAGTCCACAACCCCTCAGTCACGGATGGGACGACCGCTTTGAGCGAATTAGAGCAAGCAAGGCTTCTTTGGATAAAGGAAATCCAATCCCAGCTTCAGAATGACGCAAGATTTCCCTCGTGGACTTGGTCTTACCCTGGACAAGTCAGGAGTGTGGAGATGTCGCGGCATGATGAACTCTAATCTCCGTCCGCTCAGACTCCAATTCTGCTGGACAAGAATCACCATCTGACCAAACTTGTTGTCATGGATGCCCACAGGCATGTGATGCACAACGGGGTTCAGGAAACACTTGCTGGGTGATACGGGGGAGGCAGTTTGTCCGCAAGCTGATCCATGGCTGCACCATTTGCCGCAGGATAGAGGGAGACCACTGTGCCGCTGTTCCCACACCACCACTGCCAGAGTATCGAGTTCGCCAGTCCCGGCCATTTTAGACCACTGGTGTGGATTTTCGCTGGCCCACTTCATGTGAAGACATCCAACCACAGCAGGACCTCCAAGGTATGGCTATGCCTATATACATGCTGTACTACCAGAGCGGTGCATCTTGAACTAGTCTCTGACTCAAGCACTCCTACCTTCATGCGGAGTTTCAGACGATTTACAGCCAGACGAGGGACACCCTCCAGGAGGATTTCTGATAATTCTGATAATGCAAAGACCTTCAAGTCTGCTGCGGCCGTGATCAAGGATATTTTGAAGTGTCCCGAAACAAGGGGATTCTTTGCCAAGCTCAACATTGAGTGGACATTCACAGAAGTAGAAGCTGTGCTTAATTCTCGTCCACTCACCTACGTCTCCTCAGAAGACGCAACGGAGCCACTCACACCATCTCACCTTCTGGTTGGATACAGAATCCTGACTCTACCTGACCCTACAATACCCGATGACTCGGACTACACTCCAGAGAATATTACTCGTAGAATGAGTCACCTATCCAAGACCTTAGGGAGATTCTGGAAATGCTGGAAGAGAGAATACCTACTCGAACTCAGAGAGTTCCATCGGTCAAGGGCGAGAGGGGGAGTGCTGTACACACTTCCGAGAGAAGTTGTCACTGTATATGATGAAGGACACCCGAGGGGGCTGTGGAGGTTGAGGATTTGACAGAAGGCTCCGATGGAAGAATTCGTGGAGTATATGTGAAGGTGATGTCCAAGAAGGGCCATATTAAGGTGCTCCGGAGACCTATTCAACACATTTATCGTCTGGAGGTTCGATCAGATTTACCTGTTCCATCACCTGAACCTCGTCAAGATGATGCTACCCCAGCTGCATCAGAAGACGTGCAGAGTCGCCCAGTCAGAAGAGCCACAACTCAAGCTCGGGATCGTGTACTGGGGTGCCTGATGAAAGATTGAAATATGTAATGTTGAACAGTCGCCTGTTCAACAGGGGGAGTGTAATGGACTTATAATCATTTCGCATTAGCTATCACCAATGTCTATTTATACGACTCATGTCACGTGATCATTGCAGTTGCCATGTGCGTCTTGCTAGTTGTACGTACGTGTGAGTTTGATCGAGAATTTGATTGATTGCTAACAGCTAAGAGAATAACGAGCAGTGTTGGTTACTCAGTAGCATGACTTCCAAGTTATAGGACCTGACACATCTGAATGATAAATGTAATCACCTAGGCAACACTATAGGGATGTAATGGGATTGGGGGTGTCAGCCTGCTCATACCTGTTTGCAAACTAAGCACCATGTATCCCATCCCTTTCTTGTCTTCTTTTCCTTTATACCATCCCTATATGCCTCCTTGTCTTCTTTTCGTTTATACCCTAGTCTACACTTAAGTACCATGAGTGCAAACCGGCAAACTGCGCATGCGCGGTGTTGCTAATTGATGGGCTGGGCTATTAGTATGTGTTTACTCATGGTCTCCCGCTAGTAGCTAGCGGAGAGTCTGACACAGGATAGCTACAGTAGTAGATAGCATGCGGGAGGTGTTACATGCCCATTGTTGAGACTTCTTGTGCCTCCAATGTATATACACAGAGCAAGTGGACCTGGTCGAGGTAAGCCTGTGCTATTTGCATATTGGCTTGTTCACTTGCTTTAAACGTCATAACTTTCGAACACAGTGCAGTTTTACATTTTCAACATGAAGCCAGTGTGGCAACGAACCAGTTGGTATCGCTATTTTGTTGTAGTGTTGCGCGTAGTCGCAGAACAGACAGACTGACACACGAACAAACACCATAACCCTCGCTGCGCATGCGCGCCAAACGTTAAAAAAGGTTTTGTAAACAACAAAAAAAAACTGCCTCAGGCAATGCAAATGGTGTTTGTGCCTAAACTGTCTCAGTCATCTAACACTGATGTAACAGCTTATCAAAAGAAACAAGTAAATAACGAACAAAGAGTCTCAGCTAATAAAAACATAGGATGACTAAAGCTATATACTCTTTATGGGCATTTCGCCCTAAATGTGTATTGCACACAATGCATGTGAATGTAAAAAAAAAAAGAAATGAGACAAGTCTTCGAATTAATGTAGGAATAGTATGAAAAGCAAGGAGACAGGAGATGGATGAAATAGTGCTGTAAAACTGGTTAGTTGAGCGAACTTGGAAGTCTTGACTGCAAACAATGCAGTCACAACTCAAAGGCAAGACCTGTGCATTAGCTGGCTCATGTGCTTAGGGTATGAGTCATACGTATACGAGGGAGCACACTCATGCTATGCAACAATACATGGCTTGTGTCGAGGAAATTTACACGAGCAAGCAATGTCAGTGCACCCTTCATCCATGCACTACTGCATCACATGCACTATATCATCCTTGTCTTGTCTCTTTGCTTTTCATACCGTCCCTATATATTCATTTTGAGAATTATTAACCCTCGACCCACACGACCATGCTTTCTGCAACCACGCACAACAAACAAGCAACCCAAGAACAATACCAACAGGTTCAGCTTACCTTAATCACATTGTGTACAGTGGAAGTGTTAGAAGTTACCACGGGGTCTTGCATGCTAGCAGCTAGCCAGTGTGAGATCCTACCTTGACTCGATTCTGCTAGTTTTGTGTACCATGGAGGCATTAAGTATCTTATCAATCAGTGTAGCAAGCCTGTGTCAGACACTCAGAGAGGAAGCGAAAATTGACAGCATCGCTGGTGGATACGAGGCTGATTGAAATGGGCTTCAGTTTCCTGGGGCGTTTCAGCTGCAAGTGGTTCCGCCGCCCTCGACAGAGTGAGTTTGTGATGGGGTTTGGATACAGCGAGTATGAAGCAGGTGAGCCTTAATGTTACACTATTGTAGTCTTATTGATGGTAACGCTACATTTGTTAACTCATTACATTGTAAGGGAATCTATTGGCTGAGCTTTGTGTCGACAAGATATTTCACTTCTGGCAAAAAACAGCAGCACGTATACATCGAAGCCAATGTGGCAGTACATAAGGACTAAATTTAGGAAGTGGAACTAAACAATAGGGCCCATAACAAGGATGCAATGTTGAAAACTATGAGGTAGAAAGGCAAAAGGCACAACAAACAAATCACCTGCACCCAGGACAGCTATTTTTCCAAGGAAAAAGAAGAGCTGCCCTGGGTGGGGCAGTCTAGGTGAGCGCTCTACCAACTGACCAGGGCAACTCAGCTGGTAGGGGTTCGAATCTACAACACAATACAACACAAGGCAAACCTCAAACGTTTTTTGAAACATAACTTAGTTACTTCTTTCAAGAAAACTACGGGATTTAAATGAACCTGAGGGCCTCAGCATTCCTCGCACAGTGAGGTAACTTTGTGGATGGCCCAAGGGTTCATTGAAATCCTGTAGTTACGGAAGTATACGAAATAGCTAACATTGATGATTTGCTGACATTGAATAACACATCGTTTAATTAGGCCACTGATGACATATACCCAGAGGAGCTTAAACTAAAAAGAACATCTGAATCACCAACAACACTGTCATACTTAGATATACATATAACTATAACAAATGGGAAATATTCCACGGCAGTATATGATAAACGGGATGATTTTAACTTCAAAATTGTAAATTTTCCATATCTAAGTTCCAATATTCCATCTGGACTAGCATACGGAGTTTATATTTCCCAATTAGTACGTATAGGTAGAATATGTAGTGATTACTCGGATTTTACGTTGAGACATTTCAAACTAACGGAGCGACTGATTCATCAAGGATACAGATACTCTGATTTGTGCAGGTCCTTTTATAAGTTTGCTAAAAAGCACGCACAAATTATGATTAAATATAGCTACAGCATACACAAACATGTGGAGGATGGTATATGTCTGCCAGCAATGGATAGATTCCTCAGTCGCCATGTGTCGCATAGATAGAATGTATATTTATAGTCACATATTTATTTTGAATAATCTATTTTTAACATTTCTATTTCTACCATTTCTACTATTATTTATATTATTTATATTTTTCTTACACGTGTATATGCTGTGCGTTATTTAAAGTAATCGAAAGAACTATTAATCTTATTTTAGGAGTTCTATTTTTTCTATTTTTCTTACACGTGTATATGCTGTGCGTTATTTAGAATAATCGCACGTTTTTATGTCTCCGTCGTCGTCGTGCTGCGTGAGTTTCAGAGTTTTTATATTTTTCTATGAGTTTATTGGTCCTTTGAGGCTTTCTATTTTTCTACCGGCTGTTGTTTTTATCCTGTAGCTGTCGTTTTTTGTACATGATTTATATCTATTTATTTTATAACTATGTGTAAGGGAGGTTGGGACACTGGGTGTGTAGGGAGAGTTGGGCCCATAAAAGACTCTTTAACCTACCGCCCCGGTTCTCAAGGCTGGGCACCCAGGGTCCTGCCTCTTTCTTTCTGTTTATATGTTATTGTCTGTGTTTTTGTACGCTTGGGTATGTTATTGTCTGTGTTTTGTGTGCTTGGGTGGGGGAGGTTCTTTCTTTTCCTCTGAGCTAGTATGCTATAAACATGTTTTTTCATGCTTAGCGCAGAGCAAACATATCCGCATACGCACAATGCCTGTTTCCAGGCCACAGAATTATGAATGGGCGCAAAGACACGAGAGCAGTTAGAGCTCACTGACACTAGTCACAAGCCAGAAACAATAGGAGAAACAGGAGCTCGCTCGTTGTCTGCTACTCTTTTGCGAAAGAGGGCACCGCCCACCCTTCGTGCACATGCACTTATGGATAGCTAGGCCATTGCTTCTTGTCTCCCTGTGCATATTGTAAGGAATTCTCTATAGCGTTATGTTTGTGTAGATGTTGTACATAGGTGATACATGTACATGAAAAACAAGGGTTTCAAAAGGGTATACTATTGGAAATCAAGAACCTCGTGTGGAGCAATCAGATTTTCGATTCACATTTTGCACTATGAAAAGTCAAAAAACTACACATACTCCAACACATCTGCGATTCTAAGAACCATGCCTATCTGTACATACAGTAGATTTGGTTTATACAAACCTCTTCAAAAATCCTTTCATTCAGTTGATCGGCCACAAACTGTGGATGTTGGTTTAACTCAATTGCAGCAAGTTGTTTTGCCTGTTGTTGCCATGACAGCCCTTGGTCCCTGCTCTCATGAGACATTACATAGCAATTTCCATAAAGAGTTACTGCTTCTTGACATGTAACAATTCTTCTCAATGTATCACTTAATTCATTTATTGCTCCTCTCATTTTTTGCGTTACCTAAATTTGTTTGACACTGTGATGGTGAGTATACATTATGGTTAAATTAACAAACCCGTGATTGGGGATGGAATGTTTGAAGAACAGCAAGATTTTGAAGAAAGGTCTTTATAAATGGGATATGAAAGAAGCCACCCTGCAAGTATACATTGTACAGCAGTTAAGTTCCTGCTCTCACAAGAATAAGAATATATGGCGAGCGAAGCGAGCCCACCTACTTGTATGAATGTCGGATAAACAACACACATACGTACGTACCTTAGGTAACTCAGATGCATACTTACAGTTTAGTATATTTTGAGGTTCCCAAGAACACAGAAGAGGCTATAAACCTCTAGACATCACATTTGCTATCCCTATACTTCCACTGGATAGTCACTATTCTGGCAAGCCACTAGGCATTGATTTAAAAGCGCTGTGGATCTACGACTTTTGACCACCTTCCTGCTCTCATAGATAGCCAATGTGAGTAGTCTCAGCAAAAACTGACCACATGTTGTACATGCACTGCGAACTTGTCATACCCAAAAGGCCCTGGCTAAAATATCTAACAGCCATAAGGGTAGTAGGGGTAAGTGTGCATCTGGAGAGTGAAAGAAACCATCACCTAATTTGCACGACTCTTTTAGGTTGTGGTCTATGCCATGGATTTTGCCACTTGTGTCTGATACAATACTTGGGGCAAGACAGGGATGATTTAGTGCCTGCGATGGTGTTCCTGTGCTCAAAGTGGTATGCACGTACTAACTTTCACCTGCATTTTCTCCATGCCACAACTACAAAGCAAAAATACTTTCACACAAATGCATAAAAAACTTTTTGTACCACTTTGGGTGAAAAAGTAGGTTTTGGAATTGCATCATCCGGTCCGACAAGTGCTTTAGTTTTACGGAATACACCAGGTGACACATTAGGGTGTTTGCTCTCATCTACATTCAGAAAGCTAAACAGCAATGGAACAATATCTTTTTTATTGAACACAGAGTGAATGGACTCCATGAACTGTGGACAAATTGCATCTTCTTCCTCCACCATCTTAATTTGTAGGAATGGTTGCCCAAAGGTGATGCAGATAACCCGTTGCGACAGAGCTTCTCTGTCAATTGTGCTATGCCACAACCGAGCACTCACACAGCAGGCCAGTATCCCGCCAAAGGAAAACCCTAAATCATGTACAAGTATAAACATAATACATAAACATACACTGCAAAAAGAATTTACCAGTGAAAACAATTTTCTTGTTGTTAATAAGCTCATCCGTGAAGAAACGAAGGGGAATTTGAACACTTTGCTGCCGTAGTCCTGATACATAGAGAACATACCCAACAAAGCTTAGCAACATCTACACATTATGTCTAACCTTCTTCAAAAGATGAAGCAGACTTAGTCCATTCAGAAATAGATAAATAACTTCGAAATGCAACATATAACACATCCTTTTGTTTAGCAATAAGGTAGGGTGTGACGACGTCGTCCCTAACTTGAGAAAATGAAACCTCTGTGAGACTGTGCTGTGGTCTCTTGCTTTCAAAAAAGGACAGAGAACTACTTTTAGAGCTTGATATTGCTTCACAGCAGAGGCAAGCGTGATATAGGGTATCTTTCGAGAATAGTGACGGTGGAGGAGTGTCCTTCGTTACTAGGGGTTTTGGAACATAACTACGCTCAGTAGCAAGCTTTTCAGCAGCTTTTTCTACTTGTTCCATTGACCAACGCCATAATGCCGTCGGAATGACAAGATGAAGACGGCAAAGCTTTTCAATATCATTCTTCACTTGACAAGTCTCTATATCGGCCCTTAAACCTGTTTTGATGTATAGTTGGATTGCATGTTTGAAGCAATTGATTACAGATAGCTCAGTCGAGTCACTGGCTGAGTCCAATGTTAGGCTGAAGGCTTCAAGTTGTCTCCTTAACTTTTCAAACTCCTCTGTGTCTTGTTTGTCTGTATGCATAATATGTAACATTGACAAATATTCAACAAACATTCTTAACTTACCTGAACTCTCCTTTAATTTAATATGTGTGGCTGAAAGAAAAAACATTCAAGTAAACACATTAATATATTCAGCCCTGGCTTTAAATCTTCAACTATCATAAAGTTAAACTTGCTAAATTCAATTATGTAGGTAAATGTAGGGATTAAACATTGTTTTTCACTGATTATAGTACGTATAGAGGCGTATTACTGTACGTGAAATATGCAATTGGTGAAGTACACGCTGTAATAGAAATATTTGGAGACGTTTTGCCTGTTCAGTGTACTGTGGAGGGATAGAACTACTCCGGGGATGTGTATCCAGTCCGACGTTGTTCTAAAATGCGATGTAGCTAGCAGTGCTTTTCAGGAGTATATATAGTCTCGTGCGCAGCCACCCTACACTCAGGGACGTCTGGTAACAATTGCACAGTCTCTTGGCTTTGATCCCGATTCTGAGATCACCCAATCAGTTTGCTTGCTGGTTTGACAAAACGTGGGTGCGACCAATGAACGCTCGCATACATAGTGTATATTACACCATTCTAAATTAGCTATACTGCTGGTTGCCTAGCCATCACTATCCCAGGCCACTTACGGTCAACAATCGAGACAGTTTTGACTTACAAACTGTAAGCAGAAGCAGTGCGGAGAGAACCTTTTCCAACCACCCACAATTATAACAACAAACTCAACTTTGAGTAAGCTGCAATAGTTACCAGACGCTTCTTTCCCGGTGGGTGGAGTGTCTGGACACGAGACTACTGTTGCAAGGGTTAACCACTTTAGTGCTTGTGATTTGGCAAAAGCGGTCACATTGGACATATACCTTGAGTTACATACGTAGGTATCCACATTGGACGTATGTATACCTTGAGATATAGGTTCGCTAGCATAGGTGTTTTTGATGATCATGATGATTTGATGGGGCGGTGGCTCTCTATCACATTTGGTCGGGACATCATTAGTATCATTTCTTCTTTTCATACTATCCCTCTAATTATTATTCCTTTAAATTCCCAGTATTTTTTAATTTATTTGTCTCCACTCATTATTATATACTACGTATATCTCTGTGAAAGGGGGCAAGCCCCCTAAAAATTAACCATAGCCCCCTAAAAAATTTATAACAGTTGACATGGTTGTCATAGAAATGATGCAATACGCATGTGTACAAAGTTTCATCTCCATATCTCCATGCGTGCTACCATTACCAAGTTTGAGTGGAGAGAAATGGCCTGAAGCAAAATTTGTTGTAGTGCAAACAATATGTGGTCATCATGGAAACGATGTAATACTCATGCGTACCAAGTTGCACCTCCATGCGTGCTACTGTTAACAAGTTTGAGGAATTAAGACGTAATTTTTTACAACTTGTGTGGAGGAAAATTTCCCTACCACATCTCATGCACTAGGCTATCCCTGTTTTGTCTCCTGGCATTTACACTTTTTAAATTTGAATATTTACTGTATACTAAGTACTGGTGATAGAAAAGAAAATCTGGTTTGGGGGGAGAGAGTTCTACAGTAGAATTTTGTCAACAGTTCATCGTGGAAGTGATTGTCCCAAGCGCATTTCCACATAGTGTCTCGTTCTTGCTAAAACGAGATTGTTGCCTATCGCAAATTTACGTAGCTCTTGGTTATGTGGAAGAGTGCATAACGTCTGTAAAGGCGTTTCACAGTGTTATTATGAATGACAGGAGGTGCCAGAACTCATCTAACTGCAGATGTACTCTCACTATCCCCATACCTTCAATAAAGTGGGTTACCATGTAATACGGATAATGTAATACGCCACGTTTCTAGACCAATGCAACATATTTTCTGAGAGTGAAGCTAGCGGTTTAAATATTTCACGCGTGTTTTCGTGTGTATTTTGAATCACTTATGTGTGTCCCTCAGATGTATACCGCATTCAGATGACTAGGTGGGCTCATTTCGCTCGTATGCACTTTGCTCATGTGATTCTTATCCAACAGCGGAGGCATGTCCAACCTCCGCTGGGTCTGGTCGCTTTTGAGCGATTCCTTTGGCTTTGGTATTATAATTGGGAGAGAGAAATTGGAAGTAAGCTCCGCTTGATAGACTATGCATTAGGCCCAATTTTTTTAATATTATACAGCGGAGGACACTTTCGTTTGGCGGTGATTAAAGCATACAGTTTTTGGTACATTGTTTGGGCGGTTGTTGCGAAATTTGCTTAGAATAAGAAACTTCCTGATTGGTAGTTTGAATTTTCAACCTGGAAGTCTAAGAAATCGCTGAAAGGGCCCTGACCTTTTCTCCTTTGTGGGTGGAATCAGGGCAACAAACTCAATGCGGGTCACTTAAAAAAACCGACAAATTTTCATGCGTGAGTGCGTAGGAATGCAATTTGTAGTGAGGAGAGCTATGCCTCATAGAGAGTGGCTAACATGGAGATTTTTACAAAATACTTGACACACCATCAACATAATGTTAGTACAAAAATGCGATTATAACTCTAAGAGCTTCACTTTGATATCCATTGTGTTCATGGGGAAAACTCAAGCATTTGCAAAAACACCCAACAATATATGTAAAATATGAACAGAACTTAGTACTAAGAGCTTAACCATTGCTTTTTCATGGGGGAAACTCATAAGATGTGCAAAACCCCCAACAAACTCGACAACTCTGTACGCACAATAAAACATGTTATAAGTATTGAAATGTCTCACTGCTGCTCCTGCCACAGAGCCTTGTCATAGCTCATAGCTCAGCATTCGTCGAGAAGGGTCCAAACTGTGTTTATCGTTACAGATCCTCAACCTTCCTACAAAGGCCGAGTAAGCCTCTAAAACTTGGATCACTGTCAGCTCCTTGAACGTCAGTACCAAGGCCTCAGGCAACTATGCTATGAAACATGCCAATTGTTAACCCTCGGCGCGCATGCACACCGAGGGTTACAGTTGTCATGTGTCAGTCTGTCTGTTACCCGACGTCTCACTTCACGTGAATGAGCCAATATGCGTTTTCACACAGGCTAAAATTCTGCAGAGAACGTTTACCAAGCTTATTATTGAGCTAATAACATGGCAAATGCAAGCGAAAGATGTGCCTCACTTGGTAGTATGCTTACCTCGTCTGCAGCCTTTAACAGAAGGCGGTGTTCCTCAACTTTGCTTACATCGAACCCTTCTCTAGCGAGCGCGCGCGTCTTCGCCGAGGTTTTGCACTTTCATTTAATTCATGTAAATTGCCCATCATTCTCATCCTATTACATGTGACAACAGTGAGGTAGCAAGGCAAAGGCAAAGCAGAGAAGTCAACTGAACCCAGGACAACTCATTTTTTCAAGGAAAAAAGAAGAGCGGCCCAAGGTGGGATTCAAACCCTGCTTTCCAGGCGAGCGCTCTACCAACTGAGCTACCAGGGAAACTCAACTGGTAGGAGTTTAAGTCTTCAGCAACACATTTTAATTTAGTCCTGCAGACTGTTGTGTTGTTAAATTGGGTATTAAAAAAGATAATGTACTTGCAGCACACAATGGTTGAACCAGGCCATAACAGAGGACAAGGAAGCTATACATTCCTCTCCTTGCTACTGTGTGTTGCAACGTTGGTTGATACTGCCTGAAGTATATACACACATAAGCCAACACAATTCTGCTGTCAACTGCTGTGCATGGCAGCAAAATGATCGGTTTGGCTGAGCTGGTGTTTTACGTGCATAGTTTCACCTGTAGGGGGTTACCCTGTCTACGCTACACCATTCTTGGCACAGATCTAGACTCCTCCCCCCCCCTTTTTCTGCAAGGGATGTGGCTACACCACATCACTCCAATAGGGGATGTCAATTTGTGCTTGTTCCAGCCAAGTTGGCACAACTCCTAACAGTTTAGGGCATGGGGGCGAGCGGCTGTATCTATCATGTACGTAGCTACTGTAGCTAGCATTACCTCGCATCTCGTCGGCGATACCTTTCGTACATTTATCGTTGGATAGAGCATCACATAACTTGTCGAATACACCAGAATTTAAGCGCAGAGACTGCAACACTTCTTTTATTATAGAATTGCCTCGCTCGTCCCGACCCAGACCAGTGTTGGTAGCTTTGCAGAAGGCATCTTCGGAGATAACGTCTTCTTGGAAGAGGACAGCGGGTATCTCACCTCTGATCACAGCATCTTTAAGAGCTACCAAATGTCTTTTAACAGCAATATACTCGGGAGTGTCATAGGCGGCCATGGTATAGTCTCGTTCCCCAGACCCCGCCCCTCTGCTAGGGAGAAAGGTGATCCCACTTTCATGCCCAGACCCCACCCACAAAAACTGAGGGCTTATTCTGGGGCCACGAGGCGGCCTCGACTATATCAGAATTACGCGAGCCTGAAAAATAAAAACGATTTTCCTATAAACAAGCGACCTTGGAGACACAAGAAGTCACATGCTATCTAGTGTAGCAGTATCCCATGTCAGACTCCGCGAGCTAGCGTGGAGACCACGAGTAACCGCATACTACTCATAGCCCAGCCCATCAATTACCGGTACCGCGCAGTGCGCCGAGGGTTTTCATCTTTTTAGAGGAACCACCATTACTAGGCACAAACCAAGTTTTTATTGCCCGAGGCTGTTTTACAAACTTGTAGTTTACACAATGATTACAATAAACATTATTATGTGTATATTATACAAAGTTTCTTTATTCTGCAATAGTCTAAATTGTCATATTATGACCTAGGACTATTTTCGCTGTTTTTTGTTGTTTACTTGTAATCTTTGTGCATGTCATATCTTACCTTGTTTTTGAGATATACATGTTGAAACTGCAATTTTGATAACAGACCTTTTAATCACTTACCAATAGTAATTGTAACCCACTTCTTAGGTAGATGGCTATTTTGACCATATTGATAATGTCAGAAGTACGATCTGAATCTGATTGAAACTGAAACTGAAATGTGAAAATCTCAAATGTATGAGCACAATTGCTGGTTAATGTGTCATCGATCACTCTAGGAACTCATGCTTTGAGCATTTCTTTGCTTTGCAGCCTTGCTAAGAACATGCACACACATGGTGATTGCACAAACGGTTAATGTACAGTGTAAGCAGGTCCCAGCTGTCGCACACACTATGGCATCAGACTGACATGGTTCTTCAACACCAGACAGCTGTGTCACACACTATTGCACCAGACTACTGTAGTCATGTTCACACCACTGTAATGGTCATGTATGTTGTTGCCCAGATCATCACCAATGCGCAAATGGTCACAGCCTATAAAAGTGATGTTGTAAAATGTATTATAGTCTCGGTTCCTAAGATTGCTGTCAGTCAACAACGCGCTCAACCGTATTGCGCGAGCACCAGTTCTTCGGCGTTCGTCGACCAGATTACAGTGGCGTAGTCGGCAGGATATGGCCGACGGAGAAGAGCCCGGGGAAGAACCGAGAGCCGCTGCGGAGGGTGTCCACACTCCGCCCTCATCACGACCGCTAGTCCTCCCAGAGGTGTACGACGGAACGAGCAGCTGGGACGGGTGGGCCTTCCATTTCGAGAACGTCGCCGCCGTCAACCGATGGGATGATGCGGACAAACTGAGATGGCTCCGAGTTCGTCTCACGGGACGCGCTCAGAAGGCCCTCCAGCGACTCCCTGAGACGTCTGCGTCGACGTATGCGGCAGCCCGTGCCGCTCTGAAAGCCCGCTTTGACCCGGAGAGTCGCCATACCCGCTACCAAGCCGAGTTTCAGGCGCGCCGTAAGAAAGCGACGGAGGGGTGGGCAGACTTCGCAGACGACTTGAAAGCATTGGCCGACAAAGCGTACCCCACGCTCCAGGACGAGGCTCGGGAGCAACTGGCCATCAACTCGTTTCTACAGCAACTGATGCCTCCGCAGGTCGCATTCAGCGTAAAACAAAAACGGCCGGCTTCACTAGACGATGCCGTGGCGGCAACACTAGAGCTGGAGTCGTACGTTAGCCCTCCGACTGCGGGGGTTTCCGCTACGCAACCCGAGGAAGCTGTCTGCTCGCCCGTAACGTCCGAAGCCAGACACGTGGAACAGCTGACTAAAGTGGTGAAACAACTCGCGGAACAGGTGGAACGTCTACAGACAGCTGCAACCCGCCCTCAACAAAGGAGGATCCGTCCGTTCTCCGGAGAATGCTGGAGGTGCGGGCAACCTGGCCATATGGCACGGAACTGTCGTCAAAACTCGTGGAGGCAGCCGGAAAACTGACTTCCTCCGGCGCCAAGGACCAATCGCCGGAGGATGACTTAAGTCAGGTCCAACGTTTCGAACACTCAGCTTATGCCTCACCTGCCTGCCTAAGTGGGTTTCGCCTCACAGGGTCCCTCAATGGGATCGCAGTGTCAATGCTCGTTGACACAGGATCAGCTGCCACTTTGCTTCGGCTGGACGTGTGGGAACAGATTGTGACCCGCAACCCATTGCCCCTCACACCCTGTCCATCATTACGACTTCTCGGAGCTGGAGGAGAGCCATTGACTGTCCATGGTCGTAGCCAAATCACCCTAGGACTAGGGTCAAACACCTTTGTCGTGGATGCTGTGGTGGTCAACCCTCTCACGTCTCAGGCCATCCTTGGCCTTGACTTCCTCGTTGAGCAACGAGCAACTATCGACCTGCCTAATCGTACCCTGCGTCTGGGAGAGAGGGGCTGTAATATCCCTCTAGAATATCCTTCATCGTCAAGTGGCCTTGCTACTACACTACCAGTCTGCTCCACCGCTACAGTGGATGTCCCACCCAGGAGTTCTATGATAATCACTGGGTCAGTAGCTGGAACACATGAAGGTCTATGGCTCCTTGAGGAGGCTCCCAGGAAACAACTACCAGTTGCAGTTGCACGTGGCCTGGTGGAATTGTCATCAGTGGAACTCCCCGTCGTTGTCCTCAACACTTCTGAAGAGACCGTGACTGTCTACAAAAACATGGAGGTTGCTACCCTGCAAGAGGTCGACAAACCAGCTACATATGAAGTGGGAGCAGTAGACGAACGACAAGCCACAGCAGTGGAGGAAGACAAACAACAAGTTCTCTGGGACCTTGTTGAGAATTCCTCAGCTGACCTCAGCCCGGGTGAGAAGGAGTTATTCTACAATCTTTTGCTGTCCTACGCAGATGTAATTGCATATTCTACCTCCGGTTTGGGGAAGACAAATGTACTGAAACACCACATACCCACAGGGGACGCTGCTCCTATTCGACAATCCGTCCGTAGAATTTCCCCACACCAACGACAGGATGTCCAAAACATGCTCACACAGATGTTGGAGGGAGGAGTAGTCGAGCCGTCTGCAAGTCCGTGGGCATCGCCAATCGTGTTAGTGAGGAAGAAGGACGGTTCGACTCGCTTCTGTGTTGACTACAGAAAGCTGAATGACGTCACACGCAAAGATGCGTATCCACTTCCACGGATAGATGCCACTTTGGACGCTCTGCATGGGTCCCGATGGTTCAGCGCCCTCGATCTCCTAAGTGGGTACTGGCAGGTAGAGGTAGCGGAGATGGATCGAAGCGTTGGACCTGACTTAAGTCATCCTCCGGCGATTGGTCCTTGGCGCCGGAGGAAGTCAGTTTTCCGGCTACGTACTCAGAGGAAAAGAGATGGGTGAAAAGCCGAACTCTACCTATAAACAAGCGACCTTGGAGACACAAGAAGTCACATGCTATCTAGTGTAGCAGTATCCCGTGTCAGACTCCGCGAGCTAGCGTGGAGACCACGAGTAACCGCATACTACTCATAGCCCAGCCCATCAATTACCGGTACCGCGCAGTGCGCCGAGGGTTTTCATCTTTTTAGAGGAACCACCATTACTAGGCACAAACCAAGTTTTTATTGCCCGAGGCTGTTTTACAAACTTGTAGTTTACACAATGATTACAATAAACATTATTATGTGTATATTATACAAAGTTTCTTTATTCTGCAATAGTCTAAATTGTCATATTATGACCTAGGACTATTTTCGCTGTTTTTTGTTGTTTACTTGTAATCTTTGTGCATGTCATATCTTACCTTGTTTTTGAGATATACATGTTGAAACTGCAATTTTGATAACAGACCTTTTAATCACTTACCAATAGTAATTGTAACCCACTTCTTAGGTAGATGGCTATTTTGACCATATTGATAATGTCAGAAGTACGATCTGAATCTGATTGAAACTGAAACTGAAATGTGAAAATCTCAAATGTATGAGCACAATTGCTGGTTAATGTGTCATCGATCACTCTAGGAACTCATGCTTTGAGCATTTCTTTGCTTTGCAGCCTTGCTAAGAACATGCACACACATGGTGATTGCACAAACGGTTAATGTACAGTATGTGAGACCTACAATACATGGGCCCACAGTACACAGGGATATATGGTACAAATACAGATAGTGTGTGTGTGCTGTGATGTGATACACACAAAAATACATGAAAAAAGCACACTCACCAAACAACTCAGATCCCAAATGTAGACAATAGGTACAGATTTCTGTGAATGCACTTAAGGGTTAACACATTTCTCATTAATTCAGTGAGGCATAAAGACAAGTACGGACTTAATATCTTCATCAAGTGGCTATGTATATAGGTGTTGAGGCAGCCACAGGGTAGCCAGTCTCATAGTCTAGTTCCTGACTAGTATCGGAATCTCTGAACTGACAAACATCTGGAGGGGTGAACACATTGGCAGCAAACGTAGGTCTTCTCGGAGATGACGATACACTGCTTTTATATGAGGTCTGATTATAGTCTTTGGTTCGGCCGTTTCTGGAAAGAAAGTCTGAGAGAATGCTCTCTGGCCTGTGAGTTCTTGAGTCATCTCATTCTCTCTTCATTACAACGAGCCATGCCATCAACGTCCAGAGTGGCCATCGAGAACTGGCTCTCTCCGCCTACTGATGGAGGTCGGAGGCTGTGTGAGTCAGTGAAGTCGTAGTTCCCCCCGTGACCTCGAGGTCTGAGCCATGACGGGGGTTCGACATGTCTGTCTTCTCTACCCAGTCTCTGGCTGTTGTTGTTGCGGGCATGTCTCGGGTGGGGGTTCGGGGCAGTTTCTTCTCTTGTACCCGATGCAGAATAGCGATCCTCGTCATCACTTTGGTGTTCAGAGGATATTTGCAGAGGGAAGTTTTCTCTGGGAATCAGCTTCCACTGTTTTCTCCTTGGCTTTTCCTCTCCTCTCTTCTCCTTGCTCTGCTGTGGAACTCTGTTCTCTCTGGGAGGTGGAGTGTTGCCAGTGAACTTGGTGGATCTCTGTATGCTGCTTCATCTCATCAAATGTAGTTAATATTGTACATAGCTCACTACTGTTTTATCTGGTTCAGAGTGACTGGGTTCAACTACTGACAGAAGTTGATTTTCTCTGTTGTCTTCTAAGTCTGAGCAAACATCTTGGAATATTATACTATGAACCAGCAGACTGCATAATTATAAAAAAATATAGAAGTAATTCACATGGCTATAGTAGACAGCGAGCCTTGACTGACTGTAGATAGCAAAGTCGTCTGAATGCGGAATATTCCCATAATTATAAAGGTTAACAGGCACATACTGTAATTTGAACACAGGAAATATTGAACTGCTCGCTTTGCTCGCCAAAAATGCGTACAATGTATATAGGCACAATACACCTGACTCGGAAACCTGTCTTATCATTACAGCAAGGCATACAGATAGGCACACATTACTACTCCATAATCCCACAAGTGGCTATGTAGGTGTTGAGGCAGCCACAGGGTAGCCAGTCTCATAGTCTAGCTCTTGACTAGTATCGGAATCTCTGGACTGACAAACATCTGGAGGGGTGAACACATTGGCAGCAAACGGTCTTCTTGGAGATGACGATACACCGTTTTTAGATGAGGTCTGATTATAATAGTCTTTGGTTCGGCCGTTTCTGGAAAGAAAGTCTGAGAGAATGCTCTGTGGCGTTCTTGAGTCTCTGGCCTGTGAGTTCAAGATGCTCTCGAGTCGTCTCATTCTCTCCTCATTACGACGAGCCATGCCATCAACGTCCAGAGTGGCCATCGAGAACTGGCTCTCTCCGCCTACTGACGGAGGTCGGAGGCTGTGTGAGTCAGTGAAGTCATAGTTCCCCCTGGTTGGGTCGTGACTTTGAGGTAGCCTGGGTCTGAGCCATGACCGGGGTTCGACATGTCTCCTGTCTTCTCCACCAAGTCTCTGGCTGTTGTTGTTGCGGGCATGTCTCGGGTGGGGGTTCGGGGCAGTTTCTTCTCTTGTACCTGATGCAGAATAGCGATCCTCGTCGTGTTCAGAGGATATTTGCAGAGGGATGTTTTCCCTGGGAATGAGCTTCCACTGTCTCCTCCTTGGCTTGTCCTCTCCTCTCTTCTCCTCCCTCTGCTGTGGAACTCTGGGAGGAGGGTGGTGGGGGTGACTGGAAGTGGGTCTGTTCTTACGATGGCCGGCTAGTCTTGCTTTCCAGAACCCAGGTTTATTGTTGCCTCCATTAGGATCGACACCTGCTGGTAACCACGGTCCTTGTGGATTGGCATCACCACGTGTCGTGCTTTGGTCTGGTTCCTTGGGAGCAATCACCTTCTGTCTCTCCGTTTCTAGTTTTCTGCGTACACTATGCAGGTTACGTAGGAGGTTCTCCATCACATCGTCCTCTGGTGCCCCATATGTGGCACTTACTCCAGATGATGATGGACGAGGCTCAGATAATGACTGGGGTATAGCCTCAGCTGGATGTGGTGGAGGGAGGTGTTGTGCACTACGGGAGGATCCCACTACATTCATACTGCTGCCACCGCTGACCCCAGCTTTTTCATTGGGTGCGTTGACAGGTTGAGGGACACCAGCATGAGCTGAAAATGAGCGCTGCAGCAGTTCCAGTTTTGCCGAGTCAGGCCGTCTGATTGTTGCTGTGCTGGTTCTCTGAGACTGATGTTCAGGAGGTACGCCATTGTTGTTGGGGTATTCTTGCGTCCCTCCCTGACCCCTGTTATTACTAGCAATCAGATGTTTGTGGTGGAGGGTCGGTACTGGAGGTGACGTAGGGAGTTGCTGCTGTGGTAGTTGAGGGTGACTAGGGATAGCAGTTTGAGCAGGAAACTGGGGATCCATTTTCCTGAGTGTAGGGATCGGTGGAGAACTGGATCGAGGTTGGCTCTCAACAGGCAACTGCTTTTCCATGTTCTCAATGAAAGTCAGTTTCTTTTTCTCTGCTTCAAGCTTGAGTGCCTCCTGTTGTCTCCACTCCTCCTCCCTCTTCCTCTCTGCCTCCTCTCTCTCCCTCTCTTCCTCCTCTCGCTTCAATGCCTCGTTCCTCATCTTCAGCTGCTTCTCCCCCTCTCTCTCCAGTTTGTACTTCTCCTCAAGCAGCTTGCACTCTCTCTCAATTCTCTCCGTTTCCAGTTTGTCTGCTTCACTCTTCTTCTCTTTCTCGCGTCTCTTGATCTCCTCTCGTTCCCTCATCTGTTGCTCTAGAGTTTCCTTGTAGTCGTCCTGGACGCTCTTGCTTCTCAGCTCCTTGCTCCGGCGAAACTCGTACGAGGATCGGGGTGAGTTTGGTTCATTGAAGCTACCGTCTAGGATCCCTGCAGCCCCACCTTCAGCTATCTCCCCCGGGAGTGGAGTGGTACTAGGGAGACCTATTATCATCCTCTCGTCGTTCACCTTCTTCATCTGCTTCAGGTCAGTCACCAGCTGACCACGCTTGTCTCTAATTGGAGCCCCACAGCCACCCTTCCCAAAAGGGTCATACACCTCCTGCTGTTTCCTTCTCTCAAACTCTCTCTTCTCCAGACACTCCTTTTGCTTGTTCTCATTCCTCTCACTCATCTGCTCCAACAGCTGGAGTCTGTAGGAGTCCTTCTTGGCTTTTGCCATTCCCTTCCCACTGTCGCTCTCACGAAGCACAAAATTTAACTCCTCCACTTCACTTGCCTCCATGGGTTTCCGTGGGGACAGTCGACCATTTGAACTCTTGTCTCGTGTAGTTTGTTGTCTCGAATCGGAATGGTAATGAGGCGGAATGTAGGGAGAGAGATAAGGGTTTGTGTTCAAGGATGGAGGAAGTGATGGAGGAGGGGGGTAATAAGGGTGGCCAATTTGGGGAGGAGGAAAGGGCGGGAAACTTGCTGGAGGGGGATAGGGGTATCCTCCATAGTACATGCCAGGCCAGTAGGGTTGAAGTGGTGCTGGGTGTCCGGGTGGTTTGGAGGAAGTTGCAGTAGAATCAGGTCCGAAATGAATGTTCCTCTCGGGAGAAAAGCGGACTCTTTCACGTCGACGAGGAGAAAGTGCTCGTGAACTGTGCTCCTCCACATTGCTGTAGCTGTGTCGCCATGGAGAGCTGGGCCTACCACGATCGGCTTGCTGAGGATGCTGTGACTGGGAGTGAGTGCCAGACGATATCCCTTCCCTCTCCCTCTCCTTGGCTGCTTGCTTATCCCTCATCTGTGCCCGCAGCTGCTCAGCATACTCTCTCTGTTTCTTTTTCTTGTCTGCCTCACTGCTCCCTGCCCCCAATGCAGCAATTCCACCCACCACAGGTGCTGACAGTGACCTGCTCCCTCCAGCCCTCTTCACATTACTCTGAGTTGGAGACGAAGGCGGTCTTGATTCCAGTCCTTTCGATTTGCCTTGTCCCCTTGCCCACTGCATAAGACCCTCTTCTTCTTCATCCCAGTGTCTCCTTTGAGAGGGATACTCTCTCTTCGGCTCCATCTGGCGCCCATCACGATCATACTCATGGTCAAAGTGGACTTGTCGATTACTTATTCCCCTCTCCTCCCACCTTTGCCTCTGAGGAGGGGTCCTAGCACCAACCCCTTGGCTGTAATCTCTCTCCCGTTCCCTCGCCAGTGCCCTACTTAAACGTTCATCTCCTGAGCAGCGATGGTGTTCCTCCAGCACATCATGAGGACCGCCTCTGTCTGGCCACATTCTCCTTTGATTGTCCGCCTCTCGTGATGTTTCATGTTCATTGACAGCCCGTGCTGGTTTGTAGTGGGGAAATGGTAGAGGAGGTTTGCTGTGTGACTGCAGCTCCTGATGTCTCTCTTGAGCTAGCGCCTTACGCTTTTCAGCAACAGAGCTTGGTCTTGGATATGAAGTAGTGCTAGGACCTGAAGTTGAATCATTGATGGTTCTTTCTCGAAATTTGTTGGAGCTCTGCTGTTTCAGGAAGGCTCGGTATTCTTCTTGCCTCTCTCTTCTCAGCTGGTCCCGACGGCGCTCCGCCGCACGGTCTTCAGGAAGTATTCCACCACCTCTGCACGTGAAAGGTGCTATGCATGAAAAGTGCCCCGCCGCAAAACATTTTTCTTCTTTACACAAACCTTACCTCGACTGGACGGCAGCCATTTCTAGGTTTTCCTTCTCTTGCTCAAGTTTTGCTCTGTGGGACTTTATAAAGGTTTGCGCATCTTCATCCATTCTCCAATGCAAGCAAGCGAGCATGAATTTCCCGCGTTTTAAAATTTCCCTGTGTGGCTGTATTTTCGTTATTTTGTTGCTTGTTGCTATGTGACGCAACAACGGACCGCTATTATGACTCCAATTGTGCGAACATGCCATGTGAACAGAGAAATTTCCAACTGGGAAAAAGAGAAGCCAGAGATATCGAGCAAGCGATGAGCTCCGAGAACATCGTGTCCGTGGTGCAGCAGTTCCTGCAGAGCTACAGGAGCAAAACGCCGACCAAGCTGAAGCTGGTAGATGCGTATCTGGCCTACATCATGCTGACGGGCATCATACAGTTCGTGTACTGCGCTCTAGTTGGAACGTTTCCTTTCAATTCCTTCCTCTCTGGCTTTATCTCGTGTGTAGGCTCCTTCGTTCTTGGAGGTAAACGCAACAAAAGTATCAAATTGTCGGTCAGTGTGTGTTTCTTCCTGCCCAGTGTGTCTCCGTATTCAGACCAACCCGCAGAATCGCTCCCAGTTCCTCCACATCTCTCCAGAGAGAGCGTTCGCCGACTTTCTCTTTGCTCACGTGGTCCTACATCTAGTGGTGATCAACTTCATTGGATAAACACTCTGCAGAATGGATGCATGTGGAGTTTCGCATCAATCAGTGAATTGCCCAAATTTATGAAATTTACATGAATTTTTGTACAATGTAATTTTGGGTATATAATTATACTCATGGCTCACAAATTTGACAGACAATCATTACTAGGAAATGATAGGAATATGAGAGTAGTATTTAGGTGGTTCTGACATGGCCAGCACTATATCTCTGTAGAGGTCATGTTTTAGTGCAGACACAGTCTTTCTGTCCAGCCCTGGTCCAGCCAGTCTGCCGGCTGCTGCAATAGCTGCCTCTCTCAGTGTCTCAGGAGGAGCCAGTTCATCCACTATCCCAGCTCTCTCTGCCTCCATTCCGCCATACCTCTTCCCCAATACCACTGCTGCCTTTAGCTCTCTCTGTGGGAGTCTCGCCCTGTGACATGGAGGAGCCTATGATGAGCCACTGGACAGCGTAGTGAGAATCCATGCATGTATATATACAGAGACAAGAAAAACCAGCTACCAAACTCAGGCCTATTATTGATTGGGAGACCACAACTCCCAGGTAACAAGGCAACAGCAGAACCCTTCCTTGCAAGTGTCACGTAATTGTGTGAGGCAATAAGCCTGAGTTTGACTCCTGGTTGAAGCTGGTTGTCAGTGATCGCCAAAAGACTACCATAATATCTGCACATACTTGAGAATCTCCGTCCAGCCAACTGGGAAATTGAGTCTAAGGTTTACCTGGGAAAAGATTGTATATAGCTACATAATGTATGCACAATAATAATGTATAATACCTCTGGGAGACAAAAGAAGCCCTTGCTGTTGTTCATGATGATATGGTCGTGACAGAGACCAAGGAGAGCTCCAGCAGCATAGATATGACCTGGTCACAGAACGCAGATTTGGTGGTTGATTGATAGGTAAGTGTATAGGCAAACCCCATGTTGCTATATATGGTAATAATGTCTTTGTGCATGAAGTGTCACCCTGCGGAAGATTGCAGTTGGGGTGGAAGCATACAATGTCGGGAATACTATATGTTATGTTTAACGTCATCTACAGTCCATCGCAAGACTATTGTTTAGCAGCTCCCTAACCCTCGCAGAAACTAAACCAGGGCATGTCTTAAGGTCAGGGTTAAAACTGGGAATGTGAGAGTCATATATAGAACAATGCCTTCTGATCGTGTAACATACCATTTACAGCAGCTACTGTGACAAGAGGAAAAGTGAAGAGGCGGCGAAAGAGGTCTTGAACATCTGACATGTATTTCATAAATTCACTGTAGCTGCTGCCAGCTAGCAGCTCCAGCTCCAGTCCAAGAGAAAAGTGCTTTCCTTCAGACGTTGTCACCATGCTTACTGCATCCTCATAGCTAGGTGGGTGATTAAGATAAACTCTAGGATGTAACATACTCTCATTACCTTTCCACCTGATCCAAGGCCTTATGGAAAGCGTCCAAGAACTCAGGGTTTACTCTGTTTTCTTTGTTCTCACTCACCAAGCGCACAACCACGCACTGGTCCACTTTCTCAACAGTACACCGTCTCAAAGGTACATTTTCAGAGGCTCGCCTCAGTCCACAGAATCCGAGTCTGTGCAGCAGAGAGGACCGGGAACGAAGAGAGAGTCGAAACATTTTCCCCAAAGGCGCGGCACACGCCCACTGCGCACTCTGACGACGCAAGCATAACTCAACGCATGCGCACTACGACGAACGTAGCTAGCTAGCTAGAGCTAGAGCTACGTATGTATAATACCTCTCCGCTCCCGGATCCCAATGAGCATTGAAGAGGAAACGACATTATGGATGTAGCTGTAAGCTCGGCTGAAAATGTGCTACACGACTGTCCTGAACTTCGGCCGTTCCTACTCTTCAACGCACGACTCACAGGTACTACTATCGGATCTGGAGCCTATGGCTGTGTTGAAGAAGTGGCCATTCCTGGAGCCATCTGTGCTGCTAAAAAGATCCACAATATATTTCACGACCCGGCACAGGTCCCCGCCGCTGCTATACGCAAGGCTTTTAACCAGTTCGTCAAAGAATGTCAACTGATGAGTACCCTCCGTCACCCCAATATCGTGCAGTTTCTGGGTATCACTTTCTTCCCCGGATCGCAACTGCCTGTTCTTGTAATGGAGCGACTGCTGACGAGTCTGCACGATTTGCTAGAGCCAGAAGTGGATCCACTATTATCGGCTAGTGAAAAGCAGTTTTTCCCACTCAGTCTCAAGTGCTCCATACTGGAAAACGTGGCTAGCGGCCTTGTCTACCTCCACGAGCGATCTCCGCCCGTTATCCACCGCGACCTGTCGGCTAGAAACGTCCTTCTAAACTCAGCGTTGGTCGCAAAAATCGCCGACCTCGGCGTTGCGCGAATAGTTCCTCGAATGACAGTCGCAGCCACTATGACCAAAGCACCTGGGGCTGGTGTGTACATGCCTCCTGAGGCTCTAGAACACCAACCAAGTTGTGAAAGGAGGAGCAAAGAAAACGACCAAAAATCGAAGTATGACGCAAGCATTGATGTATTCTCTTATGGCGTTGTGGCTATTTTCACACTATGCCAAACGTTCCCCTGCAATTTGCTAGCTCCCACTTATCGTGACAAGCAGAGAAAAATTGCAGGCCGTAGTGAGCTAGAAAGGCGTGAAAGTTATATGAGCATGATACGCAGTCAGCTAAAAGAAGGGCACCCCCTCCTTCAGATGATAGAGGGATGTTTAGACTTTCCCGAGGACCGGCCTACGATTCATGAGGTACTCGGTCTGTTAGAGCAAGCCAGAGCTGTGATCAGGGATAAACATGTTGACATGAATAAGCTTGAATTGGTTCAAGCCCTTCATGCTCACTCCAGGAGCCAACAAGTAAACACATTGTTATTATGAACCTATGGTTTCACTGCTTTTCTTGCCTTTTCATGTAAGATTTTGGAGGAAAACCTCTATTCCCATGTGCATTTGTTACAAGAGAAGCTGATGAAAACAAAAGTAGAGCTAAGAAAAGCAGAGGAAGTTATAGGAAAATTGCAGCAGCAAAACATGGAGGTGGGAATCATTCACTATTGTCATCTGTCTCTTTGCAGGCTTATCAAAGGAAAATCATTATCCCATAAAAGAATGAGAGGAAATGTTCTTTTTTACAGTTAATAAACTTTCTAACCGTAGGGACAACAGCTGCAATCTAGTGGAACATGGGAGGAACAGCAGTTGAGGAGAACAAGAAAGCCCCATGTTGAAGTGATCATCCAGGAAAGACATCTGGAGACACAAGGGGTTAGTTGGTTTTTATACATCCATCCTTATATACATCTTTGTTTGTTTAGCTCTGTCTAAGAATGTGTAGCTAGGCACTCGTTATTGGCGTAGGTAAACTACAAATCACAGTTGAGGTTGTGAGTAAAGAAAGATGTATAGGGGGATGTATGATTGTTGTTTTCAGCTGAAGCATCTTTCTTGTTAGCTATATACTTGTTCCACTTATTTTTTAGTATGCGCTTAGCCCCACCCTTTTAGCGGTATATACAGAGCAGCGAGCGAGGGGCTGCACGCATTACGGTTCACGCACACGTGGGTGGAGATTTGTGCACTGCGGAGGATTTTCAGAGATCGCGATCGCACACACACTCGCAGTGCATTGTGGGGGCGGGGGCGATGGCCTTGACGTAGTTTGCAGTGCAATTTTGATGCTGTTTTATGCTTCTTGCGCGAAAGACTATATAGCGCGGTGATGCTTGTGCAAGTACAAAAATTAATCCAACATTCATTATACATGTGCTTTGTTATGAAGGAAAGTTTTTTCGTTCTCTGAAGTCAAAGGTGGAGGTCAAATGGGGGCATAGCTAACAGCAGGTGGGCAGTAGAAGCCAGAAGTTTGATGGGTTGATTGTATGCACCATCAAGTGAAACACAAAGCATAATACAGAGGAGTAGCCAGAAAAGGTAAGGAGAATATAGGCTTACAGGAGTTGGTAGTGCAACAAGGGCTTGGTCTGCAGTGGGATAAAGGTGCAAGAATGTACAAGTCAGCAGTGGTGATAAAAAAACTCTTAAGAGCCCCACCTACCAGGCAACTCCCAGATAATCTTAGTAGTATCTTTCCCACAACAGGTCAGGTCTGTCTGCATTACCTCTATAACGCAGCAATATTTTTCTTGAACTGGGCTGACAGCTGCCTTTTTCTTGTCAGGGTCAGCATGATAGGAAGCCCTAGCAACTGCCTTACCAGAGTCTGACTGACAAGCCTTTATATTCTCGGAATCCTGCAAAGGCAAGTTTATTTAGAAGCCCGGGTGACAGTGACGACAGCGAGCGCGGTGGAGGGCCCTGCGATTGAAGGAACAGGGTGGTTTATCAGCCACGACTGTCAGCAAAGAAGTGGGGCTAGAGGCCAAGGGGATACAAAGGTTGAACTGGAAGGAGTGTCGTGAGGCACCCCTATTAAACAAAATGCAAATAGGCAATGAGGGAATGCAGACAGCTTGCAGGATCACAGAGATTTCACTCATGCGATCCTTACATAGAGCGTCTACCGATGCTCTGATACTTACCATAGGTTTCCAAATAAACCCTAGTTGTATGTTTCATGGTAAATCTAAATGCATACACAGGAGAGTTGGATGTCGCGTTCAAACGCTGTAAGCAAACAATACATTGCAGTAAAAATATCGGAGTAGATTTGTCTATATCCCATGGGGAAATTCGGCCAAGGACACAGGGGAACTAGGTTTGGTATGAAGAGTGGACTTGCATAGCCCTATTAGCTACTTTACTTTCTTTTACTTTGTATAGAAACACTGTCCGAGAAAAAATGATGCTGAAGTAGCTACTTCTCCAAGGAATATCAGAAATGTTAGGCCGCAGAAAAATGAAGAGACAAAGGTAAGAGGTGGAATGTGATCACCAAACCTCATAATATTATTTTGCATATTATAGCAATTGCTAGAAACTGGAAGATCTTACTCTATACAAGCTGAACGGCAACCGAAAGAGGTATTCTAAACAGTGCTTTTTGTCATAAGTAGCTGACAAAATGGAAAGGATATTGAAACACAATCACTACTGCTTTTTTGGAAGACTGTTTTCATCACATTACTAGTAGGCGAATGCATGGCATTTTTGGCGAGCGGTGGCGAGCACACAATGACTGTCTGCACGAGCCATCATAGAAGCGTGTTATCCTGACCCATGCGCAGGTATATAGCACATGTGAAAAAAATGAAATGGAAATGATTTTGGGTAAAAAGAAGCGCGTAACGAAGCCGCGCATGCGCGTACACGGTCGTCGGTCGGTCGTATATAAATAAATAGAAAAATTGCGCCGTTTGGACCACTAGGTTAGCTCGCTCCTGCTCGCCAATAAACCACCAATCTCTATTATTTTTACTGTGCTAGCTACATACGGCAAAAAACATCGTATCTATTATACATGCAGTGCAATTCACAAGGCCATGTAATGAACCCATCCCACGCATTTGCTTTACATAGGCATAATTTCGAAAATGCTTATTTCCCCATAGTACGCAAAAATTCCTTTAAAGTGACATGAGGATTAGGTTTACCTGAGTATTTGTTATTGCATCCTTACACTTTCTTTATCTCAGAAAAACTATTTTGCTTCACTTTTCTAACTTGCTTCACTCGTCTTTCTTTTCTCTGATTTGCCGCAAGCCCCACTAAAAATAATAAGGGTAGCCTCAAGCGATAGGAATAGAGGCACAACATACAGAAGGTACACCTCAATATGGAGTGAAAAGCCCCTTTAAACAGGGTTGCCTAGGTCTTTTTCTGTGTAGATAACCAGACTTGTATGCTGTGGCATTGTTTGCTGGAAGAATTCCATAAACAGAGGATGCCTATATAGGTTATTGCTGTAGCGTATAATAAATCTACAGGAGAGGATTGCACTGCTAGTGTCTGGTGCACTTTCATACTCTTGGTTGCTCTGTGTCATTATTGTTGAGTGCAAGCGCAAAAACACTTTCTTGGTGGACACGTGGAGTTCACAGAGCCGCAGACTTAGTGTCCCAAAGGTAGGATAGTCCAAAACCCGTTCTTCTATCCTGGACATGGCACTAATGCATGGTGCAGGACAAGACATAGAGCAGTCCAAAGGTCACATTCACTTGCTCTAGTTATCGACTTAGACATAACCATGCTTTCTGGGCTGTCTATTTTTCCAGTCTAGAATGCTTGTACACATTATCCAAGTCTGATTACCTGTTGTCTAAGTCGATACCTAGAGCAAGTGAATGTGACCTTTGAACTGCTCTATGTCTTGTCCTGCACCATGCATTAGTGTCGTGTCCAGGATAGAAGAACGGGTCTTGGACTGTCCTACCTTTGGGACACTAAGTCTGCGGCTCTGTGAACTCCACGTGTCCACCAAGAAAATGTTTTTTGCGCTTGCACTCAACAATAATGACACAGCGCAACCAAGAGTATAAAAGTGTGCTAAATGTTCACCAGACCCGTTTTTCTCCTGAGGTGAGGGTCTGGGTCCAAGACTATTCAAGAATTCTATACCATTAAGAATTTAACATTGGGTGAAAAGTGTACAAATTGTGAAAAATTATACTCAGTAGTAGCTAACATTAGTGGTTCGTCCTTGCACTGAAGTTTTGCTTCCCCCAGCTTGCCATACAATGCTACTCCAAAAAACCGGCATCTCAAGAAATTGTCAGGGGATCTGCAACAACTGATGGTGAAACTACTTACATCACCCTGAACGAGTCCAACTCAGTTTATGGCTATAAATGGAGTATAGAGAAGTGGGAACAACTTCCATCATGTGTGTATTTTAATTCTGGACTAGTTATCATCAGTGGCGAATTAGCAGCTGTTGGAGGATGGGATGGTTGTCACTGTACGAGGAAGATCTTCACTCTACGAGAGAGAAAATGGGTCGTGGACACTCCTCCAATGAACGTGGGCCGCTCCCATGCTGCTGTACTTAAGAGTGGTGACAACATCATTGTAATTGGTGGGTTTGATAATGGTCGAAGCTGGACTAACAGCGTTGAGCTATTACAAGCAAGGTGTAGAAAATGGGTCAAACTAACCCCCCTTCCACTTCCCCTCTCCAACCCTTCTGCCACAATGTGCGGCAATTTTGCACATGTAATAGGATCAAGTGGTTGTGGTTGCTCGTGTTTCCTTCAAATCCCACCACCAACTGAAAAACCAACTGTGTCACATCTCATTTCGTGGACGCCACTCCCTCCACTACCAGTGAATGACTCAACTGCCACTACTCTCTGTGGACAGCTAGTGATTTTTGGTGGAAAGCAGCGTGGTATGTGGGTCAACTCCATATGCCAGCTCCTGGATGGCAAATGGGTGGAGATTGGTTCTATGTGTAGTAGCAGGAGTGAGTGTTTACTCGCTAGCACATCACCAGAAAAGACACTTGTACTTGGCGGGTGGGGAGCACAGAAATTTGTTGAAGAATGTACTGTTATTGTTGCATAAATATGTTGTTGTTACAAAACTATTGGCACATACACAGTCTTTTACTCCCACAGTTTTTACTCCCACCTTTCGTTTCTGCCTTGCATTCCTTCATCGACCTTAGGGTTGAATAATAGCATTGCTAACTTACAATGAAAAGCACTGAAGTGCAAACCCTCGGCGAACTGCGCATGCGCGGTATATTAGTATGCGCGGTCTCCCGCTAGTATATAGCTCGAAGAGAGTCTGACAAGGGCTAGCTACAGTAGTAGATTAGCATGCGAGAGTCGATACACGCCCTTCGTTGTGACTTCTTGTGCCTTCGAAATACACAGAACAAGAAGACCCGGTCCTGTGCTAAATATAAGCGCATGCGCATTTTCCGCAGCGATAAAAATGGCCGACTACGCATTAGCCGTACAACGGTGGAAGCGTTCTAGCTTTGCAACGGAGCGTTTTCAGAGAAAACCGTTCGAATTTTCTGACCTTCATTGCCCGTTCGGTAGGTGGTATCCTTTGTGAGACGAAAGAACACTCGAGAAGTGAGATGAAGAGTAACAGACACACAGCTACAGACAGACAAACCCAATGAAAAGCACTAAAGTGCAAACCCTCGGCGAAGTAGCTCGCAGAGAATCTGACACGGGCTAGCTACAGTAGATACAAGCACGCGAGCGAGATGACTTCTTCTGCCTTCAAGATAGACAGAGCAAGCGGACCAGGTCGAGGTAAGCCGCCTGTGCTAAATACAAGCGCATGCGCATTATCCGCCAGCGATAAAATGGCGACTACCGACATTAGCCATACAATTCTGGATGCGCTCTAGCTTTGCAACGAAGCATTTTCAGAGAAAACCGTTCGAAATTTCTGACCTTCATTGCCCGTTAAGTAGGTCGTATCGTTTGTGAGACGAACAGGCGTTCCAGAAGTGAGATTGAGAGTAACAGACAGACAGACAGACAAACCCAACTACTGTACCTTCGATGCGCATGCGCGCCGAGGGTGTAACTACAGTACCCTCGCTGCGCATGCGCGCCGAGGGTAATAACTTCTGTAACCCTCGCTGCGCATGCGCGCCGAGGGTTAACTATAAGGCTCGTGAGCAGCTAGTTCCAAATTGGAATCTTTGAGCACAAGTGTGCCACGTTTATAACCCTCAGCACACATGCGCAGCGAGGGTTACGGCGTGTGTGTGTTTCGATGGCGCTACAAGCTACGAGGTGGCCTATTAACGATACTAATGGCTGCAGAACTACGCGAGCCTGAAAATTAAAAAGGCCATTTTCCTGAAACAGCTGTTTCGAGAGATATGCCGTGCAAAGTCTAACTATTTTCTTTCTTCATTCTTTCCACATATACCTCTAACCTATGGAATTCATTAACCTCCGCCACATCTCTATTATCATTTAAACACAACTTAATCAATCACTTGAGCACAATGTCTTAATCCTTATCACAATAATATTATGGGTACATGTTCAATCATAGTGTTTACCACATGTATTGCCATTGCATAGTGCATAAATGTTTGTAAAGAAAAAAAAAGGAAAAAAAAGAAAAAAGAAAGCAAGCGAAAAAGCCACCACGACCTGATCCGCTCGCTCTGTGTACCTTGGACGCTCAAGAAGTTACAACAAAGTATCGACTACCGTATGCTATCTACTTGGTAGCTAGCCCGTGTCGGACTCTCCACGAGCTACTAGCGTGGAAACCACGATGGAGTAAACACATACTCTTGGCCCAACCCATCAATTAGCGGTACTGCACATGCGTAGTACGTTGAGGGTTTGCACTTTCATGAGGAGAGCAAGGTGAGAGGGAGAGAGAGACAGAGAAAGACAGAGAGAGATGTATGTGCGTGGAGAATGAATCAAATTTTTGAGACTCAGTCAGAGTTGTGAAATAAGATGAGTCCAGCGAGCGTAGTCACACACAAGGCTGGTAGTGCCACACAAGAGGATGACTAGCTATACAGTGAAGTCATGCATGACACCAAACTTTTGCATAAATTTAGCTCAAACTTGATATGATCCCTACAAAACTGTTTCTCTGTATAGAAAGAGATGGATCATGTAGTTTTTTGTTACCACTTTTCTTCGTATTTTGAGCTTCAAGCTGCAATTTTGATGAATGATTCTTTCTGTGTAACCTAGGCATTCAGGTATAGATGGCAACAGATCTAACTACATAAACCCGCAACCAAAATATTTGCCCACAAATGTGTATGTCACATGTGTGTCTTGAGTTTACACAGAAAAATTATTATGTACCACTGATATGAATGCATTTGTTCTATGAAGGTGTACGTAGCTAATCACGAATATGTAAAGCCGCCGAAGAACTAAAATAGACTCAGACTCATTTCACATGCGTCTATTGTATGGTAGATGATGTAATCCTAGGTGATGTAATGAATGCTAGAGCTAGACTAAGACTACACGAATTGACAGCTCTACAGCGAAGAAGGTCTAGTTAACATTTTTTATCAGTCACATAGTCTTTTGTTGTGAAAAATGCTTTAGCCTCTTTAGACCTTGCTGCATGTCTCCTCTTCAGTCAGAATGTAGTGTCTCAGGCCGAACTCTCGACTGAATTAATGCTCAGATGACTTGAGGAATGCCTACGTTTGGTGGTGCATTCAACTGCATTATAGCAAGTGAAGGATGAAGGAGCAGGTATATACCAGTTTCTGGTCAGCTCTAGCAGAGCCAGAGAGCAAGCCGCTACCTACTTCAGAGAAGAATTAGATTGAGACGGAACTTGCAATGTTGCTAGACAATTGGATCTGAAAGGTCAGAGGGTTACATTTCAGAGGATGGTAGCTTCAGTTCTGGTCATCTAAAATGGGGCGGACGTGTACCAGTTTTGGTTTTAGCAGCTCTTCTGGAGCTTTGGTGATTCAAACGCTGCTATTACATCATCTGCCTCGTTCTTTAGTCAATCCGCGCTCTCTTTCTCTGAGTCTGAGAGCACGTGGGGCAGCATTCAGTATGGTGAGGTAGGCTGCTCTGAGGTCTGCAAGTCTGATCATCCGCAAGTCAAGCCAAATTTCGTTCACATTAATTGTCCGCTAGTGCTAGTTGTAGCTAAACAACATCAGTTGTTACTTAGAGAGAAACTAAATTAATGTCAAAATATCTTTACCCTGGTTTGCTATACAGCATGAGTGAGGGAGAGACAGAGAAGTGAACATGAGAGATAAATTAGTGATTCAATAACGATTTAAAACAACTGTGAAGACCCTGGCCATAACGTATTATACAATCAACACTAGTGAAAATTTGATACTGCGCATGCGCGTATCCGATCCCAACAACGAACGCGCGTCAGATTTGAACTCGACCCAACCTGAGCTGCATGATCCCAGGAGCCATTAGCTCAGCTTCAAATATGCATAACCATAGTTTAGTAGGTCTATTATGTGCAGCAATATGTGAAGAAGACAGTACTGAGAAGGCTCTACTAAAGCACGCCGCTCGGGGAAATCTTCGCCGTCTCATGGCGACTCTGGACCGCCGCGACTGCCCGAGCGTCAACAATCTCTTCGACGACAACGGAAGGACGGCGCTGCATCTGGCCGCTCTGGGTGGCCACAAAGACTGTTTGAAGGAACTTCTGACGAGAAGAGCAAATCCAAACATGTGTGTGCATAATTATTATACACTCCTTGATAAATGCTTTTAGTCCGAGCGAATGAACGTGATGGATATGTTGGTTGTTTTGTTGGCAGACAGGATAAAGATGGCCACACGGCTAGCCACGTTCTCGTGTTGGGAGGAGCCCCTGCCAGATTTCCTTCAAACAACATCGTTACCACAAGAAATCCATTCCTGAGCACGTATCTCTTAGTGCGTGGAGTTTACCATCTCACAGTCTACCACCTACATGATCGACAGGTGCACAGGAGATGTCTGCAGTATCTGATCCACTACGGGGCAGATCTCGGGATTCGGTCAGTGGAGAGAGAGACGGCAAGAGACATTGCTGTCCGTATGAGGAAAATGGCACTACTGGAAGTCATTGAGGATGCCTGTATGTTACTCCTCTGTCCTAAGAGCCTCAACTATAATACTGTGTCTATGACTGTTAATGTTCACCACAATTGAGTGCTATATAGTGGTAAATAATCGAATGAGGGCTGTTGTTAAACCCCTAAACTGAGCTTTTAATACTCTCAGATGATCTCCGTGTCTCTAAGTCTGGATGGCACGTAGAGCATGGCAACTCGATGCTGAGACCCTCGCAGTCCTACCCTCCTGCCTGTCCAAGGTGGATGCACAGAGAAACCAGCCCCACCTCACTACTCAACAGTGAGAGACAACCCCTTTTCTCTTTGAATCGATGGACTGTTTGTCTGCCTGCAGAGTCTCCGCTGACATCTGGTGCCTCTTTATACTATCAGGGAAGGGGAATGAATGCCTACGACTATGGATTTGGTGAGACCACCATGACATTGGCAGGCAACTAAACACTCTCAGCGTCATTTCACTACAGTGTTCCCCTGTGGCAGTCATACTAGTCCCGGGGCACAGGCTGGTGTTCCTGTCATCCTCCCAACTGAACTCACAGTACGCCATTTAGTGTGACTGTATATATGCTTCTGCCACATTCTTTACTCTGCTATTGTACGTGGATCGAGAACTTGTACAGGGTGAATTCCACTCCATAGACTTAGGGGTCCTTTCTCTACACAATGTTTTTTTCTGTGCTGTCCACACAGTCTGGTAGGGGGTTGTGTCTGGCCCAGGATGGGAGCAGATGGAGGCAGACCAGGTGGGAGGGTCAGGAGGTGACAGTGAGGGAGCACAACTCCAACTCCAAGTGGACCACCCCAGAGCTGATGGTGCTGGAGATGGAGAGTCTCTCAGTCCTGCGACATCCTAACGTCCTTCTCCTGATGGCCACCTGCTGTGGACCCACCAAACAAGACCTGCTCCTGGTGACAGAGCCAGTCCAAACGTCCTCTCTGTTTCAGCTCCTCCACCAGTTCCGGGAGAGACTCCAGTCTCAAAAAATCAGCATTGCTCTCGGTGTGTCAAAAGGTAGGTTATAATCCATTTGGTATACGGCACTGCTTTATACATCCCTGCCTGCTCCTGCAGCCTTGTGCTACCTCCACAGTGTGGTGAATGTGGCACACACATTGGTTTCCTCGCACTCTGTCTACATCACGCACGATTTTAGACCAAAGGCAAGAAGGGAAAGCACAGCCTACACATTAATATCCAACTGTTCTTGTTGCCCAGGTCTGCAATGTGTATAGATGCTGCCAGCCAGGCACACAGATGCCTCCATCAGTGACATTCGTCCCATACCTGCACTGGATGGCACCAGAGTTCTTACACATTCACACCACCTCCTTTGTAAGTAGGTATAGCTATAATATCTGCACATCTCAAATGTCTGTGTATCTACTATTACAGTGCCGTTAGATGCTCTATGAAGTGAAAACCCCTTATACATTACAGTTGGGTGTAAAGTGCCTACACTTCAGCCAGAAATCATGCAAGCACTATATCCACAGATCCTTCTTTGTTGTATTCATGTAGGCAGTATATACATATCCAAATGCCTAGCTATTTTCTGGTGTTGGGCCTTTAGTGCAGTGCCATTGAAAATTGTGTACACTTGGGTTGAGTGTCTGTCGGCCCATCAGTTTGTTTTACAGGACTGTGAGCTTAGTTTTTTAGGTCGTATGTAGTTAGTTCTGTCCATTTTTGTACATTATAGCCCATGTTCTTTTCCGTTTCACTATTCAAACCTTTCTGCCATTGTGTTTCATAGGCAGCTGATGTCTATAGTCTAGGCACAGTGCTGTGGGAGATATGGGGTGGTGAGGAGCCGTGGGGTGGGCTGTATGGTCGCAACCTCTACCAAACAGTAGTTGAGGAGAAGAGAACTTTACCTCTGGGAGAAGAACACAGAGACATTGCTCCACTTCTCCGCAAGACCTTCTCACCACAACCTGCAAACAGACCCTCTGTCCAACAGGTAGATCAAAATAGGAACATCCAATTAATTTTTATTCATACTATTGAGGTTACCTAAAGAGACACACGTCTATTGTCTAGACAGTGAATACCTCTGATCCCCAAGTCAGTTCAAAGAGAGTACAGCTGCCAAAATTCAAGCTCATGTGTTTCTTCTCATGTTTTAGCAAATTGTGCCATATGAACATAGCCGTGACTCTGCGAGTGGTGTTTTTTTGAGCAAGTGCGGTAGCGATATGTCCGCATTGGGTCTTTCTACAGAACACACTGACAATGCACACCAATCCCTCATGTCTGCTGCAGGTTTTATCAAAGCTCATGGAACTGGAGATGTGAACTACATAGACAAGTGCAGAACACTACTGTTTTTAAACTCACAGTTTCATTTTTGACAATGATTAGCTACAGTGCAACGTCCAAATAATGGACACAGTGAGGGCGAATGTTTTGTGCATTATTGTGTTTGGAGGTTGTCCCTTCCCCAGAGGTTCTACCCTAAAGTACCATGATTTATCACATAAGCCATGAAATAACTTAATAAGTTATGGGTAGACTGCTTGTCGCTCTTTAAATATCATGAATCTCTACTGTCTGCAGTATTTGACATGCTACTCTAGACATGCTAACTGCAAGCTAGTAGCTACACTAACTAGCTTCTGCCCACTGGGTGCTAGAGAACACAATAATTGCCTCCTTAGAACTCACCATAGAACTGCCTTAAGCAGCAGACAACGAGAAGGCCCCTCAGTCTTGATGTCAAGCGCCGCGCAGAGAAGGGCGGCTCGGAAGGGCTCCGAAAATACACCTACGCGTAATTTTAACGTCCGGAGCGTGGGGGGTGGTTTCGAGGTCGCGCCACATCAAATTACATTCCTAACGGCTTTTGTGTTACATCGCTGTTGCCCACCGCCCCTCAGTCCGCCTTTGGAGCAGGCTACGCCAGACCTTTGGAGTGCCTGCTTAGCTACGGTAGTTATCAACAAAACGTGTCTTCTCGAACTATGGACTCTCATCTAGCTGTCGGAACGGCACGGCCCAGAGAGCGTCTACGCTTCAGCAGGGAAGACGTTTTTCAGCACAGAACTCGAGAGGATTGCTGGATTATTTTGTACGGAGAGGTCTACAACGTGACAGCCTGGCTAAGTAAGCATCCAGGCGGTGCTCAAATACTGCTAAATCATGCTGGAGAAGATGCTACAATACGTCCGTAGTTATAACTATAGTTTAGTTAGCTACCTAGCTACCCCCCCATTGACATTTTGATAGGTATCCCTTACAGAAAATCCCAAATTTTTGACAACCTTGCACGCAAGGTTGCAGCCACGCCCCCTTCACCCTTCTGCAGCACACGGCGCTAGACCCGTACACTTTTGGTTGCGAGCGAAGCGAGCCTACCTAGTCCGAGGCTAGTCTAGTCGTCGTCGGGCGTATAATTATGGCAAGCGGCGTTCCATAATTGCGGACCACGTTACAGCGCAAGCAGTTCCCGCATGTTTTGCTACAACGGTGTACAGCACCCGTATGGCAAGCCGTTTGTAACAAAATTCAACCATACACAGACGTCGACCTCACGTTCTAACGTGGACGTCTGCGCAATAACGACGACGTCCCACTGACGTCGACGTCTGGGCAACCACGACCTCCGTTTACGTAGACGTCTGGGGCACTAACGATGAGGTTCCATAATTTTGTAGGAATGACATATCGATAACCACATGTGCAACGTAATACTTTTTGTTTGTAAACAATGAAAAGCACTAAAGTGCAAACCCTCAGCACACTGTGCATGGCGTGGTACTGCTAATTGAGAGGGTTGGGTCAAGAGCATGCGTTTACTTGTGATCTCCACGCTAGTAGCTCGCGGAGAGTCTGACACAGGCTAGCTGCACAAGTAGACAAAAATCCTGCGAATTTAGAACAGATTTGAGCACCCTGACACCCCTTACCCCATCACACAATCCCTATATTGTTGCCTGGTGAAGTATTAAACCTTCACTATTGCTGTCAGGACCTATAGCTTGAAAAAAAGTCGTGCTACTGAGTCGTTATAGAGTCCGAGTCAAAATTGAGTTTAAGAGTGGCACATCAGGCAATAATATAGGGATTGTGTGATGGGGTCGGGGTGTCAGGGTGCTCAAATCTGTTCTTTGACCATGTTTCATGTATCCCATCCCTATCTTGTCTCCATTTCTCTTATACAATCCCTATATGCCTAATTCTTAAATTCGCAGGATTTTTATTTTACTTATATCTTGTCTGGCTCTGCAAGACCAGGGAATATCGATCCACATGGGAGAAGTGACATTACGCATGCAATGCTCCAGCCACCTACACCTCAGACTTGAACTTATGAATAATTGTTCTCTAAATTGATATTTTACTCGGAAAAATCGTTCTTTTACTCGATTTCGTAAACGATATTTCACTCAAATTTTCATTCAAGTGCCCATTCATCTGCCCCACCTCCAATAACAAGGATGTAGGCATAGGGCAATGACATTAGTTACATATGAGGTTTTTGAGTGCATGTATATCTAGGTATGGGCCGGTAGACGATTGCTAGTGTGTTTTGAAGACCTAGCAAGTCATTCTCGCCGAGTTTTTGTATGTGGATCACGTGAGTTTTGACACTGTGCCATCCCTATAATAGAGGGTCTACCGACGCTCTAGTATGGATTTAGGATTAGGCCAGTTTTTTTTTGTAGGCGGTGAAGTAGTGGTAGCTACATGTTGAACACTCTCAAATGCTGTAGACAGATCTAGAAACAGAATAATCATCACAACCCTGTACTGGTACAGGAGTTTGAAAGGTGATGGAGCGGAGACACCTGTGTATAACCTGACAAATTTTTTGGTATTTTTTGACCTTTTATCTAAATTACATGCCTAGTGCAGGAAATGCAATTAGTCCCTGAGGGCAGCCCTAGGTGTCTAATTGCATTCTGAAGGAGGCCATCTGCAACCTGCCTGTTGCAACCCCAGTACCAGTAACACCTGTTTGAGTGCGTTTGTGCTTGTCATTTTTTAATTCTCATGTACATAATGGCGGACAGAAGTGTTTCTCAAAGGCGTTGTTGTGGCTTTGGAAAGACATATCTCATGCCTATAACATCAGTGCAATGAACTATTGGTTTGTGGTAGGTAAGCCTAGGACCGTGGAGCATATTTCGTGGAAGGTTGGCTGTGGGAACAACCAAGAAATTGAGCATGCACAAATCGCATGATCGGTAATTGATTTATTCAAGAAAGTCAGTTTTCAAAATTCTTCTTCTTGTTGTTCAGTTTACACAAGCGTATCTCAAACACCGGGAAAGATAATTATGGAGATGAAACTTTGCACAGAGATTGGAATCCATGACAGGTCGTGCAAGAGCATTTTTATCACTAAGTACGGTAGTACTTAGTATATAGGGATTGGCATGGTACCTAGCATCATAGATGTATGGGGCTATGATAGGGAATTTTGTTCATCTTCTCCTTTTCCTTCTTCAGATTCAACACCCATAACTCAAAAACGAAATAACATAAAGTAATGAAATTTTGTAAGAATATAGATATCCATCACCCGAAGAGACTGGTCATACTTATTTCTTTGTAAACAACAACAAATAGCCCCAGGCAATACATTATAATGGGATCACATGTGTCAGTATAACTCACAAATGGTAGGAGCTATGTGAACGAAACTTTGTAGACATAACGTATTCAATCACCAACATCAAAATTACAACAATACATGTTTGTAAACAACAACAAATAGCCCCAGGCACTTTTCTTTAAATTTACTTCTTCACTCCTCAAACTCTCCAATGGTAGCGCACATAAAGATGAAACTTGGTAAGTATGCCTATTATACCATTTACATCATGATTACATGTTTCCATGATGACCACATATTGTTCGAAAAGGCCTCAGGCAATTTTCTTTAAATTACTTCTTTACTCCTAAAACTTGCTAATTGTAGCACGCATGGAGGTGAAACTTGGTGCGCATATGTATTACATCGTTTCCATGACAACCACAACAACAAATAGTCTCAGGCACTTTTCTTTCTTCACTCCTCAAACTCGCTAACGGCACCACGCATGGAGGTGAAACTTGGTGCGCATGTGTATTACATCGTTTCCATAACGACCACAACAACAAATAGCCTCAGGCACTTTTCTTTAAAATTACTTCTTCACTCCTCAAACTCGTTAACGGTACCACGCATGGAGATTGAACTTGGTACGCATGTGTGTAACATCGTTTCCATGACGACCACAACAACAAATAGCCTCAGGCACTTTTCTTTAAAATTACTTATTCACTCCTCAAACTCGTTAACGGTACCACGCATGGAGATGGAACTTGGTACGCATGTGTGTAACATTGTTTCCATGACAACCACAACAACAAATAGCCTCAGGCACTTTTCTTTAAAATTACTTCTTCACTCCTCAAACTTGCTAATGGGAGATGAAACATTGTATGCATATCATTTCCATGACGACAACAGGCATTTTTTCTCTATTATTGCTTGCCCCCTTCCACAGAGATAATACGTAGTAGTATATAAAAATGAGAGGAGACAAGTAAATTAAAAACCCTGCGAATTTAAAAAGAGGCATTTAGGGATGGTATAAAAAGATAGGGAGACAAGATAGAGATGGGATACATGAACATGGTTAATGAACAGATTTGAGTATGCTGACACCCCAAACCCCATCACATAATCCCTATATTGTTGCCTAGGTGAAGTACATTCACCATTACAATACTCAGAACTTACAATACACTACTGAGTGAGTAACCAACACCCTTATAGAGTCCAAGTGGAGTTTAATTAAAGGGAATGTGGCAGTATAAATGTTACTAAAAACAACAGGGATATGGTGAAAGAATGCTTGCTTTTAGTAACCTTTAGCCCCTATAAGAGTAGCACACCAGGCAACAATATAGGGATTGTATGATGGGGTCGGGGGTGTCAGCGTACTCAAATCTGTTCATTAACCATGCTTCATGTATCCCATCCCTATCTTGTCTCCCTTTCTTTTTATGCCATCCTTTATGCCTCTTTTTAAATTCGAAGGGTTTTTAATTTACTTGTTTCTTTTGTAAACAATTTTGTTTACATGTAGACAACAAATAAAAAAAAATAGCCCCAGGCCATACATTATGATAGGGACGAATAAAGTGTCCTAACAAGGTAATGCTAATACCTACAGCGATAAAACATGTGCAACCCATCTTTAGTATCAATTACAAGTTTGTAAACTACAAAAACAGCCTCAGGCAATAAATTTGTAAATAGTGTTTGTGTGCTTATGGTTGGTCCCCTAACAATGAAACTTGGTACACTGATGTACCATGATGAGAGTTCATCGAAACAGAAATTACAAGTTTGTAAACAACAACAAACGGCCTCAGGCAATAAAAACTTGTAAATAGTGTTTGCGCCTCTAACTTGCTAATGGTTGGTCCTCTAACAATGAAACCTGGTACACTGATTCACCATGATAAAGAGTTCATCGAAACAGAAATTACAAGGTTGTAAACAACAACAAACAGCCTCAGGCAAAAATACTTTTAAATGGTGTCAGTGCCTACGTATAACTTGCTTATGATGGGTCCTCTCACAATGAAACTTGGTGCACTGATGTAATGTGAATGACGACAAAACGTCTGTGGCTTAAGGCCACTAATGTTACTTTTTTTATGGGATTATGCCCAAAAAAATTGCACACCATGTGGCCTGTATATTGGACGACCATCCTTGTACAGACACATTACCACACGGCAACATCGTTTGTAAATTCTGACCGGCCCTACATTCCTTTAGAGGAAGGATCTCACTGTGCTTTGCTTCCTGTTGGCCTGCGTTATAAACTGCTTGCTCTTGGTCTCTCTCTGTCATTCCGTTTCTGTGCTGTCGTCGATATTGAGGTGTGTTTTCGTTGATTGTACTACTCCATGGGCAGTACCACTGTGAGAAAGGCTTGGGTGAGTGGGGAGAGTTCACCGGTGATAAAAGACTCTTTAACCCACCATCCCTGGTTCTCAAGGCCGGGGCACCCTTCTATGCCTATAGGTCTTGCTAGCTGACCTCTCTAATGGTACTGCCCTACACTTCTGTTTTACCTCATATATTATGTTATTTTGTGCTGCTGTGTTCCTATGGATTATTTTTGTAACCTTTTATACCTCTTATATGGTTTATTTTATATATCGCAGATTATTTTTGATACCATTTGATAACTTTTATACCGCCTGTACCGTCTGTTGTAGTCATTTCACCACCATCGTGCATCAGCTCGCGTGTTTTGCAAGTCCCAAGTAAGCCCTTATGTATGTTAATTGTAGCCCCTTTTGAAGTCCTGTTTTCTTTCTCTTTTTCTTTCTTTCTATTTATGTATATAGCGTGAGCTGTTCAGTTTTCATGCATGTGAATGCAGTAAAAAAGGAAAGGAGACAAGTAAAATTATTCAAATTAAAATAGTTTGGAATAAATTATAAGGATGCCATAAAAAGCAAGGAGACAAGATAGGGATGACGTAGTTAGTATAATTATAGTACAATGGATGATGGCTACATGCTTTGAACTGACATCGCTTGCTCGTGTAAAATTTCCTCCGCACAAGCCCTATATTGTTGCCACCTTTACTGTTTGTTTAGTGAAGTGCGAGGACAATGGTGAAGGGATTCTGTATGTTGATGGCCAAGAACGCAGCATTGTAAAACTGGTTAGTTGAGCAAATGTATATAGAAGTCTTAGACTGCACACAATGCAATCACAACTGAAAACCAAGTACATAGATGGTATTACCTGTCTAATGTGCTTATGAAATAAATCATAGATGTGCATCATACAAGGGAGCACACTTCGCGACAATATAGGGCTTGTGTGGAGGAAATTTTACATGAGCAAGCGACGTCAGTTAACCATCATCCATTGTGCTACTGCATCACATGCACTAGGTCATCTCTGTCTTGTCTCCTTACTTTTTATGGCATCCCTATATTCCACACTTTTTTAATTGGAAGAACTTTTTTATTTACTTTCACCATTACTGTATGTAGCTTCAAAATACAGGTCATAATAACAGAGTGGAAAAGTGTCATTCTTATGAGTAACCAACACCATTATAGAGTGCAAGTAGAGCGTGCTCAAATCTGTTCGTTAACTATTGTTTATGTGTCCTATCTCTATCTTGCCTCCCTTTTAACCATCCCTACTTTTTAGTTCACATGATTGTTTATAAAAGAAGAACGGAGTGAAGGGGACTGTGCAAATATAGGAGGAGTATAAATTTTGACAGCCGCTTGGTTGGCTGGATAATGGGCAATGCCCAAGCTCTAGCTCTACATGTTTCTAGTTCATGAGCATCATCTTCATAAACCACCATCGGGGTGTCCGCCTAGTTTTGTTGGTCTTGTATAACTGCTTTCAGCAAAGTTGGATGCTGGCGACGTCACAATATTTGCTGCCACAGCAACAGTCGAGCAGGCTTGCTTGGTTCACCAAAATTTTTCCATTGTAGCTCAGTAATATGTTCTCTTTCCAAACGCAAGCTACTTCTAAGATTCTCTTGCAAAACGTTTTGCACCTGAGTCGCTAGTTTCTGGAGAAAGTTGCAGGTATGGTTCAGTGGAGGATTGTGGAGGTAGTGGTGTGACCTTTCACTTTTTTGGTCACTTCACTTTTACAGTCTTGCATATGAGTTGCTGTCGTACTTAAGTAGAAGGTTAGACGTTTGTTTCATGGGATCTGGCACGACACTGTCCAACACAGACCGACTAATCGTTAGCCACGCAGCTAGTGCCCACGTTTTCGTACGACGTTAAATAAACTTGCTTAGTTTTATGTAGGCCACCAAAATCACTGGAAATCACACAGAAGCATGTGATCAAAGAGAAAAAACCTCTCTGCATGCCTGCACATACTCGTGATGAGTCCAAACCAAATTGGATGTGGTAAGCTACATATACCAAAGGCGGTCCCCTACTTGTCGCAGTAGTTTTTGTCATATATTTACAGTACACACAAATTGTTTTTTTGCTGTAGTTGGCATGGACAACTTTCCATAAAACAAGAATTGGTCTCAAATACATGAGCACCTACCATATTGGCTCTCTTGTGGAAGAACAAAAAGGAGGTACGTATTACTGAAATATGAATTGTGTTGCTGAGGTCTGAATGTGACTAAGTAGTTTGTCTTTATTAACCCTCAGCACGCATGCACAGCGAGGGTTACAGTAGTTGGTTTGTCTGTCTGTCTGTCTGTTCTGGCACTACAAGCTACAAGACGACCTATGAGCGATACCAACGGCTTCAAAACTACGTGAGCCTGAATAATAAAAAGGAAACGACTGCGTTCAAGAGATATGCCCTGAAAACAAGCCAAAAAGCCAATATGCATAATCGCGCTTGGTTTACCCCAACCTGATCCACTTGCTCTGTGTACCTTGGACTCCCGCATTCTATCTAGCTAGCCCGTGTTAGACTCTCCACGAACTACTAGCGTGGAGACCATGAAGAGTAAACGCATACTCTTACTGCTCTTAGCCCAGCCCACCAATTAACAGTACTGCGCATGCGCAGTGTGCCGAGGGTTTGCACTTCATTGGTTCATGAGTGTGTCCGTCTGTCTGTTACCACGTTTCTGCGACTATGTGCAACAAGACAACAAACCAGCGATACCAACGGGTTAATCGCTACACTGGCTTCATTTTAAATTTTTGTACAATTGCTGCACTCAAACTGTTTGGCGTGAAAAGCCAGTTAATGAGCCAATTGCAAATTAGCACAGGCGACCTTGTCTGCTTGCTCTGTGTACCTTTGGGGCACAAGAAGTCACGACAGATGGCGTGTATCGACTCCTGCATGCTATATATCTACTGCTGTAGCTAGTCCGTGTCAGACTCTCCACGAGCTACTAAGCAGGAGACCACAAGTAAACACATACTAATAGCCCAGCCCATCAATTAGTGGTATCGTGCATGCAGTTCGCCGAGGGTTTGCACTTCAGTGCTTTTCATTTGTATTGTAGCCAGTTATAGTGTATACTTACCCACAATAGAGTTAGGCTAAACTAATCATGGAAGTTGTGCCAGGGGTGGGCTCGCCTCATAAGAACAGAAATTGCTAGATGACAATACACATAATATTATTCTTTGAGGCCAACCCACCATTCCTTTTCTCCATTATCCTATGACACAATTTCCATCATTAGCTTAGATTCTATTGTGGGTTATCAGTGCACTGTCTGTAATAGGCAGTAATGTATGTAAAACTGCAAATTCCCCATTGTAGCCTCGTAGTGTCGCATGCAACTGAGAGTATGATATTAATTGGGTCTGCCTTTATTACCTGCATTATTGCGGTGGATGGAGGCTTCTGCATGTGCCAATGGCAGTAAAAATGCTGCAAGGACCAGTGATGTATCAATCCATGATTTGCAAACCCCGGTTTGTTGTTCTTTGCCGTGTAGGTCCTTAGTATTAACACTCAATGTGCATGCACAGCTAGGGTGGTTACAGTACTTTGATAATCTAGGTGTGTGCCAGTCGACGCTTATTTGGCAGTACAGGTTATGAGTTGTCTTTTAAGCTGCATCGTTGAGTAGCGTACACATCCATCGAGTAACTTCATCCCCAAATGGTGTATCTCTTGAACACGGTCATAATCGCCTCTTAATTTTTTGTGCACTGGTTGCTCTGAAGCTGTTGGTGTTGCTTAACCCTTTGTAAGCCGGAATTGATGTATAACATATCAACGCCTAGTATTATAGCCCTATATAAATTCTTATGGACTTATGGAGGCTCTGGGCATATTTATATGCCCGTGGCTGGCTAAGGGTTGCAATACCAACACCTTCAGAACAACCAGTGCACAAAAAATGAAAAGCACTAAAGTGCAAAACCCTTGGCGGCGTGGTACCACGCAGGTGGGTCTGGCTATGTGTATATAAGTGCTAGTGTAGCAATATTATTTGTCACAATCAGAGTGTGTGACTTTAGGCCAATGGACATGTTAAGAAGACCCGGACTGGCTATATAAGCAGGCCTGAAACGAGAATAAACAGTGAACACATCCTAAAGCCTAGAAACCTAAAAATCGAAGAACGACTGAAACTACCATCTTCTCATCAAATCACAAGTACACAACATCACGCGGAAATCAGACAAATCATACAACAATTTGGTTCCAGGACTGAAAATCACCATCACGAATGAATGACTCAAGTATCAGAAATATCCTGAAAAGTCAGAGATACTGATGAACAAAGTTAGCTAGACCTGGGAACTAGGGCTGTTAGCTAATGTGTGCGTGTGCGCGCGTGCTCTGAAGGGCTGAAGAAAAAAGGCTCTGTAAAACCTGTACGAGGCTAGCGTTCATCCGCGCTAACCCAGACCTTTGCTAAGAGTTGGCATCTATTATACGGGTATATAGCTTCAACGGGACAACGACGAATGAAGCCACACCGAGCTCAGTGTGTATGCGTGCTCGATGCATACGCATGCAAATCACAAACGCGCGCTAGTGTAACATACGCAGGCACGGAGAGATCGGTATAATTACCCAGGGTTGGGGCAGTCGGAATACCCGCTAGCTAAACTAGCGTTTAAATTTCGCTGCACTCTTCACTCGTCTTCCGTTGATCGCATTCCGCAGTGCACAAAGAGCAACAAAATCCGGGCGGGGTAAACCAATACTAATGAAACCCTGGCTGCTCAACGGTGCTATTTACAGCGAAAAACACGTGATCATTGTGCGCAACCCGCCAGTGTAACACATGCATGCGTTTATTTCTTGCTTCCTAGAGGTAAGCGAATACTAATTAGCATATTGGCTTGTTAACTTGGTTTTCATGCCATAACTGTCGAACGCATTGCTTTTACGAAAATCGCCAAATTTAAAATCAAGCCGGTATAGCGCTGAACCTTTTGGTATCGCTCTTTTGTTGTCTCGTTGCACGTGGTTGCAGAAAACGTGGTAACAGACAGACAGACAGACAGAAAAACTTACGGACCAAGTACAGTAACCCTCGCTGCGCATGCGCGCCGAGGGTTAATTAAGAGGTGATTATGACCGTGTTCAAGAGATTGGGGATGAAGTTACTCGAGGGATGTGTATCCATCATTGTTATATTATAAACAATACTCAACGATGCAGCTTAGAACTAGAAATTGTCGCTGCCCGATGGGGCGTGGCCCGGCCCATACTTTAACTGTGCGTTATGTGCGTGCATGGTCTGCGTAGCAACACTACACGTGTGTTCCATGCGCCGAGGTTTGCACTTTTCTTTTAGTAGGGACAGCCCTGATTGTGTTCCTTTTTTCTTGGCCTAAGCTCATGTCATCTTTTGCATGTATAATTATTGCTCAATTTTGTTTATAGCATCCAAAGATTACCAGAGATTATTTGAAACTCCATAAAGACCTAGAAGAAAAGGTAGCAGCTACCTGTACTGTGTTCTCACTGATGTTAAACTAGTTGTTATTTCTTCAGGGACTGTTTGAAGCCACTCCGATATTTAACATACTAATGTTGGTGCACGCTATCTTGTTTGAGGTAGCTGCCTGGTGGATACTCTACACTGCTGGGGACTGGTGGACTGCCTGGATAGTCTCTGGGGTGTTTTTTGCCACTTCTCAAATACAACTTGGATGGCTGCAACATGATTTGGTCCACGGCACTGTGTTCAGCAGCACAAGAGTCAATCGAATCTTCAATGATATCAGTCTTGGACTGATGCAGGTGGGGAACGATTATGTACTACTTGGTGATGGGGAGGGAGCTATATTATAACCTAGGGGGTTTTAGTTACGTATGTCTGTACATCAAGCCATGTAGTGGACATACATAACATACCTCTTTTGTGAAATGATTATGGCATTTATTGTTCCAGTTCATTATTGGAAACAGGGGAGCATGTTCTTCATACAGTATCGAAATACGCATACTTTGGGTTTTGATTTCATAGTGCATGGGGTGTGTATATAAGATGTTAGGTAGTGAGCTGGTTGACAATAATGTCTCTGCTTGGCCTCGATTTTTTCGGAGCTAAGAAAGGTCAGGTTATACTGCGATAATCCCAGCATTCAACAGTCCCAGTCTCAGATTGCGTCTGGGGAACCAGGGTGTTGCTAGTGGAAGGGGTGAGTTGAGGTGTCTGGGAGGTGTTACAGACACCAGTTTAAATTAAGATCGTAAAATATTGGTGTATATAAGCTCAATCTAGCCGACCAGTTATGCCCTGCTGGATGCTTTGCAAAAATGTTTGAACTGAAGGCTGGGTTGGGGCTTTTTGCCGGGTTTAGAAGCTTTTTGTAAGCAGATCAACGTGAGATTAGACCCGTGCCATCCCTATAAAACGAGTCCACTATTAATAGCGAATTATTGACTATTATGTGTCCGGGGCAAGTTACTCGCTCAATTGTATATCTCCTTCTAGGGAGTTCCCATTAACTGGTGGGATGGGAGACACTATTTGCACCATGCAAAGCCAAACGTGGTCAGTCACTATCCAATACAATAATAGGCAACCATTACTCAACTCTTCTTTTCTAGATTTATAAGGATCCAGATATCACAATGCCCTTTAATTTCTTCCTACTGGGAAAGACAATACCTAAAGAGTGGGGTGCAAAACACTGGGGACTGTGGCCTGTGGCCGTATCAATTTCAGCACATATATTTCATACTAAGTAAGTCACAACTGTGGTCAGGGCAGTGGTGGGGTCTCGTTAGTATCTGAGGGTTCCTGTTGTGGGCATCTCAGTTCCCCTTTTCAATGTGCAGGAGACAACAACATTTGAAGGTATAATTTTTAACCCTCGGCGCGCATGCACTGGAGGGTTGTAGTACTTGGTCTGTGTGTCTGTGTGTCTGTGTGTGTGTATGTTACCACGTTTTCTGCCACCACACGCAACAAACCGGCCAAAAAGCGACACCGACGGGTTCAGTGCTACACTGGCTTGTTTTAAAAAGGTGATTTTCGTAAAAATACTGCGTTCTAAAGTAATGGCGTGAGAAGCAAGTGAACAAGCCAATATGCTAATTAGCACAGACTTACCTCGACCGGGTCCGTGCGCATGAAGGCGCGTGAAGTCACAACGAAGGGTGTGTATCGACTTCCGCATGCTATCTATATACTACTGTAGCTAGCCTGTATCCGACTCTCCGCGAGCTACTAGCGGGAGACCACGAGTAAACGCATACATACTACAAATAGCCCAGCCCATCAATTAGCGGTACCGCGCATGCGCAGTTCGCCGAGGGTTTGCACTTTAGTGCTTTTGATTTTAATAGTGGCAACCCATTAAGAGTGTCCTGAATAATTCCTTTAGCTGTAAGAGGAGGGCCAGCAGTAAACCTTGCCCTCTCATGTGTCCAATTTTTACATTTCTCTTGATCATGCATTTTTCTACATCCACTTCACAGTTGATGATAGATTTTTCCAGCTCTATTTTCGATCTCCATGTTTTTAATGGGATCTTGGCCAATTATTTTTGTGCACCTTAAATTTCATTGTCTTCTCACACCTACGGTGACCTCACGTGGACACGTTTATGCAGCATGTGTGTGTGCATGAATGTTCATGGCTAGTGCTGCACTGCTCTTGCTGCTATCTGGCTTGATAGCACTGTCAACGTTTCCTTCATTGTCTCCAGTTACAAAGAGATCGAGCTCGTGTATACCAGAGTGGCATGTGTAGAGATGACCAGTAAGAACTACATAGCTTGTAAGGTGTACTGAAGAAAGGGAGAGTATCATTTAGATATCCCTTACCAAAATGCCTCACACTTCTCCTCAGAAACAGTAAACCACCTTGGCACATCACTCTCACCGTCCTCTCTGGAGCTGCACTTGGATAGGCGTGCAAAGTCCACAATGGGATAGCTACACAAAGCTTACTATCCTCAGACTTGGAAGGAAGAGCCAGTGTATAAAATCAGTGAGCAGGTGTGCTAATCAGTGGCTCAATGGCGTTGAGAGGATTTAACTTCAAAATAGTATGCCAGTCCATGATTTCAAAGTTGCTACGCACATGACTCTTGGTTGTAGTTACTTAGGCAGTAAAAAAAACCGTTTTTGCCTACTAGACAATAGAAAAGTGTGCCATGTATAATATCATATTTGGCGATCGAAGCCTAGCTAGCTATATACCTAGTTATTTCAATCGGGAATCTTCTATGTATAATATTGTGTTTGTTTTTATCTATCGGTCGTCGGGTGCTGTCACTACCGTAATGTTCTACGTGATTCTACGAAAAACGCGCGAAATATTGAACTGCTTGTGCTCACTTGCCAACAGTTCCTCTAGTATATTATTCTACACTAATTATACTAATTATGTGGAACACATCCTTATCAGGTAATCTAAGACAGTAGTACAGCTGCAGTGGGGCAACAACTAATACTTGCTTTGCACAACTATGTGATTATGTTCGTGACGTGCATGTGCCTCCATGGAAGCATTTCTGCGTGTTGAAATACTGATGTGTTTTCATAGTGTACATTGTCTTATCATTTTCAGCTGCTCCAACCTTTGGGATCACCTTTTTCTACCAAGTTGAATTTATTCTTCAAGCAATTTATAATGCCCAATGGAAGGTAGGCACACTATTATGTCTGGTTAGTGCATTGCTTATCCTGGATGGAAATGGTCCACACTTGTCTAGCTACACTTAGCAAGTGTTGTATATACTGTCTCTCTTACAACTTAACCCTTTTGGAGGGCTAATATTTCATATTGTGTAGCATAGACTACAACATGGAGAGCAGTTCATACACTTTTTTGTAACTTGTTTTATTGAACTAGCATCTTCTGTGGCTGTTCAGCTTCGTGTTGCGGTTCTACCTGATGTACTATCCACTTCTTGGTAGCTTTGGTGGACTTGTCTGTTGGTACTACTTCATGAGGTTTGTGGAGAGCCAGTGGTACGTGTGGGTCAGTCAGATCAACCACATACCCATGGACGTGGAGGCAGAGAAGCATCTGGACTGGGTGACACTGCAGTTGAGGGGAACCTGTAATGTGAAGCCGTCTCTTTTCAAGACCTGGCTCTGTGGTCATCTCAACTACCAAATTGAGCACCAGTATGATCTCTCCTATACTCTTTTCTCGTGGTCTATTTATTTTTGTGAAGTACATATCCTAATGAATCCAATGTGTCTTATATGCAAGAGAAAATTGAAGAAGCTACTTAAAACTAAGCTGTACCTGATGGAAAGTTCTGCTTGTATGGGTGTTAGCTTCTCAGCTGGTTGAGTTTCTAGCACGCTGACTGTAGTATTACTATAGCATGTTGCTAATAACGAGCTGTGCATTTTGTGAATACTTAACCTTTACTTTAGTTTGTGAGTGAAGCAAGCCCTGTAAATGAGTGGTTGTTCCATACGTAGCTATCCAACAACGGTATACTATTAATGTTGCACATACCTCAATGTTATACGTAACTAATGCTTGAAATTTAATGACTACGTATGTTCTGTGCGTGTGTGATTCTTGCGTTTGCCTGAATCTCCTTTGCTCTTTGTGTTAACCCCGTATGTTTCATTACAAATAATGTAGCAATAAAGTGTTACATTATTTATAATGAAACATACGGGAAACACAAAGAGCAGAGGAGATTCAGGAGACTATCAATGTTGATCTAGCTGCTAAAAACTGAGCTTTGAGTAACTCTATAGAAGTAATGGCATATGTATGTATTATACCTGGTATGGGGCAGTCGGACATCCCTTACCATCACATCAAAAGACCCCATATTTGGTATTAACAAATAGAGACACCTTGGTTTTAACCCCACCTAGGCACTGTGTTAATGAAAAGCACTAAAGTGCAAACCCTGGCACAAAACGTGTACATTGTGTTGATGTAAGCTACGTATATGGGCTGGGCCATGAGTCGTAGGCAGAGCCAGTTTCTCGCCCTAACACAGGCTAGCTGCATCAGTGGGTAGTGAGCGGTTAGAGCAACGCTGGACTGCACGCACATCCCTCCACTATGCGCTGAGCGGGCTAAACCTGGTCGACGTAAGCCATGCCAGCCGGCGGGGGGGGCGTGCGCGATCGATCACTCGTGTATGTGCAGTTGGCTTTTTCGCTTGTTTTCACGCCATATCTCTGGAACGCAGTCGTTCGAGAAAAATCGCCTTTTTAGTTTTCATGCTTTCGTATCCCTGAAGCTGCTAGTATCGCTCATAGGCCGCCTCGTAGCCTGTAGTGGCAGAATAAATGTAGACAGACAGACAGACAGACCAAGTACTGCGGGTCCCTTACCTCATTTAATTCTAGCACATTATCTATACTTATTTTTTTATTTATTTTCCCTTTTTTCTCTCCAGTCGTTTCATTTTCAACTGCACTGTCATAATCACTGTAACCCTCGCTGTGCATGCGTGCCAAGGGTTAATTAGATATACCTAGAGAGTTAGATCAGGGCAGGCACCACTCCTACAATAATTGTGTGTTGGGGGTTTGGTTAAGCTAAAGCAGCTACTATTGTCATTTTCTGTTTTAGTTAGCCTCACTCGCCCCTGCACTATAAGTTTGCCTTTGCCTTGTCGTGTGTTGTGCACTTAGTGACCTGCCGGCTGGTAAGTCAGTTGGAAGAGAGCTCTGCATTGAGAGCAAGAGTATGACGGTTTACAGAACAGCTCTGTTTTCTGTTGTTGTGGGATTGTGGGATATTTTTTTGTTATTATACGTACCCATGTACTATAATTGTAATGTGGTAGAAGACTGGGCTTTGTAGTAACTATGCATGTGTGTCCATGCACATGACTTAGTCTCTGAAGTACACGTTTGCTCTGTAGTTTGTTCCCCGCCATGCCTCGCAGTAACTACCACATCATTCAACCAAGAGTCAAAGAATTCTGTCAAGAGCATGGACTTGTGTATGAAGAAAAAGACTTCTGGGAGGGAGTCTATGCTATGATCAAGTGAGTACCTGGAGCTGTCCTGGGTGTAGTTGACTTGTTTGCTTTGCCTTTGCCTTTCTACCTTGTTTGACACATGCATGCGACATTAGATGTCCGAGACTTAAACATGAAGAAAAGATTTTTAGTTGACTTGACTTTAAGAACAGGACAGCTTCTCTCCTGAAATTGGATAAGCACTTCATATCGTCATCAAAAGTATCACTGATCAGGCTCACCCAACATTCATTCTCACTATTTGTAGGTCTCTTAAAGATTCTGGACAACTCTGGGCAGATGCTTGGAAGCAGCAGAGCAAAAGAGTTGAATGAGAACAAATTTATAAGACATGTCGTTAAAATAAACACTAGTGTAGCTACACTCTCTTTGAACAATTATTTCTTGCTTGTTATGTTCCTATTATATAATAATACAGTATTCAGAGTGTTGGTAGGCGCTGTATGTAGGGAGGGAGGCTTTCAGTTGTCTATAGTGGTGAGGGTTATGCACTGAAAGTACTTTTCAATAATCAGTGTGTTGGTAGGGCTGTGTGTAGGGAAAAGACATGATCCGCTAAACAGGAACTCTAGCTGAGCCCTCACAACACACCATCATCACTCACGGACCTACCTCTAGGTATACACTATGCCGCAATGATTTATCATAATCTTCATAACTGGGACATTGTTGAGGTGCACTGAAAAAACATATCCAGGGTCCAGGGAGGTGTAGAGGTTGGTACTCTAGCAGTTGTTCTATCCTTGTTATTCATCAAAGGAGGTTTTGACTGATTGTTTGTGCTTTACCCAGCAATTCTACATGGTTTGAATATCTCGCAAGCCCCACTGTGTACTGTAGATCCAAAACCTTATTAGCTTCTGTAAATGCAAAACCTACTTAGGTTCTGTCTTTTGTAGCAGAGACTGTAGACCTCTTTGTAAGTCTATGGAGTGTGCTTCCTTCCCCTGTGAGACTGCTTTTAGCTTAGCCATGACTGCTTTGCTATTTGAAGACCACTAATATTGTTAGTATATAGACAGTGTCCCTCCCAGCTTCTGCAGCTCCCACTGCACCATTGAGCACACACTAACATTAAAATTAATATAGCAGCACAAATCATGCAGTACATACAGTAGCATACTTACAACCATGATTTTCACACACTTGCATTAGCTCTAAGTAGCTAGCTCCCCACTCTCTGCATTTGCCACCCTTTTAGCCACAATCTCTTACAGTATTACAAAACTCTTACATTCCTGAGCCTGAAGCCAGTAATAGCTATATAGCTACACAGTGCTTTAACTTATGTACTGAGCAAGGAGCCCCTCTGAAAATGGATTTAGAATCCTAAGTCGTTCGTAGTTGAGATCACTACCTTAGTATTACAAATGATATAGCATTGCCAATTTGCCATGACACTGAAAAAGAATGGTGAAAGGTTAGAAATATTGCTGTATCTCGTCTGCGAGGGTAAACAGTTCCGTGTCTTTGAGAGACTTGATGAGAGATTGCCATGTCACAGGTAGCCCCTTCCCCTCCAGCCATTCTCCCAGTATCATCTGAGCAATCCTTTCTGGTTTATCATGGCATTCGTACCTAATACTTTCGACTCGTTTGCCTGTGGTGTCATCTAGGAGCAGAACTCCAAATGTGAAGTACTTGGTACCAACTTCAGAAGGCACTTTAAGTCTGAGCAGTGTGGGTAGAGTAGGCTTCTCTCCTATTAAAAATGAAAAGGTTTATATGGTGGTATGGCAGAAAGATTCCACTAACCAAGCCTGCTGATGGATTGCAAAGGTGACAGAACCTCCTCCGAACTGCCAGTTGAAACTAAATGACATGTCAATTACATAAAATATGAGTCTCTACATAGTTTGAGGAAAGTATGGTTCGAGTTAGGTACTGAGATTTTGGAGGAAAATATTTCTTCACTGCTTGAGCTTGTCAAGTGTTATGTATATCTGTGAGTTAAGAAAGGTTAAGTTATTGCGATAACCCTAGTGTTGAACTGTCCCCAGCTCAGAGCGTATCTGAAGACCGAGACCTGCAAAGGGTCGCCATGCTCTGTGTGGTAAGGCAGGCACTCCAATACTTCTTGCATATCTTGTTCTAGCTCAACCCAGTGTTCTTTGTGCGTGGTCATTGGCCCTATATAGTGCTATGGCTGCTATAGAACATCACTTTCGCGACTACCTATATATAATGTGCATGGTTATACGGTACTTACCAGTTACATCGGCCATAATTGTATCTGTCCGTTCCTCAGGTCTTGTGTACACCGACGTTTTAGTATTAAAATCTGGGGGAAAAAATGCATCTACAAATAACGTTTGAAAGTGAAATGCTTTGTGAAAATTGAGTAAAAAATTGCTGACCTTCCTTGTACTCTGTCCCTTCTAGCCATTCTGGGATTTCGTCTTTCAAACTTGCCACTGAGTCAAACTCATTACGGTCGAGGGAGCAGGTCCACTCTTTGTTCCTGATGTAGGCTGGATGAGAGCTGGTGTGGCTGGGACAGAGGATGGCAAGGCTGGGCTTGTTGTCTGAGTAGCCGAGTGTGATTGATACCGACTCATATATAATATGCATCTTGAAGTCGTAAAGGAGGTGGTCAGTGAGAAGTAGTAGCATGAAACCCTCAAAGGCAATCCTTCACTCCTGTAGAAATGTATTTTAAACAACGTGTTAAATCACGAGCAGGATCAAAGTAATGTGGCTACATGACAGTGGTGCAAGAATAAGGAGTACATGGGGCCGGTACACCCACCAGGCTCCTCCTTGTGTGTGTGTTTTCACCTTTGTCACAGATTACAAAGTGTCTTTATAGCTATGAGTGTAACGTGAGCTTGTGATACTATTAACATGACATAGTGAATAAAATACATGCATCTAGCATACACTGCTAATATTTTTGGACTCTTCGCAGCACTAAACTTGCGCGTAGTGCCACTTAGTGATTGATAAAAACCAAGGGTATACAGAGGCCACAAAATGTTGCGGGTACATTTCTCCTTCACTGTAACGGCTGAGTGACCTCCAGAATGTGAATGCAGCACCTTTATTTAGCCCTTTTTCTCACCGAATTTTGCAAAATGCCTCGCAAGAGAAGGTCCTTCGCGTCGCGGAAGAGGTCCCACTCGGCCCTGGTTACCTTGCGCTGTGCTAAACAAAAGAGAGCTCGAACACCAACACAGTGGACGGAAGGGACCATGTTAGCTCCTCTCAAGGCAGTGGAGTGGGTTTGTCAGTCAGTGCAGTGGCAAGGAACTTCGATCTAATGAGGATACCCTCTATGATCAAGTTAGTGGAGGAGTCGTCACTAGCAGAAAGCCACCATACATCAGTCACGCAGAGGACAAGTAGTTGAGTAGGTATCGCAACCACTGTGCCAAAAGGTGGTTATGGTAAAACGAGAAAAGACGAGATGGGAATTGTGTCTGCTGGAAGTGAAAAAGGTCAACTGTGTTCAGGCCAGGTCTCGGATGGCTGGTGGAGGATCATCAGGGGGTCTGTCGTCACGTCAAGGAGACAGCACTGCCAACGTCAGGATGGATACTGTGAACCAGGAAACATTGGACCATTATTTCTCTCTCCTGCATCAGACGCTGGACAAACCCTCACAGATTTGTAATGTAGACGAAACACGAGTCCCCCTGAATCAATGTCCACCTAAGGTTGTCACAACCAAGGGGAGAGTGACAAAAAAGTACACTGAAGTACATTTGGATTTAAAGGCCAGGTGGCTGGGGTTGGTTTGCAAGCCAGTCAATGATATTCACCCTTGCCTCAAACAAAATACGAGGTTGCAGATATTAAGTATGGTCTTGGCTCAAATGGTTGGACCAAAACCGATCTGTTCGAGGCATGGTTTATTGAGCACAATGCTATGTCTGCCAGTCCACTCTTCTTTTTGCTCGATGGCCACTCACTACCAACCATGAGTGATATGCCTCACAGTGGAGCACAACTGCAGCTTACCACCTCACACCACACACGAAGCTCAACCCCTCGATGTTGGTGCGTTTCCTCCACTAAAAGTGCCGTGGACCAAGGTATCTCATGAATTCTTCCCCAACAACGGAGCCTTTGGCTGCACGCTGCCACGTACATAAAACGTTCACCACCCATCCTGCAAACCACCACCTTCTCTGTATATAAGTAGCATTTTTTTGGTAGTCACCAGTTATCCCCTGAAGAAGGTCATCCGTCACCGAAGTACTAGGGAAGTATTTTTTTATCAACCGACTGGTCTACAATCGTTGTGCATGGCTACTCCTGAGCCCCTGCCTCAGAGAGCTCTGCGCCAATCCTGAAGACTGTGAGGTCATGAGCCTCTGCCACCGTCGTCCATGTCCCGCGGAAGTGGTCGGGAGCGCTGCCCCGCCCCCCTCGGTGGGCACCCCCCTTCGGGGGCTTCACCCTCCTACATCATCCCTATACCTTGGTTACACAGACTAAGATGCTAAAATATCAAAGATAAAAGAATGGTGTCATGTGGCTTTCTGTATATTTCATGTGTAACATCCCCTTGCTTTTTCGTCTCGTGTATTTGACTTCATCATCAAACCACAAATCTTTTAACTTGTACGTTTGTAGTTCCTGCCACACTTACTCTATCCATACTTCAAATGCCCAATATTAATCACCACAGTCTGCTTAGAAGTTGAACGTCTGTAACTATGTCATCATCATTGAAGGCTCGGTCTAACCCTAGTCCACTCAGGCTCAACACTTGGTGTCTACTACCCACCAGATCAACCTTCACATCTTTGTCAAACAGCCAAACAACATCATCCACATCAGAGGACCCACCAACTGCAGCACTGAAGCCCCATGAATACCTACTCTCCTACCCAAGCACTTCTTCCATAGGCATATTTAAAATACCAAGTACAAGCTACCTCCTCCCTCTCCAACTAAACTTCGTCCACAAACTCTCCCCACAGCAGACCTTTCCAACAAAATCCGAGTCCAATATGATAGTGTGAATGGCTTGCACGAACCTTTCTGCTGTCAACTAAAATGTAAACGATTCTCTATACCCTCCGTCGTGAGTGTATAGAAGCAGTAATGCAATTAAGGGACATAATTGTGTGTACCATATTTCTCAGCAATGGAGGTGGCAATTCCAGTGTGACCCAGTCTCTGGTGGAGAAGAGCCTTAACAAGAGCTGCCCAGGACACTCCTCCACACAGTCGTCTCTCTGCAGCCAGTGTAGACCACTGCACTCCAGGAAGGCCAGGTGGATCTGCTGTTTTTCTCTCTCAGATCCACACACGGCGATGAGCCAGTCCCAGGACCAGACCCAGGTTGTAGATATCAGACTGGTCCAGATCCATCAGCTGGTCTGTTATCTCCACCAGATCATCCTCTCCTGCAGTCAGGTGAGAATATATAACATGTGTAGTTACTGTGACCATACGAATAGAAGGAAAACAATTATACAACACAAACTGGCAACATAGTAATAAACTGCACATGGTCTTACCAAGTGAGCCATCTTGAGGAACGAACACTCAGCTGTAGAACTGCTTTCCTTTCTAAGTGCATCTGAAGTAATAGAAAAATAGATGGCTGGTCAACAAGTGGTTACTATATACAGTAACGAATAAACATTAAAAAGGTTTCTGCAACATACCCTACTTTAACACACTCTGTAAAGACTGTTAGGAAAAATGCACATCAAGTGTATCTACTTCTTGTTCACAACAGCAAACAATCACACTACCAGTTGTTTCAGTTGTTTCCTTGGGATCAGTTCTCTCTTCTCCTTTCCGTTTTGACATTGTATGTGGCTCCCTGTCATTTTTTCATCTATAAACGGTAGAATGCAGTAACGTATGAAACCTGAGTATAGTGCAGATGTGTGTTGCAATATTCTACTACTCTGTGTCAACTGTATCGCAGAGAGGACTTTTGGTTGGTGAACTACGTACTAACAACTAATCTGCAAAACGGACGTACGTACATGTTCAAAATATCGTATTTACACACCTTCTATGTATTCTGACTCTTTCCAGCCAACACGGAATATGCTCTTTCTTGAGACTTGCAACTGAGTCAACTCATTACAGTCGAGGGAGCAGGTCCACTCTCTGTTCCTGATGTAGGCTGTGATGAGAGTTGTTGGCAGTGGTGTGGCCGGACAGAGGATGGCAGGGCTGGGCTTGTTGTTGGAGTAGCCGAGTGTGGTTGATACCGACTCTAGTCCACTGAAGCAGCACATCGTACATGTCTCCACACCTCCACTAGCTTAACTGCGTGACGTGCGGATGTGGACTTCAAAGTATGTGTAGCGATCGATTAACATGACAAAGCCATTGTAGTCTGGGACCTGAAACTGGATGCAGTTGCGGTACAGACAAGCGGGGCTGTTGTGTGCATGACGGACACTCCATGGACAGGGATGTCTGTTGGCTGTGGAGAGGACGTGGGCTATGAGGGAACAGCACACTCCGTGCTGGGGTCCACCGTCAGCGAAATGGACCACAAGGGGAGACTGGCTCACACAGTGTGGGCGGATTCTTCTGGTTTCAGATGCTTCAGGACACACGGCATGAAACCACGTGTCAGGATAGAGCCGTGCAAACACCAGTAGTCTTTCCAGTAAGGTTGTCAGATGTTTCCTGGTGAACACTGTCTCGTGGTAGTGGCTGCTGAAACGCTTGTTCTCCAGAAACTTTTCAGTGATTTGTGCATTGTTCTTATACTGTTGCCAGCCGTGGGGAAGCGGGGAATCTTTGGCACTGGGATTTTAGTTCGATGTGAACTGGACAGCTCGCTCACCTTGTCCAGGAGGACCTGTGGATTCACAAACACCACATCGGGAAGAATGCTGGGATAGTAGAAGATGAAGCTGAGGTTGTGGAAGAACTCCAGAGACAGTTGGAATGACTCCGTGTCCAGCCCCACTGATGCAGCAATCTTCAGGCACTCTTCTCGGCTGAGGATATTCCTCTTCAGGCGACGAGCAATGCTCTTCATCTTCTGATTGAACACATGCCACCTCCATGGAGTCTTCTCCCTTCTGGAGGGACACTCGTGCATGATGCACTCTCGAATTGTTTCTGCAGTTTTCTTGTCGTCTTTATCGGGTGTCAGACCATTGATTTCAAAGATGGGCCTTTTTTCTGCACAGTAAATAACTTGTTTCTTCAGCCTCTCAGGAATGAGAGCCTCCATTTGCTCATTCTTCTGCTCCACTGTCTCTGTCTCACACAAATGCTTGAGGTCTCGATGAGTGCCAAGGAGAAGAATTCTGGGAGGTTGGCCGTTGGAGGAGTTCTCCTCAGACGAGCATTCCTCTGCTCCTCTGCACTTGGGAGAGTGGTCCTGACATTCTGCTGGTTTTGGGGAGTGGTCTTCATCTCCTGGGAGCTCCACTGGCTGTGCTGGCTGGAGGGAGCTCTCCTGGATTGCTGCTGCTCCCTTCTCTGTCTTTCCTCTGACTCTGTTGTTGAAGGAGAACATGGTTCTCATGTACTTTCCAAAGATGTCTCTGTTGGTCAAAAGACTCTGTTCTCGTCTGCCGACCAGCTGCCCATTGCGGTAGTACTCTATCACGGGGTAGCTGTCCAGTGGCTCCGACAGCTTGAACACAAACACACAGACTGATGTGTGTGGCAGGAACACAGAGAAGGCATCTTGGAACTCGGTCTGTCCTCCAGAGTCGATGAGAAACACCCATCTCTCGTGAGCTAGAGGTTTGGGAGATCCGGTGGCTTGGCTGATGAGGGAGACAAACTCTTCCTCCACCTCAGTTGACTGCAGTAGGGCATCCACACTCAACTCGGGGGAGAGGGACGGACCTGGCTGCAGAAGGGCAGCAGTGGTGGACTGGGTAGCAGTAGTCGATGTGCCAGTGGCAGACTGGGGAGGACGGTGAGATGAGGGAGTGTGTGAGGATGAATCTGGTGTGTGAGGGGACTGAGTCGTGTCTGAATGTGTGTGTAAGAGAAGAGGGTGATTGGTGGGTGTGGTTTCTTGAGGAGTGGTGGGGTCCGTGTTGAGACGTGTGGCTAGGTGGGCAGTGAACTGGTGCTGTTCTTTCTTGGCCCACTTTGTCTTGCCATCCACAATAATTGCCATGGTTTTGACTGGTCTCTTCATGATGGGGGTACTGTGACGATCCTCAGGTGCAAGGGGCTCCTCCTCCATTATTGTGTCTAGAGCAGTTGACTTGCCACTGCCAGCGATGCCCATCATCACCACTTTTGTAATGTCAGTCTCTGAGTGGCCGTGCTCCATTTCTCGCTGGTAGATGATATTAGCACGATAGCGACCTGGGGAAAATATGAAACAGATGTGCCAATAACACCACCACGTGCACTGTAGGCATTGCACTATAAAAGTCTTCCTAACTACTTGTTAGAACTAAGGTGGGTATTTAGCTATCGCTCTAGCAATATTTTTCAGGTTCCATGAAATCAACCTTCCTCTGACACATTCAAAATGTGAACATGTATATATCTCGCAGGTCAATCTGCCACCTATATACTAATCACCAATAGTTGAACCAACAGATATATCTTTAGCTGTTTGTCGTTTAAATTCACCATCCTCCAACACATTCCAAAATCTAAACTTTGCAGGTTGGCAACCTATGTACATTGTAGATACTATGGTATGTACATAGCCAAAACACCCTTTCAGTTGTTAGTTTTTATCCATCCCTGCATCTTCATAGGAGAGATTCTTACCAGTAGGAAACATTGTCTGAAGTATGTGTAGGAGAGTATGGAGTTGTCTGTCATAGAGAGCAGTGGCCACATGTTGCCAGGATGGTGCTGGGTGGGATGTGAGGTAGGTCTGGAGGAGGGCAGACTGTCTCTCACTAGCTGTCCGGTACTGAGACTCTATCCAGCGGCGTTGGGAGTACGGTATGTCAAGTAGCACACCAAAGAATTCTAACTCTCCTGCAGGTAATGTTCCTAGTGCTAATCTGAGATCAGCAGGCGAGAGAGTGGACTCTGTGACAGTAGAACACATTGACAGAAGTATGGGCTGATGGTTCGTAGTGCAAAATCCTTGGCCCGTTCTCTTGTGGCAAACAAAGTATTGGCTGGTAAAACAAGCCTACCTATTTTTTCCCTTTATCTAATATGAGAGGCACTGCACATACCGTAATGTACTAAATAGGCATGAACGAAATTTTCTGCTTGCACTCACTCACCACAAATGCATGGCATTAGTTCTAGTTATCTTTAGTCATAATTTTTTTCATGCCATAGCAAAATTAGTTACAGTTGGTATACAGATCATTCGGCCTCATTCCACTATTATACTACACAGTCAGAAGATAATGGGCTGATAACTAACTGCATACAGAACATAGTTGCTGGAGAGTGAATGGGGGATATGAGTCGTACTTTACTGTATAGTCTATGGCTTATGCTTTTACTCACATGTGAAGTATAGATCGAAAGCAAAACACACAAACACCAATGTGACTGCTTTCAAGATAAACTTTCTTGGCAAAACAGTCCCACGATGGTTTTTGAAAGCACCTCTTTTTTTGCGTGTTCACGTTTCACTTTCCACTTGTATACAAGTTAAGCAGGCACGTGCCCATAACAAACTGTCCATGAAAAAGCTGTCTTGGTTTATACTTTAATCAGGGAATTTGGTGCCTGATTTTCAGTAGATATCACCGCATCGTAAATTATCTCACATAGGATTGGCATCCATTAGTCTATAGCTTCTGTTTTTACTCATGTCAAATAAGTGGGAAATAATAGAGGCTGAAGCATTGAAAATAGCAAGGGAACAAACACCAATGTGACTGCTTTCAAGATAAACAAGAGAACTATCTTTGCAAAACAATCACACATTGATTTATATATAATAACACCTCTTTATTTATTCACTTTCCACTTGTAACAGGCACGTGTCCATAACAATTTTTCCTAGTGATTACAAACTGATAATTTTGGTGCCTGATTTTTGGTTGTTAGCTGTCACTACGTCGTATTATAATTCAGAGATGGCTCAAATACAGTGCTTGCTTGTTGCCTTTCTTGGTGTTAGTATCCTTCTTGGGTGGGGAAAGGGACTTTTGTTTACAATAAGGCATTAGCTAGCTATAGAATACTAGGTACAGTAATTACAAAAGAGTGTATTGCTAACCAGGGGTATGGTGAAGAAATTTCCTGACACCCTGCAGAGACGCATGCTCTTCCAACCTGTAGAACCCCCCAGCCAGTTTTGCCCAAGAAGCCAGTGGTATGGCTTTGAGAAAGTACATAATCATTTCCTCTCTCTTCTTATACTTGCCATAGGAGGGGTTGCTTTTGATTTGGTGGTACACTGTATCAGGTACACAAAGACACCTCTTCATACCAAAAAGCTCAGAGAGGCGGTGGTTCGGTATATATTGTATGGAGTGAGTGAAGCATCTAAAAGGAAAAAAAAGAAGTAATATGCTTGTTGCTTGATTTTGTAAATGTATCCCACCCCAAGAGATTGTTACACTTCAAAAGACAAAGCTCCAGGTGTGTGATTACTCAAGGCAAAAATAACGAAATACATCAGGCACTCATGCAGGCCATTGTTTAGAACATTCTCAGTCAACCATTCCAGGTCATATTAAATCGGCATGCAATTAAAAACAGCTGACAGCATTTAATTTATCACCTGTTGGCAAGAGCTCAGCAAAGTCTCTAATGGCGTCAGCCACGGGGCTCTTATTCATTGAGTCTAGTCGCGTGATGAGTCTTCGCCACGAGGCCAAAGGATCTGTGGACATCCAGTAGAGTATTAGTTGTCTCTTCTGCTCCTCTGGATCAGAGTATACTCGTTGGATCTCCTTCCTCTTCTCCTCTGAGATGTATAACCAGCTCCCCAGTCCACCACGGCCCCACCAGTTCTCTAACACTCCCAAAGCTCCCAGTACATTAGAACAGATGAAGGCCTTATCTGTATTAAGAGCAAAAGACAGTTATCGTATACCCTGCATGAAGATTATCGTTGTTTATACACATCTATAAGTTTGCACTATTTTCTGCTACCAAAGCTCAAGTTGTAAGTCAACCTCGAAGGTGCCATTCGGATTTTTCAATTACATACATAGCTACGCCACGAAAAGAGTGCGGAACGAACACATTACCCACCCCTGTTGTACTAGGTGCGTGGAATAATGATGCAGGCATCCATGAGTACTCTATAGCACAATTAGTACTTCTGAGAACTGAACTCAGGCATCCATGAGTACTACTATAGCACAATTAGTATACTGCTGAGAACTGAACTCACATTATAGCCTTTAATGGTACACGAGTACACACTGTTACTAAACTTAATGCTTAGAGTAGCCAGAACTACATACACTCCATTTTTCAGTTTCACCAGAAGGTCCTGGATACTCACTAGATGTGGGCCTGATCTGACAATTCAGTGAGAGCCTAATTTTCTGAGTGGAGGTGTCGCATGTTATTCGCACAGTATAAAACCTCCACCAACAACAGAGGTTTGCAGTACTAGACTACGTGCATACATGTATAATGTATCCTTTTGTGAGGTTGATCATAGGAGGAGATGAGAGAGGCTAGCTGGGTCTGCCCCACACGCCCCACTGCACGACTCAGCCACTGCCACGAGGCAAAGACGTGTGTCATCCAGCACTCTATCAGCTTCATCTTCTGCTCACTCAGGATCACCATACTGCTGCTGGATCTCTCGCCTCTTTTGCTCTGACACTGCCAACCAGTAGCCCAGCCCCCCTGTTCTACCATAATGACCTCCCTCACTACACCAGTCCCCCACTCCTTTCACTGTCTCCAACACATTTTGAGGGTTCAGGATTAGGATACCTTTGTATGAAAAACAAGTATGTTGTGTCATGGACACCTGCATGGTAAGACAGGGAGGAATCAGGTGCGGGTGAACAGGTAAGACTCGAGCCCCTTTATACAATTTGGTATGCCATAGGCTAACTAGCATGCACCCCAGCTCCTAGGTACAATCAAAACCGAAAACCGCTTTTGCTGAAGATTCAGCAGCAACCAATCCAACACAAAACTGAGGGGTAGCTAACAGCGCGGGCGCCATAGGCTCTAAGTTTCAGATACAAGGCTGGCGCTGTAGAGACTGGCACCAGCTTGCGCTGCAGTCTTCCGCCGCAGCCCAGTGTCCCCATACTAACTTGTTTTCTTGGCTTCATCATCCGACATTGAGAAGGCCAGCTAGATTGGCGATACCGTCAGGTCCGTTTTGCGACTGCGTGTCCCCCCGTCGTACGTACCCAGTAGCAGTCGCCGGACGATATCTAGAACTCGAGGGCGTAGCCGTAGGTTATAACTTTCTGCGTGCCGATACGAGGCGCCGTTTCTTCCAAAACTCATTCTCCAAAAATGCATAGGTAGTATGTCCACTATATATAAATTTGCTGCAAATTATTTAGGATGTGTACGACGACATTAACTGGTACTGGTAAGGAGATAGCGGGTTTAAAGAAGAAGAATATTATGATGATAACATGAAATCGCGTAAGAGCGAATTCTCTCGTGGACGACTGAAGGTTAGTATGAGGTCTTGGGGGACATGTATAGGTAGATATGGGCCCGTAGACTATTGCTAGCATGTTTTTAAGGCCTAGTTTTGTACGCGGATCACGTGAGATTTCTACCGTGTCATCCCTATATAGAGAGTCTACCGACTCTCTAATAGGCAGTATATCCAAATGCCTAGCTTTTTTGTGGTGTTGGGCCTTCAGTGAAGTGCCATTGAAATTGTGTACACTTGGGTCGAGTGTCTGTCGGTCCATCAGTCTCTTTTATTGACATGCGAGGCAGCTTAGTTTTTAGGTCGTAGTTATTTGTTATTGTGCAAAATAGCTGTGTTTATTTTCTATTCAAACCTTCCTGGCATTGTGTTTCATAGGGGTGGTGAGGAGCCGTGGGGTGGGCTGTATGGCTGCAAACTCTACCAAACAGTAGTTGAGGAGAAGAGAACTCTACCACTGGGAGAAAAACACAAAGAAATTGCTCCACTTCTCCGAAAGACCTTCTCACCACAACCTGTAAACAGATCCTCTATCCAACAGGTACATAAAAATAGGAACATCCAAAAAAATTTATTCCTACTACCTAAAGGTTACGTAAAATGGTCTAGACAGTGAATACCTCTGATCCTCAAGTCAGCTCAAAGAGAATAGCTGCCAAATTCAAGCTCATGTGTTTCTTCTGTTATAGCTATTTATTTATGAACATGGCCATGACTTTGCGGGTGGTGTTTTGCATTCACATACTGTGAACTTGGTCATTGAGCACGTGCAGTAGCTTTGTCTGCATTGACTCTTTCTGCAGGACACACTGACAATGCACACCAATCCCTCTATGTCTGCTGCAGGTTTTCAATGACATGGAACTGGAGATGTGAACTAGCCAAGAGCAGAAGAATGCTCCTTTTAAATGACTGTTTCATTTTTTACAATGATTACAGTGGAACCACCAAAATAATAATGAACACAGTGGGGGCGAACGTTTTGTGCATTGTTTGGAGGTTTTCCCTTCGGAGATTATACCCTTAAGTACCATGATTACCAATGTAATTCATGAAAAGTACTGATCAACGATAGACTGCTCGTGGATCATTAATCTCGTCTACTGTCTGTAGTATTTGATAAGATACTCTAGATAAAGAAATCACTGAGACGAGAGAAAAGATTGATCAGTTGCAGAAAGAATACATCGATATCTCCGTTGCACTGCTGAAGAATTAAGCAACAGTGTTGCAGTTAAAAAGTTGCGCTACTCCCTCCTCTGTCTTCCGTCTAATCTCAAAAAGGAGCATAGAAGGTTTGTTACTAAAGTGAAAGCAGAAATAAAACAAGCTGAATCAGCTGAGGATATAATTGGCGAACATTATCTCCACTACACTCTGTTGAAGTATGTCGTTGATCTCTACGGCAGCGATGATCTGAAGAAAATGATGGAAAAGTACAAGAATTATTCAGAGGTTTCTCCTCGGAGATAGAAATGAGAAATGTAGCTATAATACAGTGGTTATGGATTCAGGTCAGTGTAAAAAGTTGTTAGAACGTCCAGGTTTCACCTGCGGAGCTGCGAGCATGGAGAGCGAAGGTGTAGGGCTACTAACGAGGTGTAGAGAAATCGATGGAAGTTTCATGGTCCGCTCACAAATTACAATGTGCTTCAACTAAGAAAGTACCTGGAACTAGAGGCTTTATAGCTACTAGGAAAATGAAAAGCACTGTAGTGCAAACCCTCGGCTCAAAATGCGCAAGTTTGTGGTTTTGTAAGCTAGGTGGGCTATTTCAAAGTGGTTCGAATCAAACAGTTATTATTTCGTGTTCATATTAATGAGTGTAACTACAAAATTGAATATAAGATGAACACAAATTGGATGAAGGGTAAAGGGTATCTGCTATGAGTTCATAACCAAATGACATGTTGTTTGCAAGTATGCAGTAACACAGTTCAGCTATGAGAGGAGCATTATTGTGCATTGAACATGACGGGATGGAGTGTCTGTGCTTTGATAATTATATAGCTCAGAGGGATCCTTCAACGTAGAAATGAGCTGTCATGTATGAGATATTAATTTTGACGGATAGCCTGTATAGGAGGGATAAATACAAGTGATACACATAGAAACATAGCACTACTCTATGTATACCACACTCAAAGGCTCTCACATTCGCTCTTTGCATTCTACTGTGCTTCATTATATCATGTCCAGACTAGCCTTTACGCTTAGATGGGCCGCATCCACAAACTGCTCGTCTAACGTGAACTGCTGTATATACTACATTGCGGACATACCTTGCTCCGTTTGTTGTCCATCGAGAACAGGGATCAACACTGACAGAGGAGAGAAACTCAAGAACCGTCCAAGGTCAACTAAAAGAAGCACGTGGCATCTCGCAGATGCGCATGCTCCGGCAAACGATATAATATAGCTACGGAAACATACGCGCGTGCGCGATGGATCGCTTGCGTACGCTTGTTTTCACGCCATATCTCTGGAACGCAGTCGTTTCAGCCACATTAATATCCATCTTCTCGTTGTTCACAACCCGTTGGTGCCACTCATTGGCCGCCTTGTAGTGTAGTGCGAGAACTCGCGCGGACAGACAGACAGACAGACAGACAAAAGACTACTGTAATCCTCGCTGCGCATGCGCGCCGAGGGTTAACAATGCATACGTACTAAGAAACAACAAAACTGCTTGCTTAAACACTACTTTTTAGGCTGCAGATAAAAGTATATGAAGTGTGCCGACGACTATGCAGCAAACTTTAGTAGCTATCCCATATAGGTAGAGGGTGCGCAGCAGTGTTGAGTACCCAGTGGTCTAGAGAGATGATGCTGTGATCATCTGCGAAGAGAAGAAAAAGATATTTCAACGTTTGTCCAAGAAAAAAGCCCTCCATTTTGTCCCGATGGTCGAGGTGAGTGGTGTTTGTCACATTATTTATTGAGGAATAACCATCCTTCAGCCTTGCGTAGTTATTGAATGCCTGGTAGAGTGAAAAAATTATATGGAGGTAAACACTCAAAAAGGAAATGGTGCCTACTTGCAGAATCTTCCAGCCCCAACTCCGGTACTTTGTTTCATTTGTGAACCGGTACAGGTAGAAGAGGGATTCAACTGTTTCCGGTCTTAGGATATTGTGGCAATTCAAAGGCTGAATGAGAATTGTGGTAAAAAGACAGGTTTGAATTGAGAAGTATATACATAAATACAAGCAGAGGGTTCAGGCATACAATGAAGCATTTCTCGTACAATCCAGGAAGGAACACACCTCCACATAGATGTCTTTAGTAGCTCCAGGGTCCATATTAAAGTGCACAATCTCAGGACTCAGTCCAGTGGGCATATCCTTGTACATACGGTAGCATGTGTACATTAGGTCTTTGGCAATGCGCATGAAACTCTTTTTTGAGAGACCATTGTGAGCAGCAAGAGCTAGAGTGCCTGGGAGGTAGCAGACCAGATGATCCTGATAGAGAGAAAGAGAGAGAGAGAGAACGGGAGATGAGAAAAAGCTTAGTAGCCTGAAAAGGGTCCCGTGAAGCCCATCGTGACGGATTGGCAATCAGCATTGATTTATATGTGACTTGCATGTGGATTGCCTACAGCACGATCAGCAGATTGTGAAAAAGTTACCATTCTCGGCACTATGCACTCCTCCGCCCCTTTGTGTGCAGCATCTGTTTAATTCTTGTCTCAACAACCCTTTTGTCTTCTCTTGCCCACATGGTACATTGATGCAGCAGATAACACTATTGCGAGCTTGTTTAGCTAACGTGCAATGAACTACAACAAAAGAACCCACCACTCACCATTTTGGGATAGAAGCTTCCATTCCGTAGCTCTTCACCAATAAAATCCATTTAGATCGCCCTGAGTATCTCAAGAGTCTTTTGGTGACCCCAGACATTGAATCCAGAAACCACTGCCGATACCTAAGAATGACAGATGGTATAGGAAGGGAGAAAAAGATAGGGATGGGGTATGCATTAACCCTAGCCTGTTATCAGACCCTTCTCCCTTTTTCGAGAGCTTGTGTGGAGGATAAGGGCTCGGGGCACTGCATAGCAACTGCCAATCTGATTGGACAGGCGGCATTGTTTACATAACTAACTGGGTGTTATAAATTAAAAAAAACGCATGTGTGCTACAAGCTCACGCGTGCGTGCACCAACTTTAACATACCATTGAGCCATAGATCCTTAAAGAATAATATCTATGCTATAGCTACTCCGATGCAATTCGACGACATCAGTATGCGATTATCAGTGTAGAACTGTTGGGGTGAACTAGGGACGGGGCAGAGATCAGGACCTTGTGGTTGAGGCTGTGACGAATGGTCTGCAGCAGCGCATCAAAACGTGGTTCTCAACTCGAGAACCTACTAGCAAAAATAAGGGTTCTTCTGTGGCAAAGGTCAAAATAACATAATGCTCCACTGGAATAGTAGAGTGAGACTGGCTCTGTGGTAGCGAGACTGCTGTAGGGTGGGATTCGCACCCGTGAGCGCGGCACTCATCAGGACCACGCCCTTTAAGCCATGTGCTGCTGAGTTAGCAGGGTGTGGTTCTGTGTCCACCATGGAAGAGCTCAACGATCTACCATAAAGACTTGCGAGAAGAAGGAACGATCGCTTGATGGCTTTGCACACCTCCGTGGAACCTGGAGACGTTTAGTGAAAAAACTAGCGCTTCAACCTGTTCTGGGAGATAGCGGTTTGAAGAATATGACGATGATCATGATGAAAATCGTGAAATCACGTATGAGCTATTCTCATGTGGAGAACTGAGAGTGTGTATAAAGTATTTGGGCTTATGTACATAGCTGGATCTTGGCCCGTTAGAAGGCAGGTGAGTCATTCTCGCCGAGCTCTGAGGCGTTTTGTATGCGGATCACGTGAGATTTGACTCATGCCATCCCTATAGAGAGCGTCTATACTGACGCTCTAATAAAGAGTTATGGCAGATTATACACCTTTAACATGAGTGGGCTAAAAACACGCTGAGTTAGATCAAAACGGACCAGTCTCTGTTGGGAAATCACCCTACAATAATTTGATGAGGTAAGTTCAGCGAGGAAATGAAAAAAGCAAGGAACATAAGAATAAGAGAGTCAGGTGGTACATTGAAACAGCAAAATGCCTGACCTAATTTGATACATATAACTTCTAGACCATGTGGAGAGAAATTAACAAGGGAAGTGAAAAGAGATGATCTAGGGCTCTACTCTGCAACGAATGCTTACATTCACTACCGAGGTCGGTCTCATACAACACTTAACTACACTAAACTTCTATGTAACTTCTCACACAACCACATCTTCCCCCCACTCATTGATACCCAGGTTCAGAGGCCGTAATACTTTCTCACCTGTTGTCTTTCTTGTTATTCTGTATCCACTGCTTGAAGAGATATTCATAGTAGGTGTCAGCCCTTGCTCCAAGCGTGAGTGTGCCTGGTGTAAAATTTCCAGTTTCAGCATTGATGAACAGAGGAACCAAGTGGTCCTTCATTTGTAGGGACTGCAGTTTTTCCATCACCTTATCCACAGCCATCTATATAAGAGCCAAAAATATTAGAAGTAGTTGGTAATTACCCTCGGCGCACATGCGCAGCGAGGGTACAATAGTTACCCTCGGCGCGCATGCGCAGCGAGGGTACTGTAGTTGGGTGTGTGTGTGTGTGTGTGTGTCTGTTACTCTACATCCCACTTTTCGAATGTTTGTTCGTCTCACAAACGATATGTGACAGGCTCTGAGAAAACGACCCTTATGACGCAAAAACCGCACAATACGTTTGTATGCTAGACCGAAGGTCCTGTAAATGCTCTATAGTTTCCGTTTGTTTCAGGGGCGTAGCCGTCCGTTGCGAGTTATGAGCAGCGCAAGTGCCATTCCCGCTGCATCTAACCTGAAAAATCAGCGTCTGAGGTAACACTTCCGGTGGTTCAAATTTCAACCTCCGTATTCTCGTAACAAGTCCGTGTACCTCGCGCGCCGCGCATCCGGCCGCATTCATTGTACGCCGTTAGTAAAGGGGAATTCCCGTTTACGTGTCCCATAAAAGGTTTGATTTTCCCGTGTTACGTTAACTTTTTTTTGAAGATGAAATGGTACAAAATAAGAAAAAAGAAAACAAAATAAAAACAATGGAATAAAGTAGATAGGTCTAGAAGTTCTCGTAGGGTTCAGAGTCACTCGGTGGTTGGGACATGGCCCTCAGCTGTTGCGAGGGTTATGTCCGGTACACGTATTGGGCGGTGGCGGGAGGACCTGCTGCCTCGAACACACATAATGGCTGAGCGCAGGGTGGCAAAGGATAGTCGGCATCTCAGCCAGGCCATCACGGTTGAATATGGCTTCTGCTGTTTCCCGGCAATCATGTCTGCGAGTCGTTTATAGAAAGTTGCCACTTCAGTCCATACTCCTGTGGTGGTGAAGACGATAGGTGTGAAAACACCACGTTCTACGTCTCGGACACGTTGACCATGCTCCCTTTTTCTTCAGAGTTCGTGTTTCCTGTAGGCAGACGAGATGTCCGTGGAACGATTACTGGGTGCGTTTGGGTAGAAACCCGAACGTCGAAAAATGCATCCTGTGATCTGTTCCAAAAACCCTTTGCACGAATGTCTAGGCGGGCCCCATCTTTGGAGTTTGCAGAGCGTAGAGCGAGTGTTTCCTCAGTTAGAGGCTGCATGAGTGGTTCCGTGGCCACGTTGTGACAGACCTCTGTAAGGAGTGATGCTGTGATGTCGCGTATTTCGTTGTGTCGTATCGTGGGAAATCCTCCCATGTGGCAGATCATTGCATGGTCCACCGAGAACACGGTTCCACAGTTGCAGGTGTGAGGGGTGTTACTGAGGCTCCACCCATATCTCAAACATAGGGCATCTCTGAATTCGCCTTTGTGGAGTTAGAAGTCGTGGTGTTCCAGTGGGAGGACTGAGAGCCATGCGGAGGAGCCTTTACTTGTAATTCCGCGTTACGACGGCACGAGTAACGGTACTTGCCTGGTACCCAGGGCCATAACTACGGAACGGAACGGAGTTCGTGCGTCAAACTTGCGCAGGTAATGGACGATAGACAGAGGTACTAGAATACGGGGAAAAGCGGGAATCGGTGAATTACGTAGAACCGCCGCTACTACAACAATACTACGTGCGTGATAAAGGTCGTTTTCTCAGAGCCTATCACATATGACCTACTCAACGGGCAATGAAGGTCAGAAATTTTGTGGGGTTTTCTCTGAAAATGCTCCGTTGCAAAGCTAGAGCGCTTCCAGCATTGTATGGCTAATGTCGGTAGTCGTCATTTTATCGCTAGCGGATAATGCGCATGCGCTTATATTTAGCACCGACCGGGTCCGCTTGCTCTGTCTATCTTGAAGGTACAAGAAGTCACAACGAATGGTGTGTATCGACTCTCGCGTGCTATCTTACTGTAGCTAGCCCGTGTCAGACACTCTGCGAGCTACTTCGCCGAGGGTTTGCACTTTAGTGCTTTCATTGGGTCTGTCTGTCTGTCTGTCTGTCCTTCTGTGTGTCTGTTACTCAACATATCACTTCTCCAATGTTCGTTCGTCTCACAAACGATACTACTTACTTAACAGCCAATGAAGGTCAGAAATTTTGTGCAGTTTTTCTCAGAAAATGCTCCGTTGCAAAGCTAGAGCGCAAAAAAGCCAATATGCAAATTCACAACGAACGGGATGGCCACAGTCTGATCGATCTGCGTGCCACCTCGGAGGCACTAGAAGATGCAACGCAGGGTGTGTATCGCCTCTCACATGCTATCTACAGTGTAGTTAGTCCGCGTCAGACTCTGCGCGAGACCACGAGTAACAGCTAAAACTAAACCCAGCCCATCAATTAGTGGTACAGCGCATGCATTTGCTTACGGGTGCGCGTCATGTCACAATGCGCCGAGGGTTTGCACTTCAGTGCTTTTCATTCAATGTATTACTGGTTGAATGAAAAAAAAACAACTTAAGTGTAAACCATCAGACAAGCAACGCACATGCGTACTGTTGCGTTGATGTGCACATAAAGCAAAGATCGTCCAGGCCATGCAACACAGTCGACAGAGCAATTTTCTCACTCAACCACTGGTTGATCCTCTCTCCTTTCCTTTTTGGCTGACACATACTTCACTATTCTTTCAGTACACCATTCGTGAGATCGGGAATGCAATTCGACCCAGTAAAGACAAAACTAAAATGAAAAGCACTATAGTGCAAACCCTCGGCGCACTATATAGACGCGCGCGGATGTCTGTATTGCGCATGCGCGTGTCGGTACTGCAGGCTGGCTACACTGTAATGTGTGTTGTGATCTCTAGCTAACTCTCCGAGTCTGACATGGGTTAGATGGCGTTTTAGGCATAGCAAGACTTGATACTCGCCCTCCGTGGTAACTTCCGTTGGCTCTACGGTACGCGAACAGGCGGAATGCTGTCGAGGTAAGCCAGTAGTAATTTGCACATTGGCTTTTCGCTCGTGTTTCATGCCGTAACTCTCGAACGCAGCAGTTTCAGAGAAAACGCTACATATTTTTCGACCTATACCTGGCGCAGTATTGTGGTATTGTTTGTGGAGCAATTCATGATGCCAAGGTATATACGGACAGACAGACAGACAGACAGACACACACGACAACTACAGTAACCCTCGCTGTGCATGCGCGCTGAGGGTTAATTACTCACGTCAAAAACAGGGTAAGGCAGTCTAGGAAAAGTGCTCAACCCACCTGGCTGCTTATAAAACCCTGTCCTGTGGCACACAGTAGGTAGGTCGACTAATCAGCGTACCCCACATCATCCATACCTTACACTCATAACACGCAACTACTATCGCAACCAACAATAGTAGGTAGGTCGATTAGTCAGCGTACCCCATACCATCCATTCATAACACAAATACTTTGACAACACTGGTAGTACGCAGGTCGAATAATCAGCATACTCCAAACCGTACCTGATACTTTAGATCACTAGTGAGCTTCGAAAGGTCCCTGAACTCCAGCTGGATGGTACTGACTTCAGACACAGAGCTGTCCGGACCCCACGCTGGTGCATGGGAATGACCAGTCTTTAGATTGATGTCTGAGAATGGGATTCCGGAAGGACTCTTGAAGCAAGGCAGTAACATATCCCCCAGTTCTTTCTGTGGATACATTAAACAACCTGATATTCGGCATACTTGCATACCTTGTTCTCTTGCAATGTTGAATTTCAAGTCTCAAAGCTTTACTAGTAAAATTGGCTGCGAAATCAGCCTAACTCCGAGGGACTTCCAAAACTACTGCTTTTACTTATTGTCCACAAAGTAAAGGTGAGCAGCGAAATTAATTTTTTTTCTCCTCAAAGATGCCTCTAGATTTGTGTATATCAATTTTTGGTTCTTAACCCGTACATTTATGTAAAAAAGCAGCCTAACTGTATTTCTGAAGGACCTTTCTTTTAGATGTTGATAACTGTCACGTGACTAACACATGACGTCACGGGATCCTAATCAGATAGATTGAGGATCATTTTGATATCTCATATGAGTGAACTGGTTACAGAACAATGGCCAACAAGTGAAAAAGTGGTCAATCTACTCTCAACTCGCACTGTATATACACATAGACAGGAATGGTATCCCACCTCCCCATCGCGATGGGGAGTAAAAAAACTGGATAAGCTTGTAAAGGAGTGTCATTGCAGTGGGTCGCCATTATTGTTGAATTATAGCAAGCTTAGGGGAGTGGATGTAATTAGCTTATTATAGTAACGCAATCTGCAATTAGGCAGCTTAATTGGAAGCAAAGGAGTGAAATAGGATGAAAGGTGGGGTTAATGAGAAAGGGTGGCGGTGATTACCTCGCTATCTGGTTTTACAAGTAAGAAAACCAGTACTTCATGAGCATGCTAGTATGTGCAGCTATATTAGATGAATAGAGCTGGTGTCATGTACTCTCTACCATTCACTCACAGCTTTATCCAAAAAAAGTTGATCTTGAGTCAAGTGGTAGGTGCTCAACAGGCCACCCATTATTCGATTCGTTGTCTCAAACAGATTCACATCCTTATCCACTCCAATAACCATCTCTTCTTTAACCCATTTCCGGGCCTCATCAAATTCGTGAGACAGGCCCATTAGCCACATGGTGTCCAGAGAATCAACCAGTGTTAGACCCAGTTCAAGCCACTCATGGCTCCCTCGAGATATCGGCTTAAGTTCATCTTTTCCCCCACGCGTATTTCTTGTATGCCTTCCACCCATGTTGAAAGGCCTCAACTACTGCATCTTGTTGCTTATTTAGTGGTCCCAGAGGCATACCACCCAGTTGTTTTGGGGAGTAGGTCATTGGTGTCTGTGCCAGCAGTCGGCCGACTACAACAGCTGCCACCAGAACCGAGACACAAAGAAGATAAAAAACTGCCTTCTTCTTGTGGAAAAAATATATAAAAAAAAACAGACAAAAAGTCCGGTACCTTGGCGCATTGATTGCTACGTCTTTCCTCATGGGACTTTCTCTGGTTGTAACTCTAAACAACATAAGATCACATTGCTCTGGTAGTACATGTATATACTATCACAGAGACCTCTGTCAGGGTATCCCTATAATAAATGCTAGTGCCATATTAACAGAGGGTAACCAAGCGCGAATGCAACTTCCTGGCTTATGGTGCTATAAATTAGTATGTCAGAGCTTCATTGATCACTCATGAGCATTGATCAACAACAAAAGGCAAATTCAATTGACACATGTTTTGTTCCCTATGCTATGGCTTCATAAACAGTTTTCCGTGTCGTCATGTAGGCTGCTCTACATGCCGATAATTATAAGTATGGTAGTATCATACTTAGTAACAGATGACAGGTTATCCTGCATTATGCTCATAGAGATTCTACTGGACACGGATACTCAACAGATCCTCAATATCAACGTACATCGTGGTCATCGTCATACACATCTATCCTTTAGTGTATCATCAGAACCATCAATATTTCAGAAGACCATGGACATCATATTTCAGGGAATGGAGGCTACCATATGCTATTTGAATGATATTCTCGTGTCAGGCAAATCAAAGACCAACCATCTCCATAATCCAGGGAAGGTCTTTCAGAAACTACAAGCACAATGCATCAGGATTGTAATGAATTGCCTTACCTTATATTGTTTTGTATTCACGTATGTGTATTCGTCACGTGTATGTGGGTTTACGTAATGATCGATGTAAGTCATTCTAGTCAGTCGTGATCACAGCTACCGATATAGAGCTCATTAAAGTGATTATACTCTAACGAGAGATCACAGCTCCACACGAACTTGGAAGTACTGGCGTGCGTGCACTAGTTGATCATAGCATATCACTACAAGGATCAACAAGTTGAAGTGCACCTTCATAAAAAAGAGTGTGCGGTACCTAGGTCATTTGATTGACACAGTAGGTCTCCATGCCACAAGCTTTAGGCCATTGCGGATGCTCCACAACCTAAGAATGTGACCAAGCTCAGATCCTTTCCGGGTCTCCTCAATGACTATGGCCATTTCATTACCAACCTCAGTACTCTCATTCATCCACTGAGCACCCTCCTCAGTAATAGAAGTGGTCCAAGTCTATTCAAGAATGATTCAACTGCCACAGCGAAAAACATTACGCCATCCACAGTTACGTACATTATGACCTTAACCTATTGATCTAATTCGTCTCGCTGCAGATACACTGGATGTGCATGGATTGGCGCCGGGTCATCTTGCATACAAAGAATGATGGGTAAGCGCGCCGAATTGCATTCACCTCCAGAACTCTTCTGCTGAGTGAGAGATCGGTACTCTCAAAATGAAAAGCACTACAGTGCAAAACCCTCGGTGGAATGGCACCACGCATGTGGGTTGGGCTATGTGTATGTGTTAATCACCATAGCTTAGTCTAGCAATATTATTTGTCACAATCGACTCTATAGGCCAATGAACATGTTTAGAAGACCCAGACTGGCTTTATAAAGCAGGCCTGAAATGAGAACAAACAGTGAACACGTCAGCCTAGGAACATATGAAAATCAAAGAATGACAAAAAAATATATATATTATCATCATCATCTCATCAAGTACACAACACAACCATGATGACGCGGAAATCAGACAAAACATATATACAACAAGTTGGTTCCAGGGCTGAGAATATCACCATCACGAATGAATGACCCAAGTATCAGAAGTACAGTGGAACCTCTGATAATGAAAAGCACTTGAAAGTGCATAACCCTCGCCACTTTATTCTTTATTTCAGCAGCCAATGGCTACTAGCTACACTACCTCAGTCAATTCTAGTTACTACTACAGCAAAGTGAAAAGCACTCGACAGTACCGACATAACCCTCACCACTTTATTCTTTATTTCAGCCACTAGCTACACTACATAAGTGACTCCTTCACTGAACGGATTCACTGGGCGTGTGCTGCTCTCACTTCACCGGCAATCTCGATCCTACTCAACTCTGTACAATCAATACAGGCAGGCCAGCAAATCTTCTCCACACGTGCAAAGCATCTAGCAGCTAAGTAGAGCGACTGTTCATGCGATCTCTATTTGACGCACACTCACCTCGGCAGCTGTCTGTTTCTCCAGCTTCCCTGGCCTTCTCCGCTCCAGAATCTTATTTTACCATGCATGCCTCCTACTTGATAATATGTCCACGTTTCACACTCAGAGTTGCCGCGGTTACAGAGAAAAACAGTGGACATACGGACAGACGGACGGACACACGCACACACACACACACACAGACAGACCGACTGCAATAACCCTCGCTGCGCAGTGAAAACCTCTCTATAATGAACTTATTCCCATGCTGTACACATACCTCTCAATAAAGAAAACCTCCGAGTAATAGAAAAAAATTGCTGTCGCAATATATTCATTATTCGGAGGTCCCACTGTATCCTGAAAAGTTGGAGATACTGATTAAAAAAGTTAGCCAGACCTGGGAACAAGGGCTGTTAGCTAATGTGTGTGTGTGTGCGCGTGTGCTCTGAAGGGCTGTTGGAAAAAAGGCTCTCCATTATACGGGTAGCTTCCACGGGACAACGATGAATGAAGCCACACTGAGCTCAGTGTCTATACACTCAGTCTACACATGTGAATCACAAACGCGCTAGTGTAACATACGCAGGCGCAGAGGGATCGGTATAATTACCCGCCAGTTGGTGCAGTCGGGATACCCGCTCAGCTAGCTATACTTATCTTTCGCTAGATAAACTAGCATTTAGATTTCGCTGCATTCTTCACTCGTCTTCTGTTCATCGCATGCCTCCACAGTGCACAAACAGCAGAATCGGGGTGGGGTAAGCCAGCATATTGGCTTGTTTACTTGGTTTTCACGCCATAACTCTCGAACGCAGTATATACTTATACGAAAACTGTCAAATGTAATATCAAGCACTGAACCTTTTGGTACCGCTCTTTTGTTGTCTCATTGCGCGTGGTGGCAGAAAACGTGGTAACACACAGACAGAGAAACTTACGGACCAAGTACCGTAACCTTCGCTGTGCATGCAAGCCGAGGGGTTAACTATATAGCGCTTAGGTTTAGCTGCACTCTACACTCGTCTTCCGTTGATAGCATGCCTCCGCTGTGCACAAACAGCAACAAAATCCGGTGGAGGTAAGCCAGTACTAAAATAGCATATTGGCTTGTTAGCTTGGTTTTCACGCCATAACTCTCGAACGCATTGCTTTTACAAAAATCGCCAAATTTAAAATCAACCCGGTGTAGTGCTAAACCTTTTGGCATCACTCTTTCGTTGTCTCAATGCACGTGGTGACAGAAAACATGGTAACAGACAGACTGACAAACTTACGGACCAAGTACCGTAACCCTTGCTGCGCATGCGCGCCGAGGGTTAAAGAAAAAGCACTGAAGTGCAAACCCTCGGCGAACTACTGACAATCGAAACTACAGTACAACATGTTCTCCAAACCTTGTCAGGAATGAAGACTGCGCCCCCAGCCTTGAACAAAGGACGTACAGCCTCAACATCACCTCTGCGAGAGTCTACCAGTAGAGCAGTGTCTCCTTCCTGCAAGTGGTGGGGATACAGAGACCAGTGGAGCAGCAGTCAATGAACTGAGTCAGAAATGAGACTACACATTCACTGGTAGAAAGCCTCACATCCTCAGTCCTGGAGTTGATATTGACAGAAGTGGAGAGGAGTCCCTGATCTGCCTCAACGTCTCCTCTCTCAGCAGCATCGTGGAGCTCTGTCCTTCCCTGGGGAGAGGGAGATACGGAATAATGGATGGAGAGGATGAGATAAATGGGGGATTAAAAAAAGCAACCTCCTGTTGTACAAACCTGGGTAGAAACTTGTGTATATCTGTATAGGGAAAGGTAGTACTAAAAGTTGTCTAAAAAGGTGATTGACGTAACAATACCTGAACTGGCAAGACTGGACATGTTGTGTAAAGTCAGACAACTCTCCTTTCCACCTACAGCCTTTCTCCTTGTGACGACAGAACACATGAAGCTCCTTCACTTGTCGACGGACATGTTTGTCCAACAGAGTACTCCAGTCAGGTGACTTGCAGAGTGGACATCGTCCTCCATCTCCCTGTATTCTGGTGGCAGACTCCTCTGAGAGATGTTTACCACAGCATGATGTGAGGTGAGGCTGGAGCAGTAGACCGAACGTCACTGGACAGAAGAAATCCTCTGATTGCTTCTCAACGAAGGGGTAATCCTCTTCTGGTGAAAGATTGCTTTGGGTCTGGATTGCTTTGGGTCTGGATTGATGGTATAGTTGTAATGGAGTTCGAGATTTCAATAGTAACATACTGAGTAGGTGATTTCTCAGCGGCACCATCATCTGAAGGTCCAGGACCAGGTAATGAGACTGCCGCTGACTTCTGCCGTACAGATAAAGATAGACATGGAGGTAACAAGGAGTTATAATATTATACAACACAAAATCTTACCTGAATAGGTGGA